ATTTCACGTATCGGCTGGTCTGAAGATGACAAGAGAAGAGCGGAGGGATGAATAATTCACAAAGGCTGTTTGGAGAAGCCAAGATCAGCATTATGGGGAGAGGTGGGGCGTTTTAAAGGGAAGTTTCTAATTCAGTTTGGGAGAGGCATGTAGGGAAAAGAAGCGTGTCCGGAAGCCCCACATAATCCCCACATAGTGGAGCAGAACAATGGTAGTCTGGTTAATAAACCTCTGAAGAAACGATTACAGAAGCATTAAGAATGTAGCTTGTTGGGTTTGTCCATGGCAGTGATGCTTTTAGTGTGTGACTAATTTGAGACGAGGATGAAGTCATATCTATTAAAAACGGTGCTCATGAGGTAGATCAGGAATCAGGAAATATTTATTACCAAAATATGTCAGACATACAAGGAATTTGACTTGGCGATTGGTGCATAGCAGCAGACCGGTAGACAATACAATAAGACGACATAGTGCAAGAGCAATAAACTAAAATATAATATAATGCTGTGGGTTAGTATATAAGGCTATGTGTTTAAAAATAACATTTTAAAAACTTTATTCCTTTAAGTTAAAGTGCACCAGCGAACAGAAAGTGACAAGTGAAAGATAAAACTAACCATTAATAACATTATTTTCTTGTAGTGAAATAAGCTAATGCTAGCAGTACACTGATATATTGTTGTGTGTATATAATCTTGTTTTTTTGTATTACATTTTCTGAAGGCAGTTGCTGGATAAAAACAATAAAAAGGGGACGAATGTGTTTACAATGCCACCAAACTGCAATGTTAAAGTAGTAATTTCCAACCATGACTTTACTTTTACACAACAAAATGATGATATAATCGTATGAAATCACCCTGACTGGCAAAAGCACAGACATCATGTGATCGAATGACATCAGACTGTTTATTGGCAGTACAGTAGTCCAGTATCTGTTCCCTTGTGCTCAATATGAGGTGACCTTTACCGCCCATGTAACATCAGGCTACAGAAGATCGCTGTATTCCTTTTATTAATCCCCCATAAAGGAATATATGGGCACTTGGTAAGTTATTTCAGTTTGCATGTCGTATGTTGTATGTAGCATGGATGTCCATCCAATTTCTTCCAGGGTCTGTCGGTCTAATTATTAGCACGGTTTGCGTGGATGAATTGGAGTTTATCGGTGTGGGTTTGACTGACGTTAGATGAAGTCTAGTCGGCACACATTTTGTCTGCCATGACACTGGCCGTGTTCTATTATTACCGGGATGAAACGACGTGGTAAAAGTTGTTAATAATGTCAGGTTTTGGATTATCGTGGTGAAATGTGAACTTGATACCAGACTTTTCCCTAAATTAAACTGGCTGTAAAACCACACAGTTTCTAAACTTTACCCCCTTATCATTGTAGCCGTAAAAGCATTTCGTCTGTGAACTCTGAAACCTTGAAAATATTCCGTGTGCCTTTTTCTCGGTAAGATTAATCAATATTTTAGGGACAAACGACTGTTGATTTGTTTTTACTCTGCAGACGGACAAAGGAGGTTCTTATCCGATGTCGAAGACTGCCATTACTTGCGGTACACTGCCTCATGTGACAGAATGTAGATTCTGTCAGCCGGGTTTGACTAATTGCTCGGGTGCTCTCTACCTGGGAGCGCGAGTGTAATTCGAACACATGTTCAGATAGCGAAAGTATTTTAGTTTTAGTTTGCTACGGCTCCTGTCTCTCACGAACAGAACCAAACATCCTTATCTGCAGTAATCTGCTAGTCTTTGCTGAGGGGAAAAGCGAGGGGCCAGGCAGGCGCTGTCTGAGTAGATTGGCCCGAGCCTCCGCTGCCTTTTTAATGTCTTTAAAAGCTTTTTCGCTGTAGCGCTGCCCGGCCTCTGTGATAGCACAACCATTCATCTGCTGTACTTGCTGCTTTCCAGCTCAATAAAAAATGACTTTTACACAGAATGTAGTTTGCCAGCTAATTCACAGGATGGATTAAACCCTGGCTGCGCGTTGGTAGTGGACAAGAATATTGTATCTCTTCACGTGTGTGTGTGTGTGTGCGTGTGTGTGCGTGCGTGCGTGCGTGCGTGCGTGCGTGTTGCACGTGTCAGGCTCAGTGTTGGGTCACTGTTTAATGTCACTGGCAGTCTGTTTGTTATCTGTATTTGCTCTGAGGGTGCAGCCTGGCCCGACTCCTTATTACACTCCGACCCCTATGGCTCTGTGGGGGGGGCAGCAAACACAGCAGAGAAATCATCTGTACTGCCTTAACACTCAGGGGGAGCTTTTTTTGCCCCATTTTCTACAATGATCATTGGAGTATTGATCCTTCAGGCGTGTGATCGTTATCAAAACCGGACAGTCAATGTAAGTGCTCAGTCAGAGTGTTGGATGCATTTCATATGTTGCAGCTTTGAATCCTAAATTTTTACCGTATTTATGTGCGTCTGTATGAGAAATAAATCTGAAGTTTTATCTGGCATCAAAGTATTTACAAAAAAATGTTTGCAGACCATCTGACTCTGAAGCATTTAGAAGTAAATTGGCCTTTTTTATAATACGTACACATGTGAATTGTGCTCAGCTATTTGACAACTATCCTGTAACATTCTTCATGTTCCCAGGTGCCGAGGCAATGCGTCGATATGCTCTGAGTTAAGAATTTATAAAGCCGACTTTTGTCATTGAGGATACAGTAGCAAAGCAATTTGTTGCTTTCCTGCTGAAACTTGACATTGGATAAGAAGATCAGCTTCAGTCAGGAGGTGGATGGCTTGGCTGAGCATGAAGGCTCTTTTGAGGGTTTTACACAGGAATATTTCTCGCATTAACTTAAAACGCAGACCACGTTTAAAGTAGGAGCGTTGGCCGTGGGAGGTGGTCAGATATGTTTTTGCATTTGAGTTATGGGCTCATCAGAGATTGTACCTTTTTTATGGTCATTTTAGATGAATGCACAGCGTCCATGACTGCATCACTACTGGTCATTTACGTCATTTCAGTGTTGTCTTGGTTTCATTAGTGTGTGTGTGTGACACGAGTGTAACGGCTCCTTCTGTCATGGCTGTCCGTGTGGAAAATATGGCTCACCGGGTGTGTCTGTGTGCTTATGTCCTCAGCCCGAGATGCAGATGAGCGGGAGAAGTGGATCCACGCCTTAGAGGGAACTATCCTCCGTCACACCCTCCAGCTCCAAGTATGTAACCAGGCACTTGTAGCAAATGTAGGAGTTTCTGTTTGTATACGTCTAATCCTTTTGCTACAGAAAAAATAAAACACGCTGGGCTTTGTAACAGCTGAAGAGTAAGTGTCCTTGTGTGATTAATAGAAAAATATAGGATTGGTGAGAAGGAGTGTCAAATATCCCAGCGTTCATTGTGTGATTTTCATTGAATCTCAGATTTGCATGCTTTGTAAATCACGAGTGCTACACCACAACACCCATCTAACGACTCTGAAAGGGACTTTGCATCTCAGGTCCTGTTATCAGCACTTTTTTCTTTTCTTGCTCACACCTGATTGCTTTGCTCAACAGAGCAGTTGAGTTTTTGTCTCGCCTGTAGAAATGGATATAAAAGTGACATTCAGGTCGCCATAAATGAAGGATGTTTTGTCGATAGGTAGCTGCTTTGGACTGGCATCGAGTCCTGGTTAGTTTTGACTGTTTGATTTACTGCTGACGTGCTGGAAGAACACTGTGTGTGTGTGAGTGTGTGTGTGTGTGTGTGTGTGTGTGTGTGTATGTGTGTGTGTGTGTGTGTGTGTGTGTGTGTGTGTGTGTGTGTGTGTGTGTGTGCGTAAGTCTGTGTGTGTGTGCGTAAGTCTGTGTTTGCGTGTGTGCGTAAGTCTGTGTGTGCGTGTGTGCGTGTTTTCTCTAAGCGTTGAGACCGTCTCAGCAAGATCTTTCCCCTGTTCGTCCTGCCCTCTGACTAGTTCCATTATTTCCCTCCCTAAACCAAGCCTTCCTACTTACTCCCTTCCCATCCGCATCTACGTGCAGCTCTTTCCATCCCTCATGAGCAACCTTTTAATTTGCTCTCCCTCCTCCTCCTCCTCCTCCTTCTTATTATTATTATTTTCCCCCCTTCCCTCCCTCTGTGGCAAATCCCACTGATGTGCTACGTGTGCCTGCTTGTGCTCACCGAGCACACACACACAATGCAGTGTCGCTGCTGTCGTAGCGTCATGTGACCCTGCAGTAACCAATACAAGACGTGTTTGCTCGATAAACCAAACATCTGCCTCCGCGGCCGAAGCCAACCGGAGAGACGCTCAATGCGTGTCCCTGTCAGCACTTGCTGCTGCTTTTTTGTGTGTTTTCTCTTTTGCCTGCGTGTGAGGAAGTGTGCCTTTCCTGCCAGGGGAGGGTCCTGGATTAACTCCGTCCGCCTTCATACCAAACGCTCAGCTGATAAATGCTGCCGCAGGATATAATGTAGCCAGATGACTGCAGAGCTAACGGCTGCTGTGGTTTATGTTGGCAGATTGCAGAACGAGAGGAGGAAGAGGAGGAGGAGTTGGAGGAGGTTGTTTTTCTGTTTTGTGTGGAGGAGGAGCTGGAAAAGAAGCCTGTCTTCCCCAGAGCTGTTGGTTTTAATGCTGTAGGGAGAGAAGACCAGAATAACGGAGAAAGGAAAACAAAAAACAAGCTTGTGTCAGGATCAAATTGCCTGATAGGGGAGATGTACCAGGTTTAACACAGCATGTCAATTGGAACGAGGCACCCAGTAAGTAAAACACGCACATACGCACACACACCGGGACAAAGGCCTCTGCTCTGGGATAACTTTATCGGCTGCAGTGCGCTGCCAGGACAGCAGCATTTTAAAGTGGGTCACGCTGCGTGGAGAGAGAAATAGAAACTGGGGGAAGGGTGTTGTTTGTTTGGTGCTGTGTGTGCACGCTTGAGAGAGAATTTACAGGCCACTGTAAATAATGGAGGTTGCAGATGTTTTTTCAGTGAGCACCAGGATGAATAACTGCATCTAAACTTACCACTTCTGTCTATTAAAAAAAGAAACCTTTTTTGTAATTTGTGTGTGTTGACAAAGTGGAGATCTCGTCACCTTGTCACTTGCATTTCCGTGCTAATTTAGTTTTTTTAATGTCGACAGTTTGAGCCCACAGTGGCAAGTTGTAATGCATAGTATGACACCTTTACATATAAATGCAGTCTTAATATTCAATGAAGTGTTGGATGCGTTACGGTTTTGATTAGGATCTTTTGTTTTGTGGTATTTGGTCCATACTGTTGTGTTTGAGTTGATCTCGACTGTAAATAGAGGAGGGATGGCAGGATAAACTTCCCTTTTTGATGTTGCGATTAGTAGTCATCCACTCCCTGTATTTACACAAGAACCTGTAGATGTTTTGGTATTGATGTTATCGGGTTTTCTTTGGGGGGGTTTTGGCAGCTTAAAAGTAAAACTTAACTTGATGTAATTAAATGCCTAACCGGAAAGGTGGCGGCTCCTTTCCTTTATTAACTTTGAGGGATTTCAGAGTGTGAGTAGACAAACGGGAAACCTGACTCGCACCGAAGTGACCCAACAACGCGCACAGCACCCGCGTGTCCAGTGATAACGTGTATTGACGTTCCCACCTGCGTCGGAATCGCTGTTGATTTTTACTCAGGCGCTCACGTGGACAGCTATGCTACCCCCCCCCTCGTCAGGCGAACGGCGCAACCACCCTTTTTCGATCCTGTGAGGAAGTTGTTTCTGGGGTTCTGTCCTGCGCGTAGAAAGGATGTTTCTGCGGCGGTAACGAGGCTGTTCATGGCGTTTCTCCACGTCCCCGTCACGCCGTCTTTAAGGGGAAGAAAAGCGCGCGCGAGAACCCGGACGAGGCGACGCGGAGGAGCCAAAGTCCCCAACATGGTTCGACCGGGAACCCCGATTTCACCGACGGGGCTTCCGTTTCTCTCTCGCGCTCTCTCTCTCTCTTCCCCCCCCAAACCATCCGCTGGTGCTCTGCTTTCTAACGCGAGATGTGTCACGGTGCTTTCGTTAAGGACGTGTCGCCTGTGCGTAAATGTATCTGCACATCTTCCTGTTTTTAGGGTCGAAGCCAGCTGGATTGTTCGGTCTAGCTCAGACAGAGAGAGACATCCTATCACATCTGTCCCTGCAGTAGTTGTTATGCGTTGATATTGTGTGTGTGTGTGTGTGTGGAGTCTGTTTATAATTTAAATTCTAGCTAACAAACCAAGCTAATTCGCAAACAATACATCTGCTCCTCTGGCAATCAAATTCTCTCCAGACTTGAGTCCCTCGATTCATTTTTTTTTTTTTTTTTTGAAGCCTGAAATCTGCAGTCAGACCGACCTGCTGGCCTTTTATACCGGCTTGCCTTCAAACAATAGTATTCCTGTCTCCCCCGGTGTGGTACGGTGCTGGAAGATTCCCCCGAACTGATGTGTGACAGCTTCCAAAGCCTACAGACCGGTGACAGGCGTGTTTTTAACATTTCTATTAATGGATAATAAGTGAATACGTGGCTTATCAGTGTCATTGCCTGTGTATTTTACTTTTGAATGTCCAAATGCTAGCACGGCATCTGTTTGTTTAAAACATTTCCTCGGCCTGCACTAATGCTTTGCTGTGCGTGTTTCTCTCCACCCTCAGGAGGCAGAGACTGGATTAGTTCCGAGCGTTCAAGACTTCGATAAGAAGCTAGCTGAAGCCGACGCCTACCTGCAGATTCTGATTGACCAGTTAAAGGTGGGACTCGACACCGTGACTTCTCCTGTCTGGCCCTTTTCACACTTTAGTGTCGAGATGTTTCCACGTAGATTCCCAATGGCCACTTAAAATTGACCATTGTTGAATTTCTGTAAACGGCATTGTTAACATTAAAATATGTCACAAACTTCCTTTTTATTCTCAACTCTGGTACATTTTCTTGCTGTTGTCACTCAACCTTAATAAAGCAGAAGTTATTTAAGATTTGTGGTTGGATGGAGGTGAAACAGATATAATCGTGTATTTAAAGAAAATTGTCTGAGCGGCCCTGAGAGACGCCTGCTTTCATCTCGAGCCACAGCATCACCACTGATTCACCGTGTTTTTATTTTCACACTCATCGAACGGCGTACCCATCTCAACTTATTCCCCATTTCTCCCCCGCTCTCCGGTTTTGTCTCTTGTTCGCTGTCCCTCTCACCCAGCTGTTTGACGACAAGATCAAGGACTGCACGGAGGATGAGTCACGCAGCGTGAGTACCAGCAGCGCCGCTCTGTCGTCCTGCATCGGATCACCGTCGTCGGAGCCTGTAAATGTGCAATGAGGAATCAGGAAACATTTGACATTTGACAGCAGACCGTGAACAATACACAACAAGACAGCAGTGCACAAGTAATAAAGTAAAGTAAAATTAAATGCTAATGCAATGGGTTAGTAGAATAAGGCTATGGGCGCAATTTCCTAAAATCATTAAAAACTCCCATTATGTTTTCCCACAGCCCAAATGTACTCAGCTGCTAAAGTATTCACCAAATGACCAAAGCAGGATTTTTTAAAAATGGTTTAAACAAAACCGCTGGAATTGCGCCACGTATAGATTTTTAACATAGTCACTGGTTAGTTTTCTGTCTATTGATTAATTGAGCAATAGTTGCAAGGGACCGACCCAGTGAGCGTAGCACCAAAGCTTAATACGGCATATTTAGGGTATTGACCGCTGATGAGCAACACGCCATGCTTTTGAATCAGATGAGGTTTATTGACAAATACGTTCCACATACAGACTTTTGTCTTTTTGGATGGTGCAATAAAAGGAGACTAATATAAGAAAAACGTGTAATAACACAACAAATAACTGCAGATTGAAATGGGTTTAATGTGAAGATTACAGTTGCATTTATTTTTGTCTGGCTGTTCGGTTAAATAAAGTTACCAATGTAATTTTAAATGTTAGTTTTGAGTGAGTTATAGTTTATTACTGGAGGAAACCTTCTGGTTTCAGAGTGTCTGTCGGTTGCTGCTGTCTTTTTACCAGCAGCTGTGTGGTCCACTTCCTCCCTGAGGTTAATGTTGACCTTTGGTCACTGACTCGTTTTCTCACCGTCACTTCACAAGTCTTCCCACTATGGGTTCACTGTTGTGTAGATTTTCCTTGTTGTTCTCTACCAGTCCAGCTTTACTTGGTGTCGAACCTGTTGCCTACACTTTTGAACTTCTGTTTTTTTTTTTATTACTGGTGGACTTTACTGCTTGTTTATTTTTGTAATTTCTTTTTTGTCCTTTTCACAGAAAATAGAAACTTTGAAGGAGACCACTTGTGTAAGTCTGATATTAACACATTTAGCTTGCTGTCTTTAAGTTGTCAGTTCCTAGTTACTGAATTCCCTCTCTGCCTCTTGTCTTTCAGAGCATGGTAGAGTCCATCAAGCACTGTATCGTACTGCTTCAAATCGCTAAGGTAAACGTGGCTCTTGTCTGTGTAGTTTGGTTTGCTGCTTCACCAGTGTGCGCTGTGTGGGTTGATTTAGGGTGTAGCCCGGTGCTCGTTTCATCACATGTTGAACTCCGCCCTTCCTCCCAAGGAAGTCGAGAAATCCACTCTGCTTGTTTGGTGAGACACACAAAAAAAACGACTTTTGAGTAAAGTTGAAGAAAAAAGGCTGATTGCAGATCAGCGCGGTGAAGCAATCCCGTTGTTGACACTGAAAGAAGTGATGGGGGATTTGACCATGTGATGAAAGGATTACCGCATGCGGGAAGTCTGTAAATATTCTGACGCTCCGTGTGAGGAGGACGGCGGCGGTCATCGCTCTCTGCGCGCTGCAGATGTTCAGGCTTTATGAAATGACTCTCCCAACCTTCACACACAAGTAGTCTAACGTTGTCTTCTCAAAATTTTAAGGACCAAAGTAACGAACAGCAACACGCAAACGGACTTATAGTAAGTTTTGACGTTCTCCGTCCACGAGAAAAATGTAAATCAAGCAAACTGTTGCATTCTTTTCTTGCCTAATTTACTCTCCACAAATCCGATGAATCTGATCTCTCTAATGCATGCCGTCTAATTTGGAGCTCTTTCCCTCTTCCACAACTATCCTTTTTATTTAGCTAATGATTTCTTGATCTGATCTCCAATTTTAACATTCTCTCAGCAATGGTTGGGAACTATTCTTTTTATCTTTTCACAAAACGTGTACAAATGCACATTGTGGCAGAGTACGTATGTGGACCGCACACACGTGTGTCGGCATGCCTGTATGTGAGAGAATGATGCACTTACTTGACCGACTAATTAGGCGACTAACTCCTTGATCGATCGCGTGGCCACTGCCTGCTTATTGACCAATCGAGCACTAACGTATGGGAAGCTGTCTTCATGTAGTTGCCATACGCGCAGCTTCCAAAGCGTTTCGTAGAGGTTTATTTATTAGATACGTTTATTTTCTCACAGGGAGCGATTTCACTGCGGTGTTTTTTTCTCTGCGGATGTCGTGAATTCTGTTCAAATTTACAGCATACAATGATAAACAATCACAGTAAACACAGTAAACAAACAAGTCTTTATGTTAGTTATCACTATGTCCCACTATGTGATTTGGGAGGGGGCTGCTAAACAATCACTAAGTAACAACAACACATGCATTATCCGTCACTTTTCATCGGTTTGATTCCAGACGGCGTAGATTGGGAATGCTGTGCTTTTACGAGCGTCATCTTCTTTAGATAGAAGTTACATATGTAAATAAGTACATTTTCATACCAATGAATGTCTGCTAGAAAGGAAAGAGGCTGTACAGTGAAGGTGAGGTGAAGTAAAAGGTGTAGCGACAGCTCGGACCTCCTCATGGTGAACCAGATCCACCGCGTACCAGCAAGGGGGAAAAAAATCAATTCAAACCCCTTCATTATGCTTTTCAAAATGGTCTGTAATATGAAACGTTTGAAGGTAATGGTCTAACACGGAATCATATCAGCGCCTGTACAGCCCGTAGGCGTTGCTCTTATAGCTGACTTGATCTAAGTCATTAAGTATAGTATTACATTGTATAAATAGCACAGCATAAGCTCCGTCTATGCATCCAACTGCTCATGTGTTTTTTATTCTTTATCTGCCATTAGCCCCTTGCTTGATATCTTTGCAGCCTTGGAACATCGAAACCAACGGCCATCACGTTGACTGAAGGTCTTATAACGTGGAGCAAATACTAAATCAACTGTAGACCTGTTGTTGAAAAATAAAAACGGCAGCATGGCTGAGTGCTGCGGCGCCACAGAAGGAAGCAAGCGAGTCCCTGTACAAAATAAACCATGCGCTTTTGATTGGTTTTGGTTTGTCCAGCTGCATTTATACCACATTTTGTTAAAGCAATAAATAGATATTTATTCCTGACAACGTGCGTGAACCACTTGAAGCTAGAACGTTCCCCCTGTGACTGCTTTTGCGTCTGCTGGCTGGTGCCACCAGGGACACGCGATGTTTCTGTGACTGGATGCGATTTGTGTCCCTCGTCTTACGGACCGGCCGAGCAGATTCGAGATGAGGGGGAGAGGTGTCCGCAAATGGAACTTCTCTGCTTGAGCTTGTCTACTTGCGCTCATAAGTCTCCTTCTGATGACACGGGACGGTAGAAACACAGTCCTCTGTAGTCTGTACCTTCTTTGGTTTAACATGGTCAGTGTTGCATTATGGGATCGTGAAGGTCTGTTGTCTACTTCCTGGTATTCTACTCGTTGTTCCACCGCCGCCTCGAGTCGGTTCGTATCCTCACTCACTGTTCCTGTTGACTGCAAATGATGGATCAGTTCCTCCCTGTAAAACTCAGATTATAGATCACATTTGAGTAATGGGATGGCATCACGTTGACTGACTTGTATTTCAGTGCCACCCATAGCCCCTGGGGGAGGGGGGGGGGGTAGGGAGGTAAAACACGTGCTGTCATCTGTGTTATTTGGGTCATTGGTGCCGGTGACCCCATTACACCGAGCCTACGGGTGGGGGTCGAGGTCGATATTCAAATGACACAGGATGTTAAGGTGCCACCGAAGACGGCAGGCGGGTGCAGAATTAAAAATGTCCACGCTGGTTTTTACCAGAGGGGGATCAGCTACAGAGTTATAACACGTTAGCTATTTAGTCTGTGGCCCCGTGGTGTTGATTTATTCCTTTTCAGGCAGGAAGGTTCCTCTGAAAGGTGCTGCTGGTTTGTTGTCTGCTATGTCGGTTTCACATCAATTTAGGTAACGAAACCTTGAAACGCTCTTTCCTGGAAAGGAAGTGAAATGGAATTGATCTGCCGAGGCTCGGTGGGGAGCGTCTTCTTTCCCTGTTCTCGTTACCGCGTAGGCAAACCCTTCAGCTGAGCTCTTTTAGACATCATTTGAGATGAGTAAGCGGGCAGTGGCGTGTGGTCGCTTTAGTCACAACGAGTGTCTGATGTGGTGGTGGTGTTTTTTTATTTATTTTTCCCCAGAGCACCATAAACCCAGTGGATGGGATCTACCAACCCTCTCTGGAGCCTCCAATCGTCAACACCACAATGCCAACACAGACCACACTACCCGCAGGTACTGAGCATGCGTCGTCACCACTGTTTTCTACACGTTAATCTAGACTTCACAGGGGCAACTAATCCCAGAGAAGATTACAACAGCTCCCCCTGCTGTTCACTCCTGGATCTACTCCAGCTGATGCAGCGTTGAACAACATTTCTTTTGGCAATTTGTTCCAAGAGCAAAGACTTAAATCTTTATGCCCTCCTGTTGTGTGGAAGACAACGTGGCATGCCGATATAAATGTTGTATAGCGGCCTTAATAAATGAATGCATTCATGTTTTGAGCAGAATCCTATACTTCAGTGTAATTTTGTTTTTAACTAATTATATTCAGTGAATCAATTTGAATTTAACACAATGACTAAGGTCTGACTTTGTCATATGACTGTGACTAGGATGCTCCGAAAATGAACCATGCAAAGTAGGTCACGCTAATTTAATTCTCTTAATAGCCTCTCTGCTGAGGCTTCTCTCTGCTGCGTCTCAGGACATTTTCTCAGCCTCTTGGATTTCAGGCTGTTGTTTTTATTGTGACATAATTTTAAGGCTTCATTGCTGAAATCGTCTTCTTCCTCTTTGGTTAAAGACGCTTCTCAGGTGTGTAAATCCGACGTACGCCCCTCGACGTTGTCCGTGGGTCCTGTCGTCACGGTGATGGGCAGTCTGCAGACCCCAACTCCCAACAGCACAGGTGAAAGTTAGTTTAACACACACCAAAGCATTGGGCTTTGCTACGACAAGTATAGATCGCTTGTCGCGGTAGTTCTTGATATTTATCACACATTCCTCTAATTATTACAAAGAAAAGAAAATATTTGGAACTTGTAGTTATATTCCTGGCTTGGTGCTTTTGGTACCGTCACCAGTCACATATTCATAAAGTCGCAACTTACATTCTTTATGAAAGCTATAAAATGCAAAATTAGATAAATTAAACATTTAAAAATCTGTTTCGATGCAGGTGTTCAAGTTCAAACTTCACCTTTTGTTAGATCTTGCCTTTTAAAAATGGTCCTTAGTTGGACAACAATACATTTGTTTTGTTGCTCATACTCTGGTAAACAAGCAGCTTCCACAGTAAGGAGATATTATTTTTTATATAATTTGGATAAAGAACAATGTGGGTCCTTGTCAGAAAATTATGATCTAGTGTGAAGATAATATAACAATAACCCAACCTAAAGAGCAACGGCAATATTGACATGAATTAGTATGGTACTTCTGCAGCTCTGAGTGCCGAGTAGTGAAGCACAGCAAGGTTCATGCTTGTGTTTGTGCTGAGGCAGCAGTATTGAAGTGCTGCGCTGTGCACTAAGGAGTCCGTCTGCGTGCTGGAGAGCACCGTCAATATGCTCTGCAGAGGAGGCCATCACCGTGTTAAAGACTGCTTGGTGTTGGTGCTTGACGGAGCCAGCTGGAGTCTGAAAAGAATGCTTTGGTTAACAGCATAATGTTGATTTGACCACGACCTGCATTCTGTCAGAGAGACCATTTGATCCGTGAAACGAGAAATGCTGCAAAACAGCGTTGACGAGGACAATGTTTGATTTATTTCTTTTTTTCTCTCTCTCTCAGGGAGTGGTCCGTCGGGCCCCAGCAGTGGCATTGCATCCCCCACTCACATCCCCCTCCCATCGCACTCTGTGCCAGACTTCTCTTACTCCTCCAGCGAGGATGAGTTCTACGATGCGGACGAGTTCTACCAGAGCAGCACTTCCCCCAAACACTGCATAGAGTGAGTTCATTATCGCCCCGACCACCTGCAGCAAACACCATGTACAAGCAATCTATTGCTCCCTAACTTTAGAGCAACACTATATAATGAAGCTGTTTTCCGGCTCGGGAGGGGGGGGCGATAATGATAAGGTCGAGGGAGGACACGATCTGTTGTTAATTTCCTCCCCCTCTTCCTGTCTCCTTTCCACTCTCTCCCTCCCACCACCTCACCAGTCCCTCAGGGCCTCAAGCTGCCTCGCTGCTCACCAATGAGGCGATGGGATTGAAACGACCGAACACCACAGAGTCCCTGAACTCGTCCATGTCCAACGGCACCACGGATGCAGGTAAAAAGGGGAAAGCTCACACACACACACACACACACACACACACACGCGTATAACAACAAAACTGACTTTGGTGCAGCCGAGTGAGACCTTTGCTCTGCTGTTGTCTGCAGACCAGTTTGACCACGAGGACCGCGATGACGACGGAGAGGGCGAGTCAGTAGAAGAGCACAAGAGCGTCATCATGCATCTTCTCTCTCAAGTTCGTTTAGGCATGGACCTCACGAAGGTAACCCCCGCTCCCCCCCCTCCCCCTGCCCCACCTTACTGTCACTACCCAGTTTTGTGTCTTTTCTGTCATTCTCTCGCCGCATTGGTTCTTTTAACCCTTTACCTACCAGCATTGTCAAGCGTTTTTATTTTCTATTTTTCACTTTGGAACAACCCACGCATTTTCTCCTTTTTGTTTTTATTTCTCAGGTGGTCCTGCCTACTTTCATCTTGGAGAGGAGATCATTGTTAGAAATGTACGCAGACTTCTTTGCACATCCAGACTTATTTGTAAGGTAAGGGTCATCTCTTTCTCTCCCTGGTGGAAGCTATTGCATCGCACAGATAAATAATATATAATAATAATAATAAATTCACAGGCGGTGAAATGTAAAGTAGTTCAACTCCTTTGTGTGACTCCCGCTAGTATTGCTGAGCAGCTGGAGGCCCGGGACCGCATGGTTCACGTGGTGAAGTGGTACATGTCAGCTTTCCACGCAGGGAGGAAAGGCTCTGTGGCCAAGAAACCCTACAACCCAATCCTGGGGGAGGTCTTCTACTGCCACTGGGATCTGCCCAGCGAAACAGATGAGCCTTCCCCCAACGCGGTGAGAACCGGTGCCTCTGAAGCCCCTCCTGCTTCTGGACTGCATGTGACTGTGTGAATCAAATCAGTCGTTGTACAGCGTTCTACAGTGAAATGTGGTTATATGAATAACACTGGAATGAACAAACTATGTTCCTATTGCGTGAAACTGGTGTCCTTGAATGTACACTGCTACAAACACACGCACTTTTTATATTATTTACAGTCACAACAATAAATTACTTTTTAATTTAATTTTTACTCCCTCTCCTCGACCCTCCAGGAGACGGTGTCAGAAGGTCCAGTTCCGTGGTCTTCATCTAACAGCGTGTGTTTTGTGGCTGAGCAGGTCTCTCACCACCCACCCAGTAAGTGTGGATCCTATTCCTGTAACGCCTTTCTTCTTGATAGCTAAATACATGCCATATCCAAATGCATTTGAATCAATATAAATACAGGGCAATAATGCAAAGAATAGAAGGTTTTTTTGGACAAGTTGCCACTTTTCAACACTCACTTCCTCTCTTTTTTTTCTGTAGTTTCTGCATTCTACGCAGAATGTTTAAACCAGAAGATCCAGTTCAACGCCCACATCTGGACAAAGTCTAAGTTCTTAGGCATGTCCATTGGTGTCCACAATATTGGCCAAGGTACTTACGTGCGCTGCACATTTACACCCTTTCCTGTCACTACCTCGTGTAGTCGTAATAATTATTTGCCGCTCTTGTTTCAGGCTGTGTGTCATGTTTGGAGCACGATGAACATTACGTCCTCACCTTCCCCAACGGATATGGAAGGTGTGTGTTGCCTCATTCCTGCGTCCCCCATCTTTCTGGTTATTGATGTTGTTGTCCGCTGACCTGAGCCTGTCTGTCCAGGTCGATCCTGACCGTACCGTGGGTGGAGCTGGGTGGGGAGTGCAACATCTCCTGCTCTAAGACGGGCTACAGTGCGAACATCGTGTTCCACACCAAACCCTTCTACGGAGGGAAAAAGCACAGGATCACCGCAGAGATTTTGTGAGAGGATTAACCGTTGCACAACTCAGTTTTAAATCAAAGACTTGTGTATGAAAGAATCTGACTTTTTTTTTTCTTATCTTTCTCACTCAGTCCACCTAACGATAAGAAGTCTTTCTGCTCCATCGAAGGAGAATGGAACGGAGTGATGTATGCCAAGTGGGCAACTGGAGTGAGTCTTTCTATAAACTAATATTTTTCCCTTGTCTCAAAATTTTTTTGGAATGAGGACGAGGCCTTTTGGGGCTTTTAGCAAACTACCCCGCATTTGTTACACTGGATAATAATAATTATAATTACAAAGATAAATAATAATTACAAAAGGTTTTTAGTTATGAATAAATTTCCTACTTTGTTTTGTTTTTAGGAGAACACTGTGTTTATAGACACAAGAAGGATAGGGATCATCAAGAAGAAAGTGAGAAAGCTGGAAGACCAGCTGGACTACGAGTCTCGACGGTGAGCAAATCAAGCTGCTTTTGATCACCACAGTGGACCCACCCATGATTAAAAAAAAAAGAAAAGTCCCCGACTCACAAAAACTCTTATTTCCGCCCCTTCTAATCCCCAGATTGTGGCGAGATGTGACGTTGAACTTGAAGCAGAGAGACATTGACGCTGCGACGGACGCCAAGCACCGGCTAGAGGAGAAGCAGAGAGCCGAAGCCAGAGAGAGGAAGGAGAACGAGCAGCAGTGGGAGACCAGGGTGAGTCTGTTAATCCAGCAGAAAGAACAGGAACACTGTAAGATCATTACACGGTGTTCCTGTTCTTTCCTGGACGACCAAAAAGTAAACTTTCAATTATTTTTAAGATAACACTTAACACTGTATCATTGTAATATAGCAGGAAAGTGATGGCAGCTCACTATAAACCCTAAATACAGTCTCAAACCCTTTATTTCAGGACCAAATCAGTGTTGTGACCGTCAGATTGTTAGGCATTTTTATTAATGTTTAACCGTTTTTCTGCTTGTGTGTTTGCCACAGCTGTTCCACGAGGACGGGGAGTGCTGGGTTTATGATGAGCCTCTATTAAAGAGATTAGCCTCTCAGAGGCCCTGAGAAGACGACGCACACGCTGAGACACACGGCATACATATGCATAAAGAAATGCACACACAGGAGTCTTCATAAGAACTCTTTTGAAAAAGAAAAAAAAACACTTCTTTTCCAAGCCTTGGAATGACTGACGATTGAAATACGTACACTGCTTTGCATTTGACTGTAAAACAATATGGATATGAATGACATCAAATGGGAAAGCATTTAAGATCTAACGTGTTGTAGTTAAAAGCTCCTCTCATTTGGGCAAATTCACCTCCTCCGATACCCGACGAGACTGAGGCAGTGAACGGTGAAGACTGGAGCGCCGGCACATCTCTCCTCCGCCCCGACGCTTTTTATCACCGCGCCCTCCGGAGAACGAGGCAGAGCAGCATTCTTTTTCCCTACACAAACGTTTGTTCTTTTTGGATTGGGGAGGGGGCACTGGGGGTGAGTGTGTGTGTCTGTGTGCGTGATTGAAGGTGTTGAAATTGAATAAACCTTGAAAACAAACAAACAAATTGGCGCTCTACATCTCAGGGAATCTGGTGACTGAGGAGAGAAAGCTGCTGCCCCCTCCGAGAGTCTGACAGCCTTATAACGGTGAAAGTGATGAGTCTTAAAGGGGCGGGGGAGAAATTCTCCGCTTGCCTGCAACTAGTTGTAACTGTTGTTTATATATAGATATACATATGATCGGTATATAAATATATATTCTTCTTTTTCCTCTTTTTTTTTTAAATTCAGTTTGGTTTATTTTTGTTTCTGGCAATAGTGTAAAAGATATTTGAGGATATGAACTTGATGGCTTTACATTTATAGGAATCATTCCATTTATTGTTTTTTGTCTTGTATTTCCATTACGGGGTCGGCGTGGCAACACCTTTGGTCCGTTGCACCGTTCAGAGGCAAAGCCCCACATAAGCCATAGCATCCGAACTCACTGATTAGGAGAGTTGTTCAGTTGTGAGACATATATGCAATAAAGAGATCATTGACGTTGCCTGTTCAAAGGACACATTTCTGTGTCCATTATGTCAAAACCATTTGGATAAAAGGCTGAAGGGACTTTTTCCTCTGGGCAGAGAACAAGCAATCCTCTGGAAATGTTACCTGAAGACGTTAACGAACAAATGAGTACATATTGGTGTTTCATGGTGAGGATGTTAGACTAGGACTGAGTCCGCACAGCAGCGTCTCCCGGTTTCTTCTCCAAACCCACAGAGGTCAGACTGGATCACCGCGATGGTTCACGTATTGTCAGGAAGCGAGGAGACTGAAAAACAAAGCGAGTGTAACCTTTTGGAACGCTGCTCTTTTGTCACCGTGCTGCTTGATGTCCAGACTGCCGTCTTCCATTGTCAAATCGCCACATAGAGGGCAATATTTACTGCACACCTGTCCTTAAACCATTCATTCTCTTTACGGCTCTGTTGATTGGATATAAGTGCAATGATTTGGGAATAGAAATCTGAAATGAAACATTTTTACCTGAGGATGCTTAAGAACATTGAGCTCACATCAGAAATGAATGTGGTTGATTTCAATGATTATTGAAGGATCCAAGTCTTAAAATCAATGAATCTGTTGAAGGGGATTTATAAAGACAAACATATTCCTGGTGCTGTGTGCGAGAGAAAAAATAAACTGAATTTAATCCTGTAAACTCGTAAAGCATACAAATATGCTTCGAAATGAGCCAAGTGTCTGCGCTAAATTAGTTTGTTTTAATTACCTTTTTTTCCTCCATGCTATGTCTTTGTAAATTATATTGAATCGAGGCCTTGCCATACATTTCAGTATCACTCAAAATGTATTTTTATTTCCATTATGATCTTAACCATTGATTGTATTTATTGATGCATAATATTAAATCTCCATAAGTTTATTCCTGTGAGATGTTTTGATTTGTTATTTCAGATGAGCTCACAACATTGTGACAGACTTCATAGAGGAGAGACTACATCACAGCATTATTAATCGTCCAAAATTAAATCACAGAAATTCATTCGAATAAACAAAACTATTTGTAAACAGACATGTAAGCACAATAAAAACTTAATTGATATTCTTAAAACTAGATATTGTTTTTATCTCTACAATACACGGGCAGACCAAAATGAATGTATATGAGGAGTTAAATCTACATTTATACAATTTCTCAATGCACTGTTTAGTTTCCGGTTATTTACTTTAATGAATCTTGTTTTTATAAGAATAGAAGTTCGTACATGTTAGAACGGGGCTGGCAGGGGCGCTGTCCTCGGAAGTATTTTTCCCATCAGCCAGTGCGACACCCGCTATAAAAAAGGTCCGCACCCTCTGCTAGTTCTCAATCCTCGGCTGCCCATCAGGTAACAACCACCTCAAATCCTCGAGCTACTTGTCCTCGCAATGTTCCTAGATTACTTAATAGTTTGAGCTGTGACGCTTCTTTAAGACAAGCTGCTTCTCTGTCCATTATTGTGGTCAAGTTTTCCTTTTTAACGGAAATCTTAAAACTCAGGCCTCGCCCACGTGACTCTAGTTATCAAACTAACATTAACATTCGCAAATCCTCCGTCTCTTTAAACGAGAATAACCTTGCCGGAGCTTTTCCCCCGTGACTGAATGATGAGAAAACATGTTGGTAGGGACATCTGATTTACTGTGACGAATACCAACTTTCTTCTCCTGACTTCACGGGACAAGGCCCGAAGCCGGTTGGGCTCCACGTTAGCTGCGCTGCTAGCGAGCGTTTAGCTGCTGCGTGGCCCGACCGATGCAGATGTGTTTTCCTCAGTTCGGCTTCATTCATCTTTAACTAATAACGTGCCTTTTTTTTCAGGTTGAAAAAGATGTGCCTCGACGTTAGTGGGGAACCACGCTGCATACCGAGCGGGTGAGTCTCAATAGTTTGTCCGTCTGTATTTAGAATAGTGGACAGATGTCATTTCTGGCATTCAGCCCTGAAACTTTTAGATTAAGCTATACACGTTTCTGATTTTCCCATAACGGAAATCTTGCACTCTAGCACGAGTCACGTGGTGGAGGCCTGCTATCAAACTCCCATTAGCTAACCTCGCTCTTTAACCGAGCCGAACCTTGCTGGAGCTCTTCCGTGACTGAATTAGGAGAACTTGTTGGATGTCTGATTTAAATGTGACGAATGCAAACTTAATTCTCCTGACTTAATGGGACGAGGCCCGAGGCCGGTTCGGCTCCTCGTTAGCTGTGCGGCTAGCGAGCGTTTAGCTGCCGCGCCGAATTGATGCCGATGTAATTTCATCAGTTTGTTGCCTCGTTAATTTAACTGTATAACGTGCTTTTTTTTTTTCCAGGTTGAAAAAGATGTGCCCCAACTTTAGTGGTGAACCACGTATCATACAAAGCTGGTGAGTTTCCCCCCCACCATCCCTGAAAGATAGTTTGTTCAAGTCTGTGATGCATTTAGAGTAGTGGACAGATGTGATTTCTGACAAATTCAACTCTGAGACTTAAATTGAGCTATAAAAGTTTCTCTGTGACCAGCGTGGTGCTGAACTGTTTGTTTCAACAGGTGTCTCGGAAGTTGAGAGTCGTGCAGGAAGCAACAGTGGGAGCAATTGCAAAAAAGGTACGGATTACTTTAATATCTAGACGGACTTTTGCTTCTCTGACATTTGGAGAAGCGTCAGTCTGCCTTTATCCTGCAGTGTGCTTGTGATGCCATTTATTTGCTACTCTCGACAACATGGATGACGATACTTTCAACCCACCAGTTGACTTATCTGAGGCACCAAGCTTGTTGCCTTCAGGTTAACTATTATTATTTTGTTTGCTCATCACTTGTGTTTCTGCAGGTGTGCCTACATTTTGTTCACGGATCAGTGATGGGTCCTTATAGCAGGTAAGGAACTTTCTTTACTTTCTTTTTTTTAAACAAACTGTAAATGATGATACTTGGGAATCTCTCTGAAAAAAGTGAAAGACTAACTTTTTTTACTGATACAGAACAGACTAAAATGCTTACATAAGAGAATATGGGAGTGTTTACTCATCCTTAGTTTTAACTTGCAGGTGCCCCCCCCCTCGACTTGCCTTGGGATGCCTTTCCTCGGTTCACGGTGAGTGGCTTTGTACTTGATTGAATGTTTGATTACAAACGTCTGATACAATGATGAGCGCATAGTTCAACAGATTAACAATGACGATCATGCGTTTTTGTCTTTCGCTCCTATCTGATGTGTTGGCCTCAACCACCGGTGAGAACCTGTTGTTCTAAACACTGTTTAAAAAAAAAAAATCGATATTCTTTTTCAGAAATGTCTGATGGGAACACATTGCCGTCCTCCAAATTGAGGTGAGTGCAGGTCCTCATCTGGGATCAACAGCCTGGTGCTTGATACAATGATGAGCGCATAGTTCAACAGATTAACAATGACGATCATGCGTTTTTGTCTTTCGCTCCTATCTGATGTGTCAGCCTCTGCCACCAGTGAGAACACCAGTTTTAAATGACGTTTTTAAAATATTCATGTTCTTAATTTTCAGTAACTTCAATGCCAGGAGCTCACCACTGCTATCAGAATTGAGGTGAGTGAATTTCCTCGCCGGTGATGAACAAACCGTGTGGTGCTTGATACCATGATGAGAGCATAGTTCAACAGATTAACAATGACGATTATGCGTTTTGTCTTTCGCTCCTAGCTGATGTGTCAGAGTTGTCATTTAGTCCTGTGTGATAAATACAAGAGATGCTCACAAGTCTTCTCCTCCAGCCAGAAATGTGAAACCCTCCCGCCAGAAGATCTTTCAAGACTTTGGTAAGATCATCTAATGGTTCAGTTTTCTGCAGAAACTATTATTCAGATGTGATGAGCAATAATCAGGTCTCCGATATTTTTGAGGAAGTAATTTAATCTGATCTGGATTGTTTTTTTTAAGAACTTTTAATTTATTTTATTCATATTAATTTACACAAAGCTTCTTACAGGTGATGTCGCTTGTTGGCTCTTCCAGAGGACAACATACCAGCAGAGTGAGTATGAGAGTGAACCCACACAGACTCAGACGACCAGGTTCAGGTGGTATAGAATCAAACAATAAGGTGGCAATATATTAGGCTAATGTCCACTTCCCATTGACCACTGAACTCTCCTCTGAGTCTGGACGTGCTGCCAATGTTGACACCTGTGATGACAAAGTTAAGACTGACCAATCCATGAAGTCATGTTTATTAGCTCTAACTGACCTGGTCAGTGTGAGTTAGGTTATCCTATCCCAAGTTGTGGGCATATTTGACTCACTAATTTCTATTTTCAGGTGTGACTGCTGACTTTAAAGGCCTTTGACAAGATCAGTTTAGGTGAGACCAAAAATCCTCCAGTAAATGAAATTAGTGACTTGGGTTAAATGATGGTTTACCAAATGTCTGGACTGAACTTCTATGTGGATAATTTATGTTGCTGACTAACCCAGTAAATGTACTTTTCAATAAACGAGTCATTGAATTCTAATAACTACTATTTGTGCATCCATCAGGAAAGGGCTTTTCCTCATCATAGTACCAAAAAATGGGCTGCCTCATCATCCATGGTAAGAATTTTAAGTCTCTAGTCTCAGTAATTCCTCCACTAGACCTGTGATGAAAAAGATTCTGCCAAATGATCTCATGATTATACTCCTTCCGTTCCATTTTTTCCTGAGGCAATGTAGTGTGTTAATCTGGCCTGTTTGTTTCCACATGTCAATATTTACGAGACCTTGTTCCCCCCCACAGAATGACTCCCTCAACGGCTTGATGCTGGCCAGTGGCAACCCAGTTGATTCCCTTGCTCCATGGTAAGCATTTAAAGTCTCCATTCTATTTCTAGTCTCAGTAATTCCTCCACTAGACCTGTGATGAAAAAGATTCTGCCAAATGATCTCATGATTATACTCCTTCCGTTCCATTTTTTTTCTGAGGCAATGTGGTGTTAAAATTGTCTGTCCTGTTTAGTTACGGTTTCCCCATGTCAATATTTACGAGACCTTGTTTCCCCCCCACAGAATGACTCCCTCAACGCCTTGATGCTGGCCAGTGGCAACCAGTTGATATAAACTTTTGTTACGACATTGTGGAAATAAAAATTCTAAAACAATTCTACCTCTTGTGTATTGGTACTTTAATCTCAACTATTGATGGGTAAATAAACTCAAATGATGTACAATACTAGTTTTACTGTCATGTATTAAGGGTAGCTTTCCATAGAGGGGTGATATGTTAAGTCTTTCAGTGGCGTATAATAAACCGGGGAGGCAAAGCAGTGGTTGCATTTAAAGAGGGGCGGCACCAGCTATGCGCATGCGCAGTTCACCGCCGCTACGGCGAGCAGAGGGGTAAATGTCCGCCAATAAGTGTCCGTGTTTGAACAACCCGGAAAGGGACCGCGCGGCGTTCACTCTGCTCTCCGCCGCCTCGGACCGTCCTCTTCACCCATGTTTGTGCGGTGGCTGCTGCCTGTGCTCCTGGCGCTGTCCGCAGAGGCCAACTTCTTCCAATTCGGAAGCATTTCAAATGCTTCCACTTACTATTTTAATTACATCTATTGCAATATATGGGAGGGGGAGTGCCAGCCCAACCAGGACGATGCAACACAGCAGGGTAAGGTTTTATTACCACAAATAAACACACACGCCGTGTGAATTTACGTTTTTTTTTTTTATTCGGCCGTTGGTGCTGATGTATAACGAAGTCGTGTCGATGTTGGTAGCAGTTCCCACCAGCGACCTTTGGGCGGGTTTTTCTCACGACTACAGCAGCCTGCTCCATCAGTGGTACTGTAGCCTGGGCCAGTGCTGCGACTCTGGAGACTGCAGGATAACCAACAACATCTCAGGTATCTGCTGCATGCGAGGATCCGTCCAGTCAGCCTCGTTCCATTGAGCTGTTTTTGTCAAGGGTGGTTAACTGCTCCATTTATACCAGATCAAATATGAAAATAAGACATGGTTCCTTTACGATACTGGTCTGTTTAATTATAGTCCTACATTTACAGCTTGTTTTTCAATGTAGCTTCTGGAAGTTCGGTATGCAAGTTGCTTTGAATTCTGCAACGTGGACATATCTCAATATAAAGATTACGAGACTTTTTAAATAAATATTTTACATTAAATTTGGGTAAAAGAGCCATATCCATTCAGTAATCTAACCATATGTATTTTAAAATGGCAGCTGATATTGATTTTTTTTTTAAACCCTAAATTAGCTTTTCATTGAATTAAAATGCCTTTTTGTTGAAAGCCAATATTTTACTCCGGCGTTCAGAATGCCTTTAACTTTAGTGGCTGTGTTGTAGTTGAATTCTATTCATTAGCTTTAACTATAGTTAAATGCTTTAGCTGCTCGCTGTCATTACCCTTTGAATTTTAATCTGTGAATTTTCTGTGCCAGTGAATATCTTCCCATCTTAGAATCCAACGCGCTAACCGCTGTGTCCGTCTTTATCCTCTCTCCTGTGACAAGTGCAGGTCTGGCGAGGGACCTCAAGACCAAGCTCCACGGGCAGCACCTGGTCCAGTCTGTGGTTCTGAAAGCCATCCAGGGTTTCATCAACAACCCGGAGTCCAACAAGCCACTGACACTCTCCTTCCATGGCTGGTCTGGCACGGGCAAGAACTTTGTGGCCCGGATCATCGCCGACAACCTTTACCGGGACGGGGTGAAGAGCGAGTGTGTCAGGCTCTTCATCGCCCCGTTCCACTTCCCGCACGCCAGGCTGGTGGACACGTACAAGGTGCGACCTGCAGAGCCTCGTTAGAACGGAGTGTGCCCTTCTGTGCCAAGGACAAGCTGCCAGTGTCCTGTGTGTTTTAATTCAGCCAATCGATGATAACCTTCTGGACAGATGCTTTAAACCAAACATCGGTCCAACGTGTACTGACGCGCTTGGCTTTTTGGAACCTGGTTTTTGTTTTTCTTCAAACCAGGTCACAGGTGCCAACGTGGTTCCAGCTACTCACATTTTTACACAATCACTACGTTAGATTTCCAAATGATGTTGACTCAGTGTTGTCAGACAACTGGATCCAGATGTGAAAGGGAATAGTACGCACGATGACCTTTAAACCCTGATACTTTCAAAGCCTGCGGAATCTTCTTATTGGCAACATCTGACACATGTCGATGTCACTAGACAAGCTTTCTTATTTACCTGGTTAATCATAGAAATAAATCATGAAACATTTATATGACCTTTTGCACGGTTCAGCCCTTTGTATATAATGTAGTTTATCAAAGGTCTAAAAGTCCAATTTCAGCGGTCGAGGTCTTTGTCCGACTCAAAGCTTAACAGTCGTCGCACTGGGGTTCGTTCTCTGTGTGCAGGGCCAGCTGAGGGAGGCGATCCGCGACATGGTGCTGCGCTGCCCTCAGACTCTCTTCATCTTCGACGAGGCTGAGAAGCTTCACCCGGGCCTCATTGATGCCATCAAACCCTACATGGATCACTATGACAACGTTGATGGAGTCAGCTACCGCAGAGCCATCTTCCTCTTCCTCAGGTTGGGTTGCATAACAGGCACATCACATCTCTGCTGTCCTTGGGATTCTGTCAGCTCATCTGAAATTAACGATGCTCCTTTGTTCCCATAAGCCCCCTAAATTCATTTTTCATATTTTCAATTTGTCCAATTACGGCTGATGCATAATCTGCGTTTCAAATATAGGGTTAGATACACACCATGAAGAGGCCTGGAATCACTAAAACACTGTTGTAACAATATCATGTTAAACAAACATAACATTTTTATTCAGTTCTCATTCTCTAAGCTTAGCAATAGTTTCATGTGATAATATATAAGCATAGTTATGAATATTATGTTTATCCTTATAAATCATCAAAGATAATGTATTAAAAAAGGTTGAATTACCCACAAAGCCTCATGTCTTATACTACTGCACTGATCCAGTAAAAAAAAATCAAATCCTCCATAAATAACCTCAGAGACTTTCCATCTTGTTTTCCACTTCCCTTTTGTCTCTACAGTAATATCGGTGGAGCTACGATCAATGACGTCGCACTGGACTTCTGGCACTCGGGTCAAAATCGAGAGGATATCGGCATGGAAGACCTGGAGCATCGTCTGCGGGCTGAAACTATGGAGTCTCATGGTATCCCGTTGATTTTTCGATTCTCTCTAGAACGATTCGGTCTCGATTCAGAAAAGTTAATAATGGGAATAAAAAAAAAAAAAAGCATGTCTCGCGCGAGCAAAAGTTTGTCATCATTACCGGCACATTAAGAGCAATGCGTCCAGCTCGCAGACCGGTCCGTCAGTCTGAATCTGAATATCTTGCCAACTTTACCGAACTATGGAGGAGCCTGCGCATATCTTACCTCATTATTTCGATTTTCCAAAAAGTCGATCCGTATTGAAAGTTGGCAAGATATTCACAGATTTGGACTTTTTTCCGGTATTTTACAAATACGGACCGGTCTGAGACTTAAGAGCAGCTTTTTCTTCATTTAAAAGAAAAGTGAATCTGTTTAAAAAGTGAATCTGTTTAGGCTACTTCCATATTGTGTTGAAATGCAAGCTGCATTGGTTCTTGCATTGTTGATAGAAAATCATATTTGACAAAGATTTTTTTTTCTTATAAAAAATTAGAGAAGGTAATTCATCTGTTGATTTTCTTTAATTATCAAATAAAGTAGGAAGTGATTAGCAACCTCTGAGTAGCAAACTCAGATTTGAGAATATTGCGATGCATCGATAATCGTTTTATCAGTTTAAAATCAATAATCGGTTTAGAGTCGAATCGTTGACCTCTGAATCGGAATCGAATTGTGAGGTGCCAAGAGATTCCCACCCCTAGTTTTAACACTCTGCCATTTCATCGCGTGCAGGAAGTGAAGCATTTCTGTGTCAGTGTATGAACTACAAACCCCTTTTGCATGTGTGATTTGGTCGGGCAACCCTCTCACATTAAAACAAGCCTCTCCTACCTTTATACAAAACATTAATTTATGCAGTTTTAATTGTGTAATTGCTCCATGGTTCCCAGGTGGGTTCGCTCAGAGTGAACTGATGTCCGGCCACCTGATCGACTTCTTCGTACCATTCCTGCCTCTGGAGTACCGCCACGTCAAGCTCTGTGCGCTGGACGCCTACACAGCACGAGGTCTGGAGACCGATGAAGCTACGCTGGATGAGGTTGCCAAGGCGATGCTGTACGTCCCCAAAGAGGAGAGACTGTTCTCAGCTCAGGGATGCAAGTCCATCCCCCAGCGGATCAACTTCTTTCTCCCTTAGGAGGGAGCGACAGACAGACAGAGACCTGGAAGGGATGTGAGATTGATTTACCAACCCATGTACGCACAGAGCCACAGGGATGTGTCCTCGCTGCTCGGCTCCACGTACTCTCCCCCCCACACACACACACTCCCCCACTCCCCCCACAGATACCAACACGTGTCTGTCCAGGTCCCTCAGAAGGCCAGAAAGCAGGACTGATCCTGTATAAGAGGGGGAAGCAGCTTGAGTCGCCCTGCAGACACGAGCAGCGCCACACGGTCGTCATGCGCAGTGTGGCTGCTCCTCTTCACCTGCCTGCTTTGAATCCTCGCTGTATCAAAATGCAGTATTACACAGTACTAGTGGTTTTGAAGTGTCGTGGAGATTGAGTGATACATTTTTGTCTCGCTATTCTTTTTTTCTTCTTTAGCAAAAGTGGTATTCTTACTGTTTTTTTAAAGTTTAGTTTCATACTTTGTGTGCCAGCTTTGGCCTGTAAGACATAGTGCTAAATGTGCACGTATTATTTATTGATATTAGTTGTGATGTAGTTCAACATCTTTTTGTCGATTAGGTTGAATGAACGTTTGATGGGAGCCGGTGTTATGCGTAAATATTAAAAGAAAAATATAGTGCGCCTGTATAACGGTGAACGTACATGGCACTGGGATGCAAATGTTACTGAAAATGTGAGTACACGCCTCAAAAGCAACGACTGAAGGATTAATTGTTTTCGTAAATGATTTAATAACCGTGCTTTTAATATATTTTTAATAGGTTGTTACTATTGTGTCACATGTCTTGTGTCATTAATTCATTTTGCTCATACATTGTTCTTGTTGACTTGTTTTAATGCTTTCACATAATCTCACAGGGGTTTGAGGTGGTCTGCTTTAGTGCTTTTCAGTGCCAAAGCTCAGGATCACGTCACAAGAACATGAAAAGAAATGTCGGAAATGGGATTTTATGAAAATAAACACTGTAAACTGACAAAGGTTTCTTTTAACTAATTATTTTGAGGGGATTAATTTGATGAATAAATCTATGCCGTTTAATATATTCATCATGCTAACCATCTATAGCTTTATTTAAATAGCGCAAGAACATGAAAGGGTGGTTAAAAACAAACAACGTACATAAAAGCAAGAACTGAACGGTTGTCAACATGACAGAATGCACATTTGTATTTTAATGCAGCATATGTCTTATATCATTTTGCCAGTCGACCAATAGATTTAAAGGCTGTTAAAACTGTTGTATTACTGTTTTTACGTTATTCCATACATGCATGATTCACGCAGGGCGCATCACTCTTCCTTGGGCGTGTATCAAGCAAACGCGTGGTCTGCTCCCATTGGCTGCACCGGTTGTCCTTCAAGGTTTCCCCCCCGGCCGATTGGCCGAGATGAGCAACGCTTCCTCGTTGAGGCTCAACGCCGCCGTCCAATCAGATTCAGACATCTGTTCCGAGCCGAGAGGAGACCAGCGGCACCCTCTCAAGCGCTTATCACAGTAACGTTAGCACGTTAGAGACTGCGCCGGCGAACAACGCCTTCTCCGTGAAACAGAACAATTCATTTGTGATTCTACCCGGGTTTTTTCGCCTCTGGCGTGGTCCTTTATCGCGTCACAATGACAGCTCTGTCGCTGCTTTTGTTGGCCGTTTCGGCCGCAGCTGCACTGGCCGAGTCCACTGTGTATTTGCGAGAGCAATTTGAAGATGGGGGTGAGGTTCTTTTTTTTTCTGTACAATTTTATATATTATACCTAATGCTACGCTATGTATCCGTTTTAATACATAAACAGAAGTGTTAAATATATAGTAAATATGTTAGATATCAGAATATTAATTCAATGCGCTAGTGGTGGCCTTTTAAGATGTTTAATGATTTATCTTGACACAGCTCCTCATAATTGGGCCCTTTTAATACGCGTGTCCGCATACCGTTCTGTTTGGCATCTAGTCCAACTTAAAATACATCGGCACCGTTCGTATTTTGACCTGACCTCCCTTCCTCTTCGTCCTCTCCATACAACCCCCCCCCTCACCAGCTGTCATCAAACCCTGCCCCCTCTCCCCCTCCGCCCCTCTCCTCCATGAACACCCCCCCCACCAACAAGAGGCGTAGATGGTGACGGCTCCTAAAGCCCCCTGCAGCACAGCACATTGCTGGCGCACCTGCAGCGATGCATCACCACCAGTGGTGGTTTTAGCGGCTCGTGCGTGTGTTAGCAGAGACTCAAACATACTCTCTCCTCGTCGTTGTTGTTGTGGTGAAGATGCCTGGAAGAGCCGCTGGGTGGAATCCAAGCACAAGTCAGACTACGGCCAGTTGGTTCTGAGCGCGGGGAAGTTCTACGGAGATGCAGAGAAAGACAAAGGTGAGGGGAAACCTTTTTTTTTTTTCAATTGTATGATATCACTGGGGATCTGTTTGAGTTGTTGCGGGTGCGTTTTATGGATGAGGTGCATCCTGTTTGTCTAAGCTCTGTGCTGAGGAGGTTTAGGGACACATTTGACTGACATGGATATAGAGGGATTTGGTTTTATTGTCGTCCTTTTTATAGGACCGTTAATTCTTCAGTTGTTTGTGTGACGTCATAAAGTGGGACAAGTAAGTGCGTCTGCTTCAGATGTGAAAGCAAAATCTACACATGCATCTCAAAAAAGATTTAGAGCTGCAAACGAGTCACTCTTTAAAGTCCCGTCTTGTGTCGGAGTCTTTTTCTCGTACGGTGTGTCATCATGGTGAATGCAGGACTTCTCGCTGAGAATCTGAATGTGGGTTTTATTTGTTGCTGTCAGGGTGTCAGTTTTCACCCCATTATTCACTCCCTGTGGAGCATCTCCAGGATCGGACGGCACATGACATCATCACAACGGGCCGCCTCTCCGCCGTGAAACTCGTCTTCGTTAACGCGGATGCATGGCGCTGAGACTCTTCCCTCTCGCCGCAGGTCTGCAGACGAGCCAGGACGCCCGCTTCTACGCTTCCTCGTACCGCTTCGACGACTTCAGCAACCAGGGCGAGCCTCTCGTCATCCAGTTCACCGTCAAGCACGAGCAGAGCATCGACTGCGGTGGAGGCTACATCAAGCTGTTCCCCTCTGGCCTCAACCAGGAGGAGATGCACGGAGACTCCGTCTACAACATCATGTTTGGTGAGTGCGGACGGGTTCCACCGGCAATTTTGGTGGCATATTTCTTCGCATGTTTCACCAAACCTTAAAATTTAGGGTGGAATTGAGATATTTAGCTTTTTGTTTGCTTGTTTAGGTCCTGACATTTGTGGGCCCGGGACGAAGAAGGTGCACGTCATCTTTAACTACAAAGGCAAGAACCATCTGATCAACAAAGACATCAGGTGCAAGGTGAGAATTCAAGTTATTCTTTGATTTTACGTTTACTTGGTGAAACATTTTCAAATTCGCTGAAAAAGTCTGTCTGAATGGTTGTTCCATTAGTTGTCATTTTGTATCACGTTCTGCAGTTTTACTTGTAATTCATCGCGAATGCCATCTGAATAACAAATCATTTCATACCGAACAGGACGACGAGTACACCCACTTGTACACGCTGATTGTCAACCCCGACAACACTTACGAGGTCAAGATCGACAACAAGAAGGTTGAGTCGGGCAATCTGGAGGATGACTGGGACTTTCTGCCTCCCAAAAAAATGAAGGACCCTGAAGCCAAAAAGCCTGAGGACTGGGATGACCGGGAGAAGGTTCCCGACCCCGACGATAACAAACCAGAGGTCAGCTGGCTCGAGCGGCTCTGGAACTCAATTTGTCTGTGTTTTTCATAATCCTCCTTTTGGGGACGTTTTTCTCATACTCATTTTCAACATTTCAATTAATTTGGAATCCATATGTATTTTTTAAATTTTTTTATTGTCATGTTCATGTCTTCACTTGTATGTCTTTGGCAGGACTGGGACAAGCCAGAGAACATCCCAGATCCTGATGCAAAGAAGCCTGATGACTGGGATGAGGAGATGGACGGAGAGTGGGAGCCGCCTATGGTCGCCAACCCTGAGTACAAAGTAACGGACACTTAATAGGAATGATTAATGACTCACGGACCGGTTTCATGTTATTATTATTTAACAATTGGGAAAGAATTTGGTCATTTTTCAAACTAGATTTTTTTTTTTTTTTTTTTTAATGGGCAGATAAATTCTGCTTTTGATTCGTCTGCCATAAACCCCACTGTTTTGTGTTTTATAGGGTGAGTGGAATCCCAAAGAGATCGACAATCCAGCCTACAAGGGCAAGTGGACCCACCCGGAGATCGACAACCCGGAGTACACAGCCGACTCCGAGATCTATAAATACGACAGCATTGGGGTGATTGGACTCGACTTGTGGCAGGTGAGAACTCACAGAAGCTGACTTCATCTTATTCATGGGGCTGCGCATTTGATCAGAGCTGCATGAGTGTGATATCTGTTCAATGTGAAATTAGTTTTTTCTGAAATATAATCCTGCCGCAGATATTTCTTAGCTGGTGCTTCATATTAAAAGTCTTAATAAAACATCTTTGTGTGCAACAGATCGTCACAATATAATCCTCTCAAATGGTTTCAATGGAAATGGGCCTAATGATGTAAATGTGATCATTCCCTGTAATCCGACAAATCCCATTTCAACTGCAATATTAGCTGTTCAGCCAAACATATTTACTGAATAACCTGAAAGGAATTAAAAATGAATTAAATGGAACAAGCACAAACTAGTATGTGAATTGAACCTCGTACTTGCAAATTATACTTTTTTTTTTTTTTTACACTATTTTTGTTGGAGCTGAAGCTTTTCTTCTTTTTTTTCTTTTACTGGATATGTTTTCTTGAAGCAAGTGTAATGTGGACTTCTATCTGATTCAGGTCAAGTCTGGCACCATCTTCGATAACTTCCTGATCACCAACGACCCGAACCTGGCCGAGGAAGTAGGCAACGACACCTGGGGTAAAACTAAGGTCAGCCCAAAACCCTTCATCCTGAGCCAGACTTTGTTTGTGCATTTTGAAATGGTTTAATGTGGGTTTCCCCTCAGTGAAATCCTTGGGGGGTGTAGCATTAAGAAGGGTTGTCTATAGACAACCGCTGTTAACAACAGCATGACGACATTTTAATTTAACGTGTTGCCGTCATGTGACCCCCCCCAGGATGCAGAGAAGAAGATGAAGGAAAGCCAAGAAGAGGAGGAGAGAAAGAAACGCGAGGAAGACGACAAGCAGAGGGGAGAGGAGGCAAAGGAAGAAGAAGAAGAGGATGAGGAGGAGGAGGAAGAGGAGAAAGATGAGGAGGGAGATGAGGAAGAGGATGAGGAGGAAGAGGAGGGAGAAGAGCAGGAGGAGGAAGAAGAGGACGAAGAAGGCACAGACTCTAAACTCAAGGACGAATTATAAACTCCACGCAAGAACTAACTGTGTCAATGAGCCATGTGAGCGAGACCGACGAGGTGATGGACCCTCGCGACTGACACCCTGGGGTGGGGCGGGGTTTTCCATTTGTTTGTTTACAAAGCAAGGGAGTAGGTGAAAAAGGGCAATTATTGTTGTTCTGTGCTACTACTACTACCACTACTACTACTATTGTTATAATTATTATTATTGTTATTATTAATCATGGAATAGTACTAGAGAGAAGGGAGTTGTCACAACAGGAAATCAAGTCCATCCGTTAAAATGTTTTGCCCAACAGAAATGGATATCATTTGTGTTCTTCAAAAATCTGTTTTTATGAAGTATAATGTGGTGGTGACATGGGAAGCTATGTTTTGGTACGTGGATGATACCATAAAAAAGATGTCTGTTTACCTCACGTTTTAGTTGTATTAATCTGTCACATGTTTTATTTTATAGTACCTTTTACAGTCAAACTCTCTCTGTCATGTCCCTTTTTGTTAAAAAAAAAAAGAAATTGTCAATCTCAAACTAAGAGTTAGACAAGATCACACTGGCTGTTTTACCTGCTCTTATTTAACCAGCTTGGTTTGAACGAGGGTCGACGGTGTGGTTGCATCGGGACCGATCCGTTGAAGAAAGACATCGCCCATAGGATGATAACACCGGGTGCGTTGAGGAGAAACCCCCCCGCATCGCTTTGTACTGTATAGCGCACCCTTTTCTTTCACTTCGATGCATATACTGTAGTCTTGTCTGTCTAAATAAAAGTGTGCTTAAACTCTGATGTACATTGAGAGCACTCCAGTAGCAGTTAAGCTTGCGTTAACTTGGAACATGTTTACTCGTGGTAGGTGTACACAACCAGTTTTTCCCCATATGTTGATATCTGCACTGCTGTACCCCAATACACTATCCCAAATAGTCTGAGAGATGATCCTTTTGTAAAAGACACATTTTGTACTAATGGTAGTAATTGAAGTGGGAAGATTTCCATGTTGCTGTGTAAAAAAACAAAGAAAAGTGCTCTGTCCAATAAAACCGACCAGTGGAAAATGAGCATGCTTCTTCCTCTTTTTTTGTTTTGATAGTGTTTTTTTATTTATTTTGATTGCATGACATAACACAGATCATTGGCTAGTATGACCTTTACTTTTGCTTCCTGTTTCCTGTTTGAGTGATTTCATGTTTACTCTCCACCCCTGTTAAGTACATTTACAATGTAGGTACTTGTGTGTTTTCATTCATTCCACGACATTTCAGAGGGAAATGCATTTCATCAAGTTTATCTGACTGCTGTAGCTACTACTAGTCATACTGTACAAACAGATTTCATATAAAATAGCACACAAACTGACATGAATTGATTAAACTACCTCAATAGAATATATGATAGTTAACATTAGCGCCACCTAATGGCAGTTACAATAATGTAATAGTAAACATGTGAAAAGGGCATTTTAGCATACTTATGTAATGTGAATGCAGAACTTTTTGTATTTTTGCCAAACACATTCGTTTAACTTCCAACAATTGTATCAACTGATTATATTTAAGTTTACAGATATGACTGAACATCTAATTTGGTAAAAGTGTTGTAGATTATTACTTAATGCAAATCAGCACATGAAATAGAACAAAAAACATGCATAATAATTAAATAAATAGTGCAGAGGGTGCACTGGATATACTCCTATTTCTAACTTTTTTGATCAAGTTGTTGTTTTTCATCCGTGACTTTAGTCCGTTCTAAATACATAGATCATAATTGTTTGTTTTGGTGTATGTTTCGCTTCCCCGGGGCGGGAACAATTAACCGCCGTGATAATGCGCCAAGTCATCATTTGAGTGGAATCGACTCCCGTCGCCGAGGATCCAGCGCCGGGTTTTCCCAGCGGCCCTCCGTCGGTCCGTGTCTGGCAGCAGCAGCATGAAAGCGGTGGGAAACAGAAACGTTATGGCTGCCGCTCTGTCTCTCACTCAGGTAACACTGTCCTACAACTCAAACATATAACGGTAGAAAAAGAAACCTGTCGTGGTCCGGCTCCGCGCGGAGACACTTTCCGAGCTGTGTTAGCGAAAACCAGGCGGGCCGAAGCGCCGAGCTCATCTGCACCCTCGGGTCTCTCTTTTTTTGTGGAAGTTTAGCGCTGCTGTGAAAGTGAGGAAAAGTTTCTGGCTAATTTCTTCGGGGACTGCGTAAGGGCGTAGCTAGCTAGCTAGCTAGCCTGCTAGCCAACCGCCAGTTTGTGTGCGGGGTTAGAGCCGCTTTTTCTTTTTTTCATTTTTTTCAAAACTTGAGATAAGCTATTGCTCGTTGCATGGCGTCGGGTGAGTCCGGAGCCCGGAGCCCTGTGTGTGTGTTATTGTGTGTGTGTGTGTGTCATGTCCTGTTTAGCCTCGCTTTTGCTGCAGGCTAACTAGTTGGTGGCGGCCAAAGAGATGTTTTAATACGGGAGAAGTCATGTGTGGCTTCACTGTCACGTCTCCGTTGGTGGAGCCTCCGCTAACGCCGTTTGACGCAAACAAACGAAACCACTTAAACAAGTTACGCTAAACTCATTGTACGTTATAACGTTACGTGGTTGGTTTCCTTTTTATTGTTTAACGTCGCTGGATATATGGGACTAAACAAGTGAGCTTTTTTTGTATTACTATTACTGGAGGTGAACATACTTAGTGACCGGGTCAGTGCCTTTCTCTGTGACCTCTCTAAAGTGGACAACGTGTACTGTTAGCCTGCTAGCCATTTAGTTCTTTTCTGTCCATAACGACACTAAAAAAATACAACTAAAACTTCCATCCATCGTTAACAGTGGTTTTGTCAAGCAGTAAGAGGAAGTGAACTTGAATGGCCGCCAGTCAGCACTTCTGTCACAAAATGTCAGACCACTGCTGGTCAACTTAAATGCTAACGTTTGTTTGCACAGTAAATCAGTTGTGTAGCTTAGCATACAGCAGCCAGGTCTAATAAGTAGAGCCCCACACTTGTTACCTGAGCCACTGTTGCCTTTGCCCGACAGACAGCTGTTCTGTCTGTTCTCTGCCCAGATGAGATCAACAAGTTGTGTGTATTTGTGTGTTGTTGAAGCTTCATTGAGGGTGTCAGGCAGTGATGCTGTTTTTTTTTTTTAACTTTGCTGTTCAGCCTAATCGGCCTGATCATCCCCAAACACACAGATTTGCGTTAACAGTGACATCGATGTGGTTTCTCTTTGCCATGGGTGAGTTAGGGAATTTAAATTCCCAGAACAAACTGGACTGGTTTGTAGATTCCTGCATCTTGACATCTTCTATGGGTGTTTTTCTTTTTCAATGCTCAATTAAAGAATCACCAGTACAATGACCTTAGTGTTGCAGTTGACAACAGCACACTATTGTGTGCGTGTGTGTCACAGAAAATAAGTTACATTTGCCAGAGAAAGGTGTGTGTGTGTGTGTGTTTTGTGTGTGCGAACACCCCTATCTTGCTTTAAAGTGTTGAAAAACCAGCTGGTCCCAGCCAGTGTTTTTCTAAAGTCTTCACCTGTGCCCGAGCTATCACAAGACTGACAGATCTTTGCCATAATCTCTGTTTTGCATTGTGGAATGATTGCTCAGCCCAGCGATGGACATTCGTGCTAACACGGGAAAGGGGGATGTTTAGAGAGGACGTGACAGAAGGTAAAATTAGCTGTTGTCTGTGAAGCGACGCCCTGTTGAAACCGTCAAGCTGACCATCCCTTTTCGTGTATCCTGAAGTCATAACTCTCTGTCTACCACTCGGCAGAGACCCTCGTTATCATTGTGAGTCATTATGTTCACAATAAGGTGAAATGGCACGTTCTGAATGGGCTCCGCTTTCCCTGGAAGCACACAATTGTAAATCCCCTCCAATGATCGTTAATGGATCTAGCTAATGCCGGGAACAATAAATTGACTGAGAAAAGCATTTGCAGGCAAGTTTGATAATGGTTATTTATTTTAGAGACATTACTTACTACATTACTGGCTGAGAGTATCTGAGTTTGGAATGTTTAGCAGTGTTGGTCTTATTGACTCTTTTCTCAAAAGCTTGCGTGTCATACTCATAGTAAATGTTATTTTGGTTTATCAAAGAAAGCATTAAAAGTAATTTGTAAAGTAAAGTGATTATTAATTGCTGCCCCTAAAATACTTAATGTAAAATAAGTCTGATGACTAATTCTGGCATATTGTACGAAAGGGACTGTTCATTTCTCCCGGCAGATTTTGTGGGCCGTTGGCACACAGCTGTCTTGGCGACGACTAAAAATAAAGTTGAATTTAACATATTGCTTGTGCCCTTCTGTAATGGCTCAGTCTATTTTATATTGACAGCTGTCTCTGCTTACTCAGTAACACTTGCTGTAGTTAACGTGTCATTCGAGTTTTTAAACTGAGAACAAGGATTTCAAGACGTTTTATTTTCTTATAAAGCCATTTTTAAATTGCTGGATTCATTCTATATACTTATGAATTTATTCCCCCCCCCTCCTTTCTTTACAGCTCTCCAGTGGAAATCCCATTTATGACAAATACTACCGACAGGTATGCATCTCTCCAAAAATAAAACAATATGTTTTTGTTTTTTTACTTGGGTGCTGTGTGTGCTCTGCAGTATACAAAGTGTTGAGCCCATTACTCTTGTTTGGTAGTCATTTAATGCTGAATCTAGTGTTCTTGTATTGTGGTGTAAGCTGATCTGCATAAGAGCTGGCTCATGTACAAAGTTAAACCTGGGTGCCCTGACCCTTTTTGAATTGTAAACTAGCTTAAGATGGTTAAACAAACTAGTGTGCTTGAGCAGTGATCTCTTCTCTCCTTTCGGTTCCAGTTTCCGTGTCCAGTAAGCAAAATATCTCCATGCATTAATAATGTTTCCCTCTTACGTGTCAGGGGAGCTCACTGTGAGCCTCATGAAAGACTACCACCAGATCCAATACCGAGCTAATAGACTGCTGAGAAAAACGCTTTGGTTTATTGTCAGTATTGATTTTTAGTGAATCCTCAGTTTTAATTTGTGTTATTTGCCTCCCTCTGTCTTCTCCTTTCATCCTTCTATTCAAACACAGTTTTGTCATTCTATAATCCTCTTGGCCAATAAGCCATTCAGTGTCTGTCTCGGCAGTGCAGATGTGTCACTGATGTTTCTGAGCTGTAATGACGATGTGCGTGCAGGTGGATCCTACTGGCAGTGGGCGGGTGGCGGCAGCGGATGCAGCTCTGTTCCTGAAGAGGTCTGGCTTGGCTGACCTGGTGCTGGGGAAGGTGAGCAAAGATCATGACGTCTATGTTGTTCTTGCTGTTCATGTTGATGGTAATTAATGTGTGTGTGTGTGTGTGTGTGTGTGTCTCAATAGATCTGGGATTTGGCAGATTCAGAACGTAAAGGGGCTCTTAACAAGCAGGTACAAATGACTAATAAATAAAGTGACATTGTGCTGGAATTGTTCATTTTATGTGCATCTGCTCACTATATCCATTTCACATAGTGCACCTTTTGTTCCCTTCAGCAATTCTTCATAGCGTTGCGGTTGGTGGCCTGTGCTCAAAATGGCCTGGAGGTGGCGCTCAGGAGCCTTAATGTGGCTCTTCCTCCCCCACAATTTGTAAGTCTGCTGCTGTGCATTAAAAAAAACACATTTTATTTTGTGTTTTTAGTTTAATTTTTTTTTTTTTTAAATAGTAATTGTTTTGAGAGGAGGTGGCGCACAACTGGGTTTGTTTATCTGTTTTTCAGAATGAGACGAGCAGCCCGCAGCTAGCGGGAGTGGCGTCTGTTGACACTCTCTGGGTTGTCAAGGTGAGGCACTTACAACTTCATTAACTTTTCTCCTTGATGTGAGATAGTGATCTGTGTTTGTTGGATAAAAGAACCACAACAGAATAGGTCTGCTCAACCAAACGTCTCACAGCTGAATTAATATTTAAATGTGATTGTGGCTGTATCAGAAAAACATAGTTTTAATTGTATCTCTCACCACTTGACGTCCGCTTTGTTTTTGCCTCCAGCCTGAGGAGAAGATAAAGTTTGACTCCATCTTTGAGAGCTTGGGTCCCGTAGGAGGGATTCTAACCGGAGACAAGGTCAAGCCTGTTCTGCTCAACTCCAAGCTACCAGTGGACGTACTCGGCAGGGTAGGATCCCCTAACACGCACTTTTACCTAGTTTCACCTAATGTGGAATAGAAAGTTGGGTAGAACATGAATTTGAAGAGAAAGGGTTTGAAGAGTACATTTTTGGAGTGATGCTCAACAATAATGTCTGTATGCTGTGTGTGTTGAAGGTATGGGAGCTCAGTGACATCGACAGGGACGGCATGCTGGACAGAGATGAATTCTCTGTGGTAAGAAATGAGACAAATTCACCAAATGGAAAGAAACCACATAGTTTACAGTTTGGGCTGTTTTTGAATTTAATATCCATCTCTGCACCGTTTCCCTAAATTTAGCACTTATTTCTTTCTATCTTAATATTTTAGCAATAGATTACATTACAGGTCATTTAGCGACTTACATTGGATTTTTAACCCATGGCTTCTTATTTTTTTTTTACTATTTTGTCCGGGGAGCAATTAGGGGTAAGGTGTCTTGCTCAGGGAGACTTCGGCATCAGGCAGCCGGGGCTCGAACCACCAAGCTTACGGTTCCCGGCACCCTCTCTACCCCTGCGCCACTACGACCCCTTCTTTTAGAAGATCTTCTTTTAAATGTGTTTGCTTATATTCTACAGTCCGTTGCTGCAAGCTATTGCAGGATGGAAAAATAGTTTCTGTATCCCTCAATGGAACAATTAAGACACGTGGAAGAAATGCAAGGACGCAATAACAAAGCATCAAGTAAAGCCTCAACTTTATTGGTAATTGTCTGTTGTCATTGATTTTTGTTGTTGTTGTTGTTGCTGCCCGTTCCCAGGCCATGTATCTGGTGTACAGAGCCCTGGAGGGGGAGCATGTTCCCATGTCCCTACCCCCTCCCCTGGTTCCACCCTCCAAGAGGAAAAAACCCTCGCTGCCTCCCGCGATGCCCCTGTTACCCTCGCCCCCCTCGGTCAAAGACAGCCGCTCCTCCCACGCCGGCTCCAGGAGCTTGCCCCACCCCCCTAAGCCCGCCCCCGCCCCCACTCCCACCCCCGCCCTCGCTCCTGTCCCGACACCAGCAGCGGCCCCTGTGAGTACGGGACGCGCCTCGCCTCTGCATGCAGTGCCTGAAAGTGATTTTGTATGTATTCCTTTTATTTTTATTTTTTATTGCTGCATTAACAAACATTTAAAATGATTTCAAACTGGCTCGGTCAGTGTGTTTTTAAAAAAAACAAGACGAGTGGGAAGGTGGGTTGCTGTTGTGCCGCAAGTGTCTGTTGTGTTCAGTTCTATGTGAAGCAGCTTCGTTGACGATTTAAAAGTTTTTTTTCTTATTGCTGCTGCAGTGGGTGGTGTCTGCAGCAGACAAAACAAAGTATGATGAGCTGTTTGGCAAGACGGATGGCGACATGGACGGCCTTGTGTCTGGACCCGAAGTCAGAGACATCTTCTTGAAGACCGGGCTGCCGTCTGCCACACTGGCACGTATCTGGTAGGTTGGGACCTTGAACTCCTGTTGGACCCACTGACCTCGCAGATATGAGACTTTTTTGCTTGGTCTAAAATGGATGTTTTAAGGCTTTTTTTTTTCTTTTCTCTTTTTAGTATTCACTAGTCCAGTTTTGTGGGATTGTTTATATTTGCAAAGTAACTCTAATGTTACACTTGTTATATCGAAGAACATCAAGACAGGTTGCCAAAGTACAATGTATTGGTGTCCGGCTGCATAAATCCCAAATGACACACATGCAGTTCCCACATTATGCACGTGGAAAGGAAAATTAGTTGATGTAGAAAGAGAAATATTGTGCCTTTTCGATTATTCATCTCATCCTAGTTGATGACGGGGCTGCAGTGCGTGCTGGCCTGTCACATTATATGGATTTTTATCTTCTGTTCCACTCTGACTGTCCTGCATGACAATCGAGTAGTGATTGCCTGAGGTGTAAATTGTTACTCTTATGCAAGCTGTGTCTGTTTTGTGTTTCTAGGGAGCTCTGTGACATTGGAGACATCGGGAAACTGACCCGAGAGCAGTTTGCCCTGGCGCTTCATCTGATCAATCAGAGGCTGACTAAAGGCCTTGAACCTCCGCAGAGTCTCTTGCCAGAGATGATTCCACCGTCCGACAGACAGAGCATCAAACAGGTGAGTCGGTCTGAGCGCTTGGGTCTATGAAAAAATAACAATAATCAGGAATGTTGGGGTCACTTGTTTTATTTCCATACTTTAGTATTGAATCAGAATCTGATCCAGAATTAAGGCCAGCCGATAATTCAGTTTAACAATTTACAGGTACATAACAAGTACACTCTATCTAGCTGAAAATCTAATTAGTTAATAAATAAGTTCAATTACGGTTCTCTTACTCCCTCCTTGCTTTTTGTATTTCCTTCATTTGTCTTAGTTTGTTAATTAAGTTATTCTATTATATCTTTTTTTGACGTGTGTGTGTATATAATATATATATTCCTTTTTCCTGACTTTCTCTGTTTTGGATTATGTTGTCTTTCTTTTCCGCACACTGTCTTCACATTGCAAACGTATGTGTGACTTTACTGACACGGGGGCATAGCCTCTTCGTTGTCCTTCCACATTGTCTCACTCATTTGTGATTCTGTTACCAAATCAATTCTGATCCATATAAGACATCTGTATTCCTGAGTTTATCATCATATGCATCGGATTTAAGCTGAAAAGAGCAGATGTTGATTCTTTTAAGTATTTAGTGAACCAGCAACACATCATGTCTGTAAATGCATCTTAATCGGCTAAATTAATGTAATCCAGTGTCCTAATAGCAGTACTTTTTAGTCCGTATCGCTCCCACCCCTTTGCATCAATCAGTGACTTCATTGTCCCTCATTTCCGCCCAAGGGCTTTTCATAGTAATAATCCTCTTTTCTGTCCAGTGTAACAAAATTAATCCATACCGTCTTCATATGTAATGAGGAGTAATTCTTAGCCTACACTATATGTATTAAATATTATTTATTATCGTTTTACCAGTTGTGACTTCAATCCTCTTGTATCTTCCCCCCTCGCCTCCCTTTTCAGAAGAACGCGGCACAACTAGCGGCCGACTTCTCAGCCATCAAGGAGCTGGACTCTCTCAGTAACGAGATTTTCGAATTACAAAAGTAAGCTTTTTCTATTTTTCCCCTCATTTTCATCTAACATAATGTAAAAAAAGAACATCTTACTGAACCGGTAATGATGCAGGTTATGTACCGGGTCGGGGCAGCACGTAGCCTGCAGCCTGCCAGATGCGATAACTGTATTCTTGTAAAAGTATTTTCAGCAAAAATGGTTTAACGTAACTTTGGTCCATGTCCTATTGGCATAAACGGCCAGCACCTTCTGGGTAACGACCAGCAGGACGCAGTGTTTCCCACAATTGTGAGGCGCGTGGCTGAACCACACCTGGTAAAAGGTTTTATTTCTGGTTTTATTACACATGATTATCTCACTCATGCCCTCTGAGACGGTACAAACCGATAGATGAACATTAGTGATTTTGGCCGCTGGCTGTCAAACAGCAGATGGCTGTGGAGCTCTGTTACGTAGTTGCTGTTTGACTGTGAGGTGGATGAAGACTGTACACGTCTTCATTAATCATAGTATACATCAGTGTTGCATTCCTATTTTTTCTCCATATTTGAATGAAAAATACTTTTTTAGTTGGTCCGGAAAAATGTCACGTTGTTTTTGTTTCACTGATGATCAATCGCAGGTGTTTTAGAGCAGCTTCCCTTTTTGAGTGAGCAGGTTTGCATTCTACCCACCTCCTGACTGTAGACACACACAGGCAGACGCTCACACGCTCCAGGTCAGCTGTTGTAGGAAAGGGGAGAAGTTAGAACGATGGATGGAAGTATAAACTAGATGGAGATCAGAGCATCAGCAGGAACAGACGGTTGAGAGGAGCTAGTCGAGATGATTCATATTTGTGAATGCTTCAAAATGTGGCCGCAGCTTTCTGCGAAGGATGAGGAAGAAGATGGTGATGATGAAGATAATGGGTAAGAGGAGCGTAGAACTCTTACTCCGCTTTGCTGGTAGAGAAATGTACTTTTATCAAGGCAACTGACTGTTTATGTGAGAGGAACGGGAGAATCTGAAAATAGCAGCTGCTATTTTAGTCTGTGCTGAAATGAAAGGCAAAAGAGAAGTGCTCTCAGGTTGATGCCTGCTTTTTCTTTTCTTATCTAAATGTGAAATTGAACAAGTTGAATAATTAGTGTCTTGTTCTGTATTGCTTTTACATAACAAGGAGATTCATATGAAAAGTTGATTTTGCGTCTCATATGGATTTCAGACAAAATGTATGTTTTTTTTTTCTTCTTATTAGTCTTTCCTAAACGAATGTGAGAAAACACTGCAAGAGATTCCCAACGGATTTAAATCAAAGCGTCAGTCAGAATATTTATTTGTAACAAGCTTTTTATGTTGCAAGCTATTTGCCTCTAATTCCTGCGTTGATTCATTTTCTATGCATTTTATACACATAAAATACTTTCATTTTTAAAATATTCAAAGTAAGAGTTGAAAAAGGTAGATAGGTGAATGAAATGAAATCCAACGCAATATAATATCAGATATTTAAATCTGGTGCAAAATTAACCCACATGGTACTCTATAATAAGGTTTCATCAATGAAAAGTTGCAGTTATCTTTGCCTGTTTTAAAATGATTTATGTCAGTCATTATTAATAAGGTTTAATGGTGGTAAAACGTGTGTCCTACACAGTGCTGAGGACCTTCACTGTAACATACTAAGTACATTGTACTTTAGGGAAATGCAAAGTGCATTTTTTGCAATTTCCAGTCTACCTCCCTTCTCTCCGCCGCTCTGTTACCTGGCTGGGTGGATGAAAGGGTGAAGCAGATACGGACAGAGCAAATGATAGATGTTGTAGGTTGGCTCATCATCACCCCCCCCCGCCCCCCGTCTTTCTTCTTCCTCCCCTCCTGAAAGCAGCCATCTGCCTCACTCATCTCCCACACATTTGACTGAGCAGACACACTCACTTTCTACAACACTCACCGCGGATACAGCGGCGTGCACACTTTCTCCACGTCACACACACACCTGCTGTAGCTGCAGCTCTACGGTGTACGGTGGAGCTGTGCTTTCAGGACACCATGGTGGTTCAGAGAGAGGAGGTTCAGGGGAAGGGTAAAGAAGGCTCAGTGGAGAGCTGGATGGGTCTGGGTGGTTTCGGAGTACCGGGTCTTCCCGCTCTGTCCCTGGTCGCTAAATACTCTTGTCTCTTGTGCTGGACCCCCAGGGAGAAAAGCTCGGTGGAAGAGGAGATCAAGGAGAAGGAGGAGGCCATCAGACAGCGCAGCACCGAAGTGCAGGTAAGGTCACGCCGTCTGAATCCAATGGCCACAACGAGAACAAGGGGGCTTATGAGCACGACGAGGTCAGGTAGATCTTGAAGACTGTTTCTCAGCTCTTGTTTTTCTTTCATCTGTAACTCCGCTGTGTTGGATCATAGCTGGTGTTTGCATAAGAGCATGTCTTCATTTCTGCTGGATAAAGCAGGTGCAAAAGCAGTTTCTCTCTTAAGCTGCGATGAATATACCTTAGGAGATCAATAATATATTTGGTCGGCAGACGTAGACGCTTGTTCAGAAACGCAGTTAATGTTTCTCACAAAGGGAGAAGAGGGGGGCTGGTGTCCTTGCGAGAGACTGAGAGATGGGATCTATTTTGGGAGCTGATGGCTTAAAGGGCTAGTCTGCGCCGCTTGTGGGAATTGTGTTGGAGTGCGAGGGTGGAGTCTCAAGGGGATGGAGCTGAACTTTTGTAGCTGTACTGTAGGGTTGCATCCTTGCTTTGGGCAATTTATAATGTATTGTGTTTCCCTAAATATACCCTGCATGATATGACTGTTTATCAAGACTTCCCCTGCCGTGTCTCTCCAAGGTGTTGACTCGCAGTGGTGTGGATCTCTGACATGACTAATTGTTTCTGCGTGGTTATGAAGGCAAATCTCTGATTTGAGATCCACCCGTACTAACAGAAATGAGTCACACTGAATGAGATGGAGACCTAATATAGACTGACATTATGCAATTGCAAAATTGTTTTACATGTGTTCTTAGATTTTTCCCTTGTATTTACTGAATTGTATTGATGCAATTGTTAAGGATTTTTTTTAGAAAACAAACCACCAGATGTTTTCATCCTGTCTGACCTGCAGCATTGATAACAATAATGTTCACACTTGTCTGGAAGTATGCTTGTTTTTAGCGGTTTCTCGTGCCCTTCTTTTGGTCCTTTCTGTTGTCAGTGTCTGCAGTAAGGTAAATGTTAATTATTTAAAATGACACATTGGCTTTGATATCTGCAGGACTTGCAGGGCGAGGTGGCGAAGGAGAGCGGGGAGCTGCAGCAGCTCCAGGCTCAGCGTCAAAAGGTCCAGGATGCCTTAGAGGAGCTGGACCAACAAAAAGGCTCCCTGGAGGAGCAGCTGACTTTCATCCGGCAGCAGACAAACCAAGAAACCCATCTGGTAGGTTTGGTGGATTTTTGAAAAGAATGCATTTATTTCAATAGCGGAAAGCTTTTTAACTACAGAAATGACCACCTCTGGTTCAGCACATCAGTTGTATGACTCCATATCGCATTCCAGTACATGACTCCGGCTTATTCATAACGGTAAACATCACAGATTTCATCGCTGCAGTCGGAGCATGAGGACCAGGAACAGAAGATCAGTCAGTTTGAGGAGGAGCTGGTCCAGGCCCGAGAGGAGCTTCTCGCTCTGCAAGAGGAGAGCAGGAAGCTGCAGGAGAAGGTCCAGGCGGCTCAGGAGCAGCTCACACCTCTGCAGGAGTCTGTCCGCGACTCCTTTACGCAAGTTGCACAGGTGAGTTTGGGTGAATCTACGAATCCCCCTTCTCTGCGGAAAATAGGACCTCTGTTTCATTCTTCCCTTTCTCCGTACTATTCTTTGGACTTCTGTGCTTTCTCAGGTTCAGCAGAAACTGAATAACCTTCAGGTGGAAGAAAGGTCACTCACTGCCCAGCTTAGCTGGAAAAGAGCCCTGGAGGACAGCTCTCCCGTCATGGTCAACGGATCCACCGGGTTCACTGCAGAGCTGTGCCAGCCGGATCCCTTCCAGCAGGACCTCTTCCAGGAGGACCAGCCTAAGGAGCTCAATGAGAAGGCTCCATTGGCTGTCTGCAATAGGCAGAAAGAACAGTCGGATCAAAAAGAGAAGGAGAGAGAAGATGATGAAGAAGAGAACGGGGAAGAGAGTCCCAAGACTTTAGAGGAGAACTTGAAATATGACACTTTGGATGATCTCTATACTAGTCTGGCCTTCTCTGAGGTGTACAATAATCAGTCGAACCTCGCCAAGCCGCAGGAGAACACGGCGAGGGTAATAAATCCATTTGATCTAGTTATCTGTCCTTTTTAAAGATGGAAAGTTTGGTACAACCTAACCTAGTTATCAGTTCCTCCATAGTTTGTCTTTTTGTGGGGAAAACCTCTAACACAAAAAGATCTTTCTCTTCGTCTTTTTCTTGAACGTGTTTGCAACAGGAATTTTACCAAATGTGAAATTTAATGTATAGGTTTTCCGACTACGTATCTTTTTAAGTAACCATAGTCTGCTAATAATAATAATAATGGCTGTGTTGTCCTCCTAATGCCTGTAGGAAGACCGTAGCCTTACACCCGATGTCTCCCCTGAGCTCATGAGTGAAGCAGAGGAGTTGCCTAAAGAGAGTTCACTAAAGGTAAGGAGCCGGAGTAACTGAGGTACACTCGAACCCTTCAGCCAGGTCACTTCTCTGACGCCGCAGGTCTTTGCATCTCTGAGGTTTTCAGGGAATCATTAATCCTGTTTAGTGTAAACGTGAGGAAACTGTCGCTGTTTCAATAGGTTGCGTCGCCGGAACCAGAGAGCCAACAAGAGCCGGCAGAGTCCCCGGAACCCCCCTCCAGCTCGTTACCACCTCAGGTCAGCGCTCGCTCTATGCCGCCTCAGACCAGCCCCCCCTCTCTGCCGGAGATGGACTTCTTCCATTCGGACCCCTTTACTGACCGTGAGTCACAACAAACCTTGAGTTCAGTTAGAAGCTTAAATAACAATGTATTCATTACCTTCTCCTCAAAATGGATGTTCCGCAGATTTAATTGTATTTATTATAGATTAGTTTGGGGAAAACCGAATTACATTTTTTGTCAAAAAACCTCAATGTTGTCAAAAGTTATTTTTGTTTTCCTTTTTTATAGACTATCCGTTCAAAGATGATCCATTTGGGAAAGCGGATGTTGCAGGTAAGTTTTTCCATCCCTATAGGAAAGTGAGCAAACACATCAATTTCATCACATCACAATCAAATGGGTTTATACACCAATTCAACAATATCAAATATTAATACTTTGTGTCTGTTGCCGTTTCTGTGTAATCAGATCCGTTTGGTGGAGATCCGTTCAAAGGCTCCGACCCCTTCGCCGCAGACTCTTTCTTCCAGGCCCCCGGAGCCCCCTTTGCCCCAGACGACCCATTTACTGCCAGCTCGGCCGATCCGTTTGGCCCCACTGCTGGCGTCCCAGAGCCGGACCTGTTTGCAACGAAGCCCGGTGACGTAGCAGCAGCACCAACAGCCGGTCCAGATCCCTTCACCTCCAAAGCCACCGATCCAGCTGCAGCGCCCAAGGATCCATTCAGCTCCACGGGAAACACCATGGCCACCTCGGACCCGTTTGGTGGCCAAATGAGCGCCTCAGGGGAGGCGGACCCGTTTGGTTCTCAGGACGGAGGGGCGGATCCCTTCAGCTGCTCTCTGCCCTCCTCTGATCTGGCTGTGGTGAGTCGGCCTGCTGCACAGCCGGGTCCCGTTCAGATTTACTGCGCAGACCATTCGATGTCATGTTGATTTTTTTTTTTTTTAAAGGTTTGAATAGGTGATCTTATGAAAACAAGATTTAAATAAAACCAGTTAAACAAAGGCCAGTGTTTCATCATAAAAATAAACTTTTAATGTTGTACAATTTAATGAAATGTAATGAAATTGCAGGTATAATTTATTTAATTTATTAGATATTAAAATGACATGCAGAAATAAAATAAACATTGCATAACACAGATGTTGATACAATGTACTTGTATCGTAGTATTACATTACAGGTGTAGTATTACATTACAGGTGAGCTGACGCTTTTATCCAAAGCGACATTACATTTTTAACTCAAGTTAATTAAATGCTCAACTCAATTTAATTAAATGCAGTTTAAGGCTATCAACACCCACAGTGGAGTTTATTTTTAGTTTGTTCTGTTTTAGAAGGACTCTGCAGCATCCAATGACCCGTTTGCGCCGGGTGGCACGACGGTGAATGCCAGCTCGGATCCAGGTATGACTTGTGGTGTAGCGCCACCCTCTGGGCACCCAGGCCGTTGCAGCTGCTGAAATGATAAAATACACAACTACCTGTGTGTGTCCTTTTTGATGTCCTCAGTGACTTTGACGTGCTTGTGTGTTTCAGATCCGTTTTCGGCTGTGTTCGGTAACGAATCGTTTGGAGGAGGCTTTGCCGATTTCAGTGCGTTGGCGAAGGTAATCGAGAGGTGTTGCTCATGGCCGGTGCTCTTCATGCCTTTCTCATCCCCTTCTGGAACAATCCTTGGAATGTTGACGGGATTCTTGTTTAGGAGACAGAACAGAAATTATGCATAAATTACTGAATAAAGTCAGAACCGATCGCTGCTGTGATTCCAGCTCAGATATGTGGTTGCGACTTCCTTTCTCATATTTAATCCCTCAATTTAACTTCACCATATCCTCTATTCTAATACTGTGTGCATTTGATTTGACTGGAACCTTTTTATGTTGCAGTCAACTGGGGCAGACCAGTTCGCCATCAACAATAAGAACCTGTTTCAGGAAGAAAGCCAGTCTGCCGGCCCTGACGTTCCCCCAGCCCTGCCCCCAAAAACGGGTACACCAACCAGGCCACCTCCTCCACCTCCAGGTCAGTACGCAGCCGGCACCGCGAAAAGGTCACCTTTTACCAACCGTGGCGCTGTCATCGGCCAACTCTACACGTGTCAACATCTGTGTCCGTCCCTCAGGAAAAAGGGCGTCCGTCTCCAGGACGGAGTCGTCCGAGTCCTTCCAGCGACGCGGGCCCTTCCTCCAGCAGCCTTCGGGAGACTTCTCTTCCTCCCTGCCCGCTAAGGATCCTCTAGCTGACCCCTTCGCCCCTTCCTCCCCTCCTCGTCACACCGCACGGGAAGCTGACCGATTTGCCAGCTTTGACAAAGTGAGCACCTCGCCCTCTCCCTCACCTGCACCCGACTCTGACTAGTCACTACCCTCTGCTCTCTTCATTTCATTTTTTTCCCCTTGCTAATAATGAATAATGTCACAACCACCAAGCGAATATGGCCAGCTTCATAAATCACTCCATCCACTGCCATTAAGAAGTCCCGGAGAAGTGAACTAATCGGCTCTTATAAACGGTCACGTAGTCACACCGGTTCCTCGTGCTATTTAATCACCTCGTTTTTCCTGAGCTAACATAAGAATTAATTTCATTTTTCTTGCATTCTGTCTGCTAATGGTGTATATTTTAACTCTTTATTACGAATGCAATATTTTTGCCATGTAAAGATTCTTTATACTTGTAATGATCTTTTTTGTTACTGATATTGGGATTGCACTTAATTTATGCCCCATGACTGTGTCGCGTTAGGAGGAAATGTACAGAAATGGCATTTTAGCAACTATAGATGCACTGATATATTACCTCTGCAACATATTTGTGATAACGGACACGAGAACTGTTATTAGCAGAACACCTCTTTACTTGTGACCAAGTCCCTCCTTATGTTTGGCAGTGAATGGAGAAATGAGTGGCTGCTTGTATTTTGCTTTTGTTTACAGCCTGTGCATGTGCATGTTTTATTCTATGATTAAAAATAGATTTTATTGCAGAACATTTCATTAAATCAACCATTTTATACTGAAATTCCCACTCTGGGTCTGACAGGCGACTGAGCTCGAGCTTTGTTTCTCAGTTTGGGATTACGGAATCACATCAAGTGACCTTTAAATAAAAAGGTGCAGCGTCTCGCCTGCTGCATCTTTTGCTTTACGATCCTACTTTAGACAGGTTTACCGTATAAACAAATTCCTGTTTCGTATTCCTAGGACAGATTTGTTGCAGCTAAATAAAAATTTCAATTTTAAATGAATTTAATTTCTTCTCACTAGCAAGGGCCAGGTTGTTGTAGTAATTTTATATTGCCTCAACTGTGAAGAAAAGGGAACTTGTCTCAAACTCCTTCAAAACATGTGCAAGATGTCATACATCTAAAATTCAAATAAAAATAAAAGTAGCCAAAAATGCCCATTGACCCAAACATTGGTTGGACCCTCAGTAATTTATCCAGAGGAAGTTGTTCAGCGATTTTAAAATCCTCCTACCTGTTCCTGTTGTAATCCTGCAAAGAAATGTACTGTGACTTTGATGGATGACTTTTTATCACCTCTCCCGTCACATGACCACACCTGCACGTCCCTGTTGTCGAGCCCTGATCGGCACGCACAAACTGTGCGTCGGGCTCTCTTCCACTTGTACTCACTGTCTCGCCCGTCCCTCCGTACGCGTTCACTTTTCCTCCTCTCCACCCGCCGCTATTTATTCACCCGTGCGTCTGTTCGTCCAACCACCCCGTCACTGCTGCTTCATTTGAGCCCTCGTCTGGTCAGCAGTGTGTTGGGGGGAAACCGATGTTTTGTCTCTGTCTGTGTGGCTTTACACCTCCTGTCAAGAAAGTTGAATAAAGTGTTGAATCAAGGTGCAACATCTCTGGCTTCTGTGTGCATCCATGGTATTACCTGCAAAATGCCAGTGCTTCTAAAGGACCATTCCAACAGCTTTATTTGGGGTTTTTTTCGATGCTGATATTTTACATACTTTAAAGCGATTTGCTTGCTTTGCTAAATGTTTGGCAATGATTTAGAAGATTTGTAGAACATGCAAAAGCACCGGGATGGTCCTTCCAAGCACTCTGACTGAATCTCACTAGATCACCTCAGTAAGTGAACGTAGAGGTTGTGGGAAGGGTTTCTTTAGCTCGAGTCATAAAATGCACCTCTCCTCTTGCTACAATATTACTTTATTTACATCTGATTTGATTGATCTTCAAAAGCCGCAATGGGATGTACCAGCTACAAGTAATGCGTGCATGTTCTCTACTAAATCCATCAGGTTGTTTCTTCACCGCTCTCACAATGCATGTTCTGCCCCACTCTAAAACATCTGCTAGTCAATGTCATACTTTCATTTGCATGGGTGCAGACTGGACGCTTCTGTCTGTCGTATGTGGAGGTGCATGTCCGGACTTAACTGTCTCCGCTGTGTGTATTTAAACTGTTGCTGTGTTCATGGTCATATTTGATCTCGGGAAATGTAGACATGTGCTGCTTCTTGCAATGACCAGGTAGAAATGTCCTCACTAGAAGAACGAGCTGGGCGTTTTTGAAGAAATCTTACTGCGCATCCTCTTAGAGCTGAATATGGTTTGATAGGAAATTGCTCTTCATTCTTATTTTAATTGAAGACCAATTGTGGGGATCTGTATGAAACACAAAGGTTCTCTCAGGTTTGTAGAATTTGTAGATCAAGACCGAAACAAGGTTTTTTTTTCTTTTTCTTTTTTTTTTTTTTAACAAATTGCACCTCCTGTGATTTCAAATAGTTTTAACCAATATTCCAATTCAATTTTGACTAATTGCAGCCTCACCGCATTACAGTAAAGGAAACCTTTCACTATGACCACTGGATGTGGATGTTACTGTGTGTGTCACGGTGGCCGGGAAGCTTCGACTAATTCCAACCGGGTTCCCGGCAGGAAATGCCTCGAACATCTGTAACAGCACTATAGAAATGAATGTTTGAGGTTCTTTTGTAACAAACTATTAATTCTGTCCACCACAGCTCTGCTGATATTAATCAAATTCAAGTGATTCTCACTGAAACTGTTATGAATTCAGTAGAAATGTAGTCATTCCCTTATAATTACATTACATACTACATTTTATTTCATTTTATCCTAAATTGCATAACAATAATAAATCCTTCATGGATGTTAAGGGCCAAACACAAATACCCGTCCTGCAAATAATAGTTCCAGTATGTTTATAAGGCGCTATGGTCATGGCGTGCTTTCTATTCATATATTTTTTCAGCATTTGTCGGTCATCTCGTGTCAGCGAGCTCTGAGAACACGTTTGTGTCTTTGAGAGTCTTAACTGTGCGCGTTTCATTCTTTGTCTCCTCTCCCCTCATATTTCTTTGCATACGTGTGAATTCTCCTTCCCCTTCGTGTGTGTGTGTGTGTGTGTGTGTGTGCGCGTGCTTTCCTTGTTTGTGAAGCAGTATCCAACAGAGGACGACATGATTGAGTGGGCGAAGCGCGAGAGCGAGCGGGAGGAGAAGGAGCGACTGGCCCGGCTCACCCAGCAGGAACAAGAGGACCTGGAGCTGGCCATCGCTCTCAGCCAGTCGGAACTCTCCTGAGGAGACCCCAACATAAACCTTTCCCTCCCCTCGTTCACTGACCTGGCTCGGCACGGCACAGCACAGCTCGGCCCAGCCCAGAAAGCACCAAAGCAAAGTGGAGACTGCACAGGACTGATTCCACAGCCCCCGCTGCCCCCCCCCACCACACACTATGAAGAGACTTTCTTTGAACAAACCCATCTCTGAATCTTCTTCTCTGCCCAGACTGTGTTCCCCTTTCGCTGGCGATGCAGTATTGATTTGATTTTATAGTTTTCATCCCGTCGGTCTCGTTCCGTATGTTCTGAAGATGCGAGTGTTGAAAAATGAAACGCGGCGGCCGTGGATCAAATGGAGGTCGCTCCGTTGATTTCAACATCGCGCCACAAGTGTCACCTTAACTCTCCAGAATGTAATTTATTTAATGCACTCGACTTGATTTGAAATGGCCTTGTCAGAAGTCCTGTCTTTATCCACTAACAGTTCTCACTACACTTTCTGAAAACTCTGCTCACTCTACCTTCTGAAGATACTGTGAGAATTGTGTGTGATTTCTTTAATTAGAAATAGTCTTGTTCATTTGATTGAGCACAAAAAAATCACCCTAATTTTTTTTTTATCTGTGTGAAAGACCGAAGGCTGATGGTAAAAGTGTGGGCGTTTTTATTATTTTTTATTCAAGGGTTACGATGAAGTCGGTGTCTCAGAATAGTTATAAAGTTCCGTATGCAGAAGGCCTATGAGATTTTCTTTAAAACAAAAATAACTTAATCGGGACACGGTGACGACACTTTTTTAACTGGAAGTTACCAGTCCTCTGATATGTGAAACGCATATGACGGTTTATACATTTTACAACACCCCTCAAATACTACCACATTCAGCTTCCTCACGCTTTCATTTCTTTAACGTTTCAGGAATGTGTCGCTCTGCCCAGTATATCTGTCATTTTATTTTTTTGCTTCATGCTAAAAGGAATGAAACCTCAACTATCTCATGTAATGATTGCATATTAGTTCGCATTACGTTTTAGGGTACACTAAGAGGGATTTCACAAAAGGACAACACCAAATACTTCTAAACATCTGTTGGTTCCTATGACAATTTTTTTTTTTTAATGTCTGTATTAATGACACTAACAGGCTAAATGATAGAAACTGGGTTGTCGTAAAGGAATCAACGTGTTCCCGCTCAACGTGCTCTGTAGTCGTACATTAAACGAACAGCATTAATAGCTTTGTTAATCCTCACCGATCGAGGCTTCGGCACTTTGTAATGAAAGATGTATATTGAAAAAGATCAACTTCCTCAAACGCTCAATTTCACATTTTCACACCGGGTTCCATATTGAAGTGAGCTGCTGCTTTTTATCTGTTGTTTATCTGACCTCTTTTGATGTTACATTACCAGATGCTTCCTCTCTGCGAGATTAACTGCAATAAACAAAGTCGGTAAAAGTAGACGAGCATCCCTGTGATCGGCCAGCAACTCTTCTTCTAAAACTACAGCAATTTTCTCTCTGTTGATTTCTAACCAAACTTATTCCTGCTTTGTCTTGTTTTTTTTGTCCTTGTTCGGCTTTGAGAAGAAACGAGCATCCTCATAGTTTCCTCGTGTTGTTTAACTAGTTTACTGCTCGTGGTTGAAGCTAAACTTCCTACTCAAGGTTCACGTTGATTGTAAACTCCAGAGAACAGCAGTCGTCCTTCATTCATTCTACAGTTTATTTCCACCTGACATGTTACTGTCATTTGTACAGACTGCAAATCAAGAACCACTCATGTTTCCAGGCTTACCCTCAAAGGCTTTTTAAAACTCAAGCTAATTGTATTTTAATTTTTTATTTTCTAACATGTAGAGAAAAATAAATCATTATTTGGAAGAATATGTAATGCATTTAATTGAAACAGAATAAATATTAAACGTGTCGTTTTGCAGTTTGTTTGTTCTTACTGGGATCACCTCATGTACTTCTTTTACTTGTGTAAAATAAGCAAACTCCATATCAGGAAAAGGATCCTGAATTCAAATGTGTAGTTGAGTAAAGTGACTTAAGAAAATTGACCATCACTAAAAGTTGACATGCGCCATCATTCAATGTGGTCGCTTGTAAAGAAGAATAATACCGCATTAAAAGTACGGCTCGTGTCGTAATATATTTACATTACAGTATTCATAAAACTAATAACGTGAATTTATCAGGCTTATGGTAAGTAACGTTGAGCTGCAGATCTGGGCTGCATTTAAAACAATGTTCATTTAAGTAGCTACGCGTTTGTATTTCTACCGCGTGTGTACAAAAAACAACCTGGCGGGCTTTAGGACCCGGGGGCCCGGAACCGCAGCCACGACGTCGCAGCGCATTTGAATAGGAAGCCCATTACTGTGGCGGTGACAGCCGTCGCACACCTTTCCACCTCAGGAAGGAGGAAGACGCACAAGTCGGCGTGAACCCGCTCCCCGTCCGTCCGTCCGTCCCTCCCTCCATGCCCGCTGAGTGACACCCGCTGCGCCCGCCACCTTCCGCTGGATTTCGCGGGATCCCAGAGCCGTGGGATGAGTTTCATCACCAACTGGAGACGCAGCGTGAAGAAAAATGACAAGCAAACGTGAGTAGAGATCGGAGAGCTTCTGTGAGGAAGAATCTGTCCGAGGAGAGCGGAGAGTCCGGACCCGGTGTCCAAACATAAGGGCGCATCGTGCTTTATACCTCTTCGTCTGAGAGCAGGACGCAACATGTCCAGCGCCCCCCCCGAAGAACTCACTCTGCCGGGACATGATCCGACTCTTCACTGAAAGTTGTATTAGACGGAAATAAAGGAGACCGGCCTCTGACGTAATAAATCCAGTGGGAAGTGAGTGTGATCGCTGTGGGCCGATGGTGGAAATTATACTGTAGAGTGAAATCTATGTAAGTTAGTTTGTAAGTAAGTAAGCTGCAGCCCAGTAACAATGTACAGTATTAACTTCATTTGTTGTTTTGTTTGTATTGCATTGTCCAGTAGCTGCAGCTGCTGAACAGAAACAAATGATAAATAACTTAAACCTTATTCAGGACACTTGGAAGCGGGCACACAATGGATTTAAGAGGTCTCGCGGTCAAAATTTCCCTTATCTTTTTTTTTGCACCGTATAGTTTTAGCTCATCCAAACTCCCCCTAAACTGTAAGTAGAGGTTTTCTGTGCTTAGAAACCCTAAAAACAATGAGAGGTACAAAACAAAATACATGTAATAAACAGCACCAGTACATTTATTCTGGAGTCACTGTGGACACGTGCTTCCTTATTCGTACGCTTGTAATTACTTTTTATCTGACATTTTGGGTCTTTAATGTGTTCACATCGGATGTCTTTTTCCTCACATACTGGGAATAATTGACCTTTAAACCGTCTGTACGAAACTCTTGAGTCCTCATCAGATCATCCCAGCATGCCCCCCTCCACCCCCCCATCTTCTCACCTGGATGAGATCCTTTCTTACTTTCTCTCTAAACTGACCTTTGACCTCTTCACAGGGATGCCAGCCAGGCACGGGACATCCTCCGTGGCCCGGACTGCACAAACCAGTATGTTTGCGTCGCGTACGCTTAGTATTTTTACATTATTCGTCCTCCGTAACAAAACCCGCCGTGGTAATAAGAGTCTTATTACCAGTGTAATGTTACATTTGAGTTGTCCATACAGACACATGGACTGACCCGTATTTCTGTTTTGATTTTTCAGGTTGTCAGTCATAAACAATTCAGCAATGGATCCCATCATCTCAGATTTTGGGTGAGTGTCTTTGAATTAAAATACCAATGAAGGACACAGAGTGGAAAAAGTCGGGTAGAAGCATATTGTCAGCTAGATTTTAAGAGAGAATCTTTGAAACTGTTTTTATTAAATTAACGTGTATTCACCCACCGTTTTCCCAACAATTTACCCAAACCTTCATGTTAATATCCACAGAAATGTCAAGTTGGCCAGTTGAAATATGTGTCCTCGGAGCGCCCTCGTATATATCTCTGCCTCGGTTTCTGTGGCTCTCACTGTCGTGTCCCCCAGACAATGACGGCCCTTTTCAGCCCGTTTTTGTCCCGTGAGACTTCCCTCTTTTCTCCAAACAGACTCCATTTTGTTTTTCGTCCGTTTCAGGTTACAGCTTTCGGACCACGGAGATGCTTTGCAATCATCAAATCCGTCCAAAGGGTAGGTGAACTCGGACCCATCGCGAGGTTTAGATGGTGACAAAAAGAAAAAAGTGCTCTGAGAAACCTTCCGCTATCCTGCTATGAGCAAAAGACTTTAGCTGCCATTATGACACAAAGAAATGTTACATGTTGGACATATAAAGTCTGTCCACACATGTTGATACATGTTGCACACGATGCTGCATTATTCTAAGTAGATACTTTCAATGTAAGTGGAATTGCATTTCACATGCAAATGCAAATAATATCAATGGTCATTACAACCCTGTTTTCCCGCTACAAGTGGTAATAAACACACATATTGTGCATGACTTACTCTTGTATGGTTAATACTTGTTTTCCCAATCCCAGTCACCATGGCGACAGCAGCGATTTAAATCAAATTATCTCTGCCTTTAATCCGTGACCATCTCTGCTGCTTAAGCTTCTTTTATGTTCTATAAAGAACAATTTAGCCCAAAGTGCTTTGCAGTCACATGAGAGTGATATTTATGTTAATCGTGTTACTAATATGGCGTGTGTTCGTGCACATCTGCAGACGGAGCGCCGAGCTGTCATTTTCTAACACCGTGTTGGTGGCGAGCCACTTTTTCATTCATGATTACACACGAGGTCGTGTGCGTCCACGGTGCTGCGGTTACGTCTTCTATTTCTGGACCCCTCCGGTCGCTGCAGTGTTTAGTCTCAGCCACTGCAGCAGACTGAACCAGCTGATCGTCCCACTACGCACCAGCACTGCCTTCCTTGGTCGTTAAAAATTTCCCTCTTTTAAAGTTTTGTATCGGGAATGAATGACTGATTGTTTTTTTTATTTGATCGGTTGGTTTAAAAAAAAAAGAAGTAGTTGTTTAGCATCTTATTCAAAGATTTGTAGGTCATGATTCGAGGGCCTTTAGTCTTTAGTCCCGCCTCTGAGTTGGCAACAACCAATCGGAGCAGAGACTGCAGTGTGTAGCGTGAGGGTGAGGATCGGTCGGACAGGCCTTTTGTATGTTATTGTGTGTGTGTGTTAGAGGCACCACAGATGGACTGTGTTTTCTTAACTCATGTCTATGGTCATCCCAATCTTATTAAGATCTGCTGTTGCATCCTTCCTCCTCCTGCTCCTCCTCCTCCTCCTCCTGCTCCTCCTCCTGCTCGTCTTCTCTCTCTCTCTCTCCGTCTCTCTCTCTGTGTCTCTTTCACCTGACTGCCCCTCTGCTGCTGCTGCTTCTGCTCTCGTTGCTGCTACCGACAGAGACGTCACACGACTGGACAAGCAGCTCTCCCTCTCTGTCTTCTACACACACACACACACGCACGCACACAAACACTTTTGCCAGATGAAAATGTCAGAAGAGGAAGAGACTCCGGCAAACGGGTAAGATTCTTGCTGCGTGTTTGCTGGGAGCTGCTGTCATTCAGTCGGCCTCTGGCGATTGTGTTGTTTGTGTGTCTGCTGGCTGCGACGCTAAAGCATGTGGACAAACTCGCTGGTTTTTGATCACCGACGCCGCTCGGCTCTTTTGTCATCTGAAGCAAGGCAGTGAAAGCTCCGTGAACTGCAGTTGATAAACTAATGCTTCGTCACTCTTGGAGGAGGGAGAGTCTGTGTGTGTGTGTGTGTGTGTGTGTGTGTGTGTGTGTGTGTGTGTGTGCTGGCATTGTAGGTTTCATGAGCACACGCACGGGTGTGTGTGTATGAATAGTGGTTGTGTGCCAAGTGTTTTTATTTGTGTGGGTGTGTGGCGCGCTGATAATGATCGTCGGTGTGCAAGTTGTTGAGGGAGAATAATTTGGACAATTATCGGGACAACGCACACTACGCACATCCTGAATCCTGAATCCTCATTGTGCTGGTGCTCATGCATCTTCTTTATTTTAAATGATGGTCATAATGACATATTCCCTCCAGCCTCCATCCTGTAGGCTCTCTGTGGCATAATAATCTTTTCTCACTGATTGAGAACTGGTTTCTTCTCCTCGGGCCTCAGATTGTCTTCTTTTCTCATTCTGTCAGGAGCAGTTGAGACTATAATGAAACCATGCACTGATTGTTTGCCAGCATGGTAATTATAATGTCCTATTTGATTATTGGCATAACCTAAACAATTAGGAAAACAGGGACACATTTTTTAAACTGAGACAATCAAATGCATAAAACTGCATTCCATACGCTATTGCAGTATATCGATTTGTGACCCTCAGCGGACCATCAGGGAGAGGCAATAATGTTATATTCCCTTAAATATTATTGGCATGTATTATTCACCAGGCTATTGCTTGTACTCTGAAGTGATTTGACTCGAGCCGGCAGCAGGACGGTGGTAACAGGGGCCGTTTTTTTATGTGCGCTGTGACCGTTGCAGCCGGTGCCGCGGGCCGACTTAAATCGGGAAGTTGGGGACTGGTTGAAGTTTTGCAGTTTAAATAGAAAAGGCGACAACCTCCGGCTCGGTAAAATGAAGCCAATTTACTTGAATTGGCTGGTTGCAAAAAGAAGTCAGTTTTAAGACCGTGATAAAATACCCCTAAGCTACAAAGCTAACTAGCCTTCCATCCATCTGTCTTTTCCTGTCAAAATGACTGAATCATTTATGTAGAACACAATGCAGGTATTCTTCTTTTTGTCTTTCTGTTTCCTTTGGGAAAATCTGAAGACACACACTGAACTTCTATTTCTCAGCGACGGCAGTTGTCATTGTAACCCCGAGCTGTTATGAGGAAGCTCGGCTTGCTGCAAGTCATATGGTGAACACAGAAGTCACCCGCATGTCATTAGCCAGAGCTGCACCAGTGTGTGTGTGAGTGAGAGTGAGAGTGTGTGTGCTCCCTTATGTGGGTTTTCTATGTGTGTGTGTGTGTGTGTGTGTCTGTGTGATAAGCTCATAGTTCCTCTGTGTTTCTAATGGGCAGGAATGTCAAGCGAAGGCTGTCTGTTAGTCGCAGCTGGACTTACACATCGGTCTTGGCTTTGTTTGTCAAGTTCCTGCTCTCCTGTGCTTCAGCGTCGTCCTCATCTGAAGGTTACACTGAAGCTCAAGCTCATTGGACCGACAGCAGAGGCCTGGACGCTGCGAGAGCGAAGCCAAACTGCATTTGAAGACGTCAGGAAGCCATGAAGCCAGAAGCCATGAAGCCATGAAGCCATGAAGCCAGAAGCCAGAAGCCATGAAGCCATGAAGCCATGAAGCCATGAAGCCAGAAGCCATGAAGCCAGAAGCCATGAAGCCAGAAGCCATGAAGCCAGAAGCCAGAAGCCATGAAGCAGGGAGCCTTGGGATGAAAGAGTGCATGATCAGCATGCCGTGGGCTCGTGAGGAGCACGTGCTCTGTGTGATGAACTCTTTCTGCACAACGACATCATCGCCGATCATTTACAGTTCAGCTTACAACTGTGAGCTAAATTCGCGGGAAACATAAATGTTTTAAGGCCGCAGCTTCTTCCATTCTTCACGTTGTCTGACTGAGCCGGCTTGTATTTCTGTTCCTCTTTTGATGTCAAAGGCTTCCGTAAAGGAGGAATTGGTTAATAAAGCGATATCCAGACCCATTTCTTTGTTGCAAGTCAACGCTTGGAGATGCTATTTGTCACAGCAACAGTGAGCGAGGCATAGCAGTACTGTGAATTTACACTGAACACTCAAAAAAAGAATGACATTTTCAGTGAAACCGATCAAATGTATTCTTGTGTCACTCGGAGAGGGCTAAGCCCCCCGTGCTCCTCTCCGGTCCTGCCTGTCGCTGGTTTCTCTTCTCATCCAGATCTTTGTGTGTGTGTTTTGGTCCTGCAGGTGCTCGCGGTCAGAGCTGTCGCTGGCTCTGGAGGACTGCATGGCCGCCCTGGATCTGTTCCTCAGAAACGACTTTGAGAAGGCGCAGGCTCGGCTCAGATCCAGGTACCAGACCACCCTGAACCACGGCCTGATAATCATAAACCCGATGCACAGCTGCTTTCAGCTCTGACCCACCTAGCATCATTCTCATGAGAGACGAAAGGGGATAAAATGCTTTCGAGCGACTGTGTTTTCTGGTGCAATAATACTTTTTATTCTCAAGAGACATTTTGACATGTAGCCAAATCAAAGGCGTAAATGGCACCACTAAGGATAATGTCCACTTGGCTGCTTCAGGTTCTGGGTCCGGTCAGTGTCAGGCGGGCACACCTGTTCTATCCTATGGACTTGGCGCTAATCACCGAATGCTAGCATGCTAACATGCTAAACTACCATAACATGGTGAACATAAACAGCAGCATATTACCACGTCGTTGTTGGTCGCTCTTAGAACACGGAGCTGCTGACAAGGCCGTAGAGTCCTGCTTTTACGTTTCACAGAGAACGCTTTGGTCGCTGTTACTGACTTCCCTTTATTGATTAACAATGCTAACACATTCAATTGTTTCTGCGCTCCTAAAAGCAGTTCGATCAACTTGTTTGCCCAGTAAAGTGTCCAAACATGAGGGAACCCTCACTAGAATTTCTCTGCCATACAATTACCTTTTTGAGTTTTAAAATCAATAGACCAGTCATTACTTTACACGCAGATACACCGTCCTGTGCACAATGAACAGAGGCAATAGGAAACCAGTGTGTTTGCTGCTGATGCTGCTTATTAGATTTCTCCGTGGACGAAGGTTTTGCCTGCGTTCCAGTGGCGCGTTGTGTTACGTTCGCAGGTCCCTCTTCGGGTTCGCACCCCTCCTCCTTCAGTTTTGTGTTCCAGCCCTGCGTCATCAAGTTACTCCATTTGTTCTCTGCTCATTCTCTCCACGATTGTCAGAAACTGGATCACATCTTCGATATTATTGTCCACCGTGTGCGTTCTCTCTGGGACGTAGGGCCACTCCTTAGTCCTGGTTTCTTCTTTTCAGAAGCGATACGTCGAGACAGAAGAACAACTTCCTGTCTGCCCTCTTTTTTTTTTTTTTATACGAGTCACTGCCAGACTCTGCAGTTGTCCGTTTCCTTGTCGTTGTCTCTTAGCACTTCATATTCCTGTAAAGTTTAGAGTGATTTCATTTGCTTTATTTTTCTACTCTCACAGCCAGTTTTAGAGACACATTGGAACATTACATAACGAGTCCGATATGATCATATATGATGACGTTTAGAGCCCTTGGAGTCCAGCATGTTCGATTAGACGCATGAAGTAGGACAGCGTGAGGGTCGGAAACCGTCGCAGAGTGAAACTTTTCCCGCACAAAGAAGCGTTTCGGAAGGAGGACGATGGCTCCTACTTCTGTAACATATCGTAAGGTGTGATGTCATCTGCTGACGCTCCCTCGTCCCCACATTACAGGTTTAATGCACTTACACTCACAACAACAGGCAGTTCAAAGTCTCAAATCCTGAATACGGGGTTCTGTTTCTGTCCAAGGAAATTGTCACCTGCAGTATTTCTAATGTGGACATATATTTGAATTGTTATTCAGAAAGGCAATCGCTGAGCTACCATCTGCCCTTATGGGGATGATTATCCCGATAAAATGTATGAATTCTGATATTTTTCAATACTGAGTGATGTTGAACTGCAGGATTGAATCATTTTCACGAGACGGGCGCCTGTAGCTCAGCTGGCAGATTGTGAAACGTGCCTGCGAGCTAGGAGGTATCCAAAAGGAGGCTTTGCGTCCTTTTGCCTTTGTTCTAACATGTGTACGGTCTCATGCTCTCATAATGCTCAGCCTCCCGCCCCATTCCTATCAGCCGCAGCAGGGAGTGGTGCACTAAAGAAGCACTACAAACACTGTATACAATACAGCAATGGCCGAGGCGATGGATAAGCTATGCATGTATACGTGTCTGTCAATGACTGCACATTACATACGGCAAAAGGGCCCAACCCGATCGGGCTGACTTTACTGATTATTAGCAACGTGTGCAGAACTGACGACAAGATGCACAAACATGGATTTCTTGTACAAAGAAGATTATGTGGGACACTCGGCGTAATGCTGTCAGATGGGTTATAACCTTCGTGTCCCAGAACCTGAGGTGAAGCTCATTTAAAATATCTGAGTCCTGCTGTGAGATATTTCGTATTCTCAAGTCGCTTTCAGCTACAAGCTATTTAATTATTTTGATTAAACCCGGAGCTTCTTGGCTTGACTGAGCAGTGAGAGGCAGGCGGATCTTTCTGCTTCTTCCTGGCTGCTTCCTGGTTGTAAGTTGATGCCTGTTTACCGCCGGCTCACTTTATTAGAATGAATACTATCGATTCCCTCAGGAGTTGAAGCTCTGAGGTCTGTCTGTGTTTTTTATTAAAAGCCGTAATTGATTCCACGCTGCATTTTTCTGACCCTGACAGACGACAACTTTCACGTTTTTCTTATCAGTCTTTAACAAATATATGTTGAAGGAAAGTCTGACGGCTGCGAGCCGGTGCGTCTTTGGTCTCTTTTTACACGGGTTGAAAAACCTGTTTGTTCAAATGAAGTTTCCAGGAGAGCGATTGCAGCTCTAAAGACGCAGAGGCTGATCAAATGAGTCAGTCCGTGAATAGCAGTGAAATGCTGGTGATGCAGATAGTCGGCATTCTTCTCAACACACCTCTGCCTTTATGTTTTACCTGAGGGATTCTGACCTTCCTTTATGTGTGTGTGTGTGTGTGTGTGTGTGTGTTTGTGCGTGTGAGTACTCCAATACAAAAACACAACTCGCTATTCGAACCACCCATTTTTTTTAGTCAATTTAATACAGAGGCCTCTGGATGAGCTACAAACATAAATGAGACCATCCGACTGAAGATGGTTGACGCCTTTAGTTGCTCTTGACGTTTGCCGTCTGTGCCACCGGGACGGATTCCGCACAAAATGCGATGAAACCGTGCGGAATCACCAGAATGTCTCCGACTCCTGCTGGGCCCCTACCGGCCGTGAGCGGGCCCTCCTCCGGCCCACCGCGCTGGCGTTGGCCCGGTTAGAACCAGGAGAATCAGGACTAAGCGGAGCAGACCCCTGCTGCGGTAAAATGAGAGGTTTTCTAAGGAGATGTTCGGAAATGGTAAATGTGCTGCAGTTGTAAAGCGCTTTTCTAGTCCAACCACTCAAGTGGTTCAACGCTACACTATTCACCTTTAATAAAAGCCTTTGAAACCGGAACATCAAGCTATTCAAGCTGGAACAACCAGCACATCTATTGGAAGAATGTGTGAGGCGTCCGCCGAGTTTACTCCTCCTTCGTGGCCATGAACCTGAGCGATGTTAGACTCTAATTGTTTTTTTGGGTTCCCCCTGTGCAGTGGTGCGCCGGGCTTCATGAGGTCATTCAACCTCTGCATCATCTCTTTCGGAGCACCAGAGCTAATCATTTGACATCTTTAACTTCCTCTTGCAATATAAATAAAAACCCAAAAAACATTGCGTATGTTTTTTTGACAGAACCAAAGACAGCATGTACCACGCTCTGACCTACGCCACCATCCTGGAGATGCAGGCTATGATGACCTTTGACCCGCAACACATCCAGATTGCAGGAAACACGATGAAAGAGGCCCAGGCTACCTGTCAGCGGTGAGAGTTCCCCACGACACCAGCATGCGATAATGCTCCGATGGCCAGCTGATGAACTGTTGTCGGAGTCAGAATGTTACAAATGTTTGTCAATTAGTCCCAGAGAGTCTAAGAATCTGTCACGACTCAGTGCTGGACTGATGTCACGTCTCATCCGCCCGCCCATATTTAAACACCCACTCTTCCTCAAACCAGCGCTGACCTGATTTCCTTCTTCTAATTATTGTGACTGGTTGTGGGAGTAACATGAATATTCTCTCATTCCATCAGACAACGCAAGAAGTCGAGCTTCTCCAAGAGCTTCACAGAAGGTCAGTAAAGTCCAATAGTGTCCATCAGAACAGATGGCACATGTGTGTAAGTTTATGTGTGTTTGTCCAGTCGCTCTGACTCGAGATCATTTCCCCCCTCAGAGGAGCTTCACGCTGAGGTTTGCTACGCTGAGTGTCTCCTGCAGAGGGCAGCACTCACCTTCCTTCAGGTGAGGACGACCCAGAGAGCTGGGAACCTGTTTTCTAGTGTTTGCCCTCGCTTCTCCTCCTCTTACCCCTCCTGCTCTCTTGTTCAGGATGAAAACATGATCAGTTTCATCAAAGGAGGAATCAAAGTCAGGAACAGCTACCAGACATACAAGTGAGCATCTCAAGTCCCGGGAGACCTTTCTTCTCTCTCCCTCGTCACATGTAAAACCTCCGGTTTCCCCTCTTAATCTGCGTTCTTTTACCTTCACCCCGCAGAGAGCTGCACACAGTCCTCCACTCTTCCGGGTACACTCAGGGTGAAAACCACGGCCATTTTGAGGGGGGTGTTAAACTGGGAGTCGGAGCCTTTAACCTAGTAAGTAACAGCCTGAATGTTATCGTACGCGGGTCAAAGAAAACGTTTAGTTGAATCGTGAGACGCGGGTCTTCCTGAACTCAATGGATTCACCGTAAGATAAGACGAGACCTTTGACCACATATTCATATACAGCAAGATCAGCTATAATTTCAATTACATTGCTTCTCTACTTCCTGCAGATGATTTCCATGTTGCCCACGCGGACGCTCAAGCTGCTGGAGTTTGTGGGTTTCACTGGAAATAAGGTGAGCTCTGGTGACATGTGTGCACCATCTAAAGCTGAAAGAAGGCACAGCAGGCCGGCGTGAGGGCCGCTCTGGGACGAGCTCTTCACAATGAGAAGAAATTGTAAATTGTTTCCGTAATATCAGTTTCGCTGGTTCATTCGTTATTTGCTGTGAAGCTCTTATGACTCTACTGAGAATGTGCAGATAGTGATGAGTCATGCCTGTACCAGTTCTCGGCATCAAACATTTCTTTCATTCATTGTGTGGGGTAGTACTCTCAGAATTCTCCAAATTTGAGTCACTAATAGGAAAACAATGCTGTAGTTCGTTCCTCTTTGATTTTCCTGCAAAGAAAGTATTCAAGTTGCAGAGTGTTTGCAGCTTTCGCCAGCAGACCTTCCATGGAATTATGCAAAATCCAAACCGCTCTTGTTTGCACGTCGTTGTGTCTTGCAGGAGTTTGGTCTTCAGCAGCTTCAGGAGGGTTCCGCGGAAAGCACGTTCAGGTCCTTTCTTTGTAACATGCTGCTGCTCTGCTACCACACCTTCATGAGCTTCATACTTGGTGGGACACACACGCGGCCGCGACCGACCTCAAAAAGCAGCGAGGGTCTTGACAGGTTTTCTTATGTTTGGTCTCGCAGGCACTGGGGAAGGAGATGTTGAAGATGCAGAGAAACTGTTGCAGCCATATCTCGAAAAATATCCACAGGTGTGCCAGAATCCATCAAACATTTGTTGTTGTTTTTGTTTATCGTGAGTCATTGGGATCGCTCCCTAACATTCTGTGGCTGGGCTTCTTCCTAGGGATCCATCTTCCTTTTCTTCGCTGGTCGAATAGAAGAGATCAAAGGCAACTTGGACGCTGTGAGTGTCCGTCATTTCTGTGCACAAACAAAGAATACACAGCATGCCCTGCACTGTGGAAAATTGTAGTTTTTACAAATCATCTGTTGCAAATGTATTGAGTCTTTTTCACAAATAGTTGATGAATAGTACATTTGGATTGCAAAACAAACACTGTAGGATCAATCACACAAAAACGTGTTCTGCTTTGCCTTTTAAAATGCTTCGGCCTCTGGTTCACATTTCACCCCGTGCATACAAACAAGTACGAGAATAATTGAAAATGAAACGAGTCACTTCCCATTTACTAATACCGTATTTTTTCAGGCCATCAAGCGTTTTGAGGAGTGCTGCGAGGTGCAGCAGGAGTGGAAACAGTTCCACCACATGTGCTACTGGGAGCTGATGTGGTGCTTCACATACAAGAGGCATTGGAAGATGGCCTACTTCTACGCTGACCTGCTCAGCAAGGAGAACACTTGGTCCAAGGTGGGCCACCGCGCCGTGGGATTAGATCCCCATCGTGTTCTTAACGCGATGACAAATGACTCAAAGGGAAAGCGCTGACCTGTTTCTGCACTTCTAATGGAAGTCTGAAAGTTATTAATCACACATTACATTTCAATTCAAATTGCTCCCCAGATAATTTCCAGTGGGACGTTTAAGTTGCTTAGTTGCTGTGTTTTGTACCTGGCAGCAACAATATATACGTGGCAAATGTTTGGGAGAAATTTAGCACTATTTAGAGAGGAAGCCTTCTAAGCGGCTTATAGGGGCTTTTCATAATATGATTATTATTGTTATAAAAGAAAGATCTCTCAAAACCAGACTAAATGCTGGAGTTATGCAAATCCCGGCCTGATTCTCTGATTTCAACCTGGTCATAGTTTTTCTCTCTCTCCTCCACTCATTTAAAAGGGAAAGATGGACTTGCGATGGTAACCTCTTCTCTCCTTCCCGTAGGCTACTTATGCGTATATGAAAGCGGCGTACCTCAGCATGCTGACTCCGGATGATTGCCTAACCTTCGGGGAGACTGCGTTCACTCTGTTCAGGTAGCAGCTGAGTACACACAGTGAAATAGAGACGATTCACTGCGACAGTTACGCAATGATATATGAGATGAAAAAAATCTTTGGGAGGGATATCTCAAGTTTTTAATTGATTGTACACAGCTATATTCAAGATATAATCATTTGTGGGAAGTAAACTCGATGTAAAATATTTTCTTACCATTACTACTGATATGAATGTGTGCACTTTATTATTTCTCAGGCAGGTGCCAGGGCTGAAGCAGAAGATAGCGGGGAAATCTTTACCGACTGAGAAGTTTGCGATCAGGAAAGCCCGTCGCTACCTTGCAGAAAGCCCAATTGCTCTTCCCGCTCCGCCGCTGGTCAGTACTGGACGAGGCCGGTTGCCATGTCGCACTGCTTCACTTGTAGCATGACTGGATGTTCGCACGGAAACCAGAGTGTGTGAAATGTTTATCGGACGAAAGTGGATCACAAAAACACCAGTAAAATGTGTTGTTTCACAAAGGCAATGATCTGTCAACCTCATGCTGAAATGTGCACGCTGGTTGTTTCAGTCATTGTGTTTCAGGTGGTGTAAATAGTGGTTTTACTTTACCTGCCACCCACAAAGCCGTCACATGAAAGGGGGGCGACGGGGGGCGACGAGTGGAAGTAGAACTGTAACATTTGTAGATAAACCCAGTAAAATCGAACAAAACGAGCAAAGGTGGAGCCCCTTAACTTTGTTATTCTGGCCCTCTTGGAGCGACTGATGTTGAGGATACCGGGTTATTGTTAAAGCTCGAACTGCGCCCATAGAACAACTGTTATGTTTAGGTCAAATTCATCAAGAGAGATGAACTTTGTCACGTAGAGAAAACACTTTAAAAAAATGTTCGTCTCTATCAATTGCATTGATCTGCGGTCGTGGGACGAGCTCTTCACAATGAGAAGATTGTAAATTGTTTCTGTAATATCAGTTTCGCTGGTTCATTCGTTATTTGCTGTGAAGCTCTTATGACTCGTACTGAGAATTTGCAGATAGTGATGAGTCATGCCTGTACCAGTTCTCGGCATCAAACATTTCTTTCATTCATTGTGTGGGGTAGTACTCTCAGAATTCTCCAAATTTTAATCACTTGTATTCCAGTTACAAACTACATAGACTTGAGACGTCTCTATCTCCATCAATTGCAATGATCTGATTTTGACATTGCACGCTTTATGCGTATCCGTGTTGCCTAGGAGATGATGTACATCTGGAACGGCTACACGGTCATCGGGAAACACAAAGAGCTGACGGAAGGCATGCTGGCGACGCTGAGTGAGGCTCAAGCTCAACTCGACAGCACACCAAGTAGGACAACTTTTACCATCTGTTGATGCTAATACATTGCCTTTTATGTAAGATTTTATTCAGACATTTTACCAGAGATAATTATATAATCTGTAGGTTGAATGTTTGTCCAGATTTACTGTGCTTTTTCAACAAAAACAAATCTGTGTTATATACCAGGGTCGGAGTTCACCTTCGATGACCAGTGTCTGCTGAGCCTCTTGAAGGGACTGTGTCTCAAACACCTGGGGCGTCACGAGGAAGCCGAACAATACTTTACCCTCATCCTCTGCAAGTAAGCCTCTCTCAGCGACGTGCACAGAAAATGAACAGCACGCTCAACCGAACCAGAGCAACCGCTGCTCTCCTTTCACCAGTTAGCCTCACCACATTGGTTTTTGCATCCTCTGATGATATGAGGAGGTTCTGTTTTGAGGACGAACTGCACGGCGGTTGATGGGCATCTTCCTTCCCTCCACACGTGTTGTGTAACCTCTGTTGTTTTGGCATCGCCCGCAGTGAGTCGCAGATCAAGTATGACCACTACCTGGTTCCTAATGCCCTGCTGGAGCACGGCCTGCTGTGTCTGGAGCAAGGCAGGAGGGCTGAAGCTATCAGACTCCTAGAAACTGCAAAGTAAGTCTGTCTACCGGCAAAACGCACTCAAATCACCTGTGGTCGCAGCGAAGATTCAGAATATAAAACTTTTCCACATTGTTTCAAAGTAATTGTTTAATAATGCCACGCCAATTGATCTGTGTGGTTTTCAATGAAGCTTAATGTCACAGGTTTGTTACAATGGCCGTGTGAAATATGGAATTAGATTGCGATTTTCTCCCGGTGGTATTTCTAATGACTCTGTTTGCTCTGTTTCAGGCAAAATTACAAGCACTACTCGATGGAGTCACGTACCCACTTCCGTATTCAGGCTGCTCTGCATAAGGCCAAGGGAGCGGGGGTGAACGGCATCAGTGTTTCCTCCAGCCCATAACAGGCAGCGGAGGACACACTAGAGCAGAGACAGCTTCTTCCGACTGTAGTCCCACTATTTTACACTTAGCCCGGGCCGGCCCCGCCTTTTTAGGCTGGCGATTTTGTTTTTTTTTTGTCTTTTTTTATCAGAAGGGTAGGAGAAGATGGAGGCTCCCTTTCGGGGGCAACTGCTGCTCCGTGTGGCCCCGACAAGATAAGTCAGGTTTGCTACGTCCTCTTCAAGAGAAACGTATTATGAAACTTCAGCATAAAGGCCACCAATAAGGGCCGCACACGGGTATGAAACACGGTGATGGTGTAGTTTATACTGCAAACTGCCTCCATTACTACCCCAGGATAAAAATGTGCCCAGGTCAGGGTGATGTCCCAAATACCCCCCTGATTAATTACCGACCCTAACTACACCTGAACAGCAGCACCATTGACTTTGTTGGTACAAAGCTCTGCCACCTACCTTAATTTAAATGAAAGATTATTGATTAAATGACTTGAAAATGTTTGACATCAGGTACTTATACACAAGGACTGTTAAAGAGAACAGTTAAAAGGGTCTCACCTTTAATTAAGATATTTGATCGAATCCAATATGACCTAAATCAATTATTAATTACATAAAAAAAGTATTTATACGTTGGATTCACTTTTACTCCATAAATGGCAATTTATAGATTGAGTGAACCTTTTATTGTTTCAGAAGGAAATGTCTTAATGTGGAATAGGTACTTCTGCAGAACTACTTGGATCTTAAACCTTGTTGTATTTACAGTCACGTGGAATGGCTTTTGCACAGAGCTTTGCAAACTCTCCGGAGTGAAATAATCAGAGTTTCAGTGAGAGTTGTTCTTTACATGTATATACTGTAAATGGCACCTTTTACACAAATTGTCCTGTTTTGAGAGGACAGATGAATGTGTCTTTTAGAAAGGCAGACTCCCTCCTTTTCTCCTCCCGGCTTGCGGGACGGGCTCCAACAGTACTTGAGCTTCAACAAATAGGCCATTCATGGCGAGCGGCGAAGGACTGCCTGCTTGTCCGTCTGTTGCATCTTTAGTGAGTGAAGAAGCTCCGTACGGGAACCACCACCGTCATCCTGCTTTGTGAATGTCTTCTGCTGCTCCTTTATCTCCCATGCTTGACTACAGCCATCTATCAAGGGACATGGGCACCATAACCATACTCAAATAATAATCTGTATATGTGCAAACACTTGTAATGATTGATGATAAGGCAGAACGGGGTCACCTCTAATCGTGTTGGAGGTTATTTGAAGGGCTATCTCAGTCCAAAACCTGGAACCTCAGATGGTGTCTCAAGTGTTGGAATAAGAGCACTGCTGATTTATTCATGATTAGACGAAAGTTTGGGATTCAAGACAATAACTAAAAGTCGGTTTCAATTCTTTAATGGTGAAGGAAATGTACTTTAAATATACTCTAAACAGCTCTCGTGAGGACAAACAAATTTCATTTACTGATTGATCAAAAGTATTTTTAATCAATTAGTTTTAAAAATATAGCTGAAAGGAACTAACCAAATTTAGTGGCATTGTGATGTTTACAATCAGTATGTTTTAATCGGCACGGCTACTTTTGAGCAGAATGACATTCCTGTAGATGTTTCTATTATAATTTAAGATGTTATGATGATAAGCAACTAAAAAAAACACATCCCCATTTTGTGTCGTTTTTTTTTGTCATTGGTGCACCACAAACAGAAGCACAAAATAAGATGCGCACAGTAAAAAGTGGTACTGCTCGCCTGCGAAGCATTGCACTCTTTGTTCTCATACGTGTGATCTAATCCTCCAGATACAGTTTAGATACAGTTGAGTAATTTCATCTTGTTGATGTGCAATGTAATGGTAACTAGAGATAAGAACACAGTGGGTATTGGGGTAATATTGACATTATATTGAATTGAAAATAAAGATGAAGTTGAATTTATAACATACTCTTTAAAGTCATGAAATATGTTGAGGCCAGTATTGCTAACGTCGAAACCTCCCGAATATTAGGATCACAAAGACTCATTCAACGACTTCAGCTCTGTGTTTATGTTTCATCAAAGGGCAACGTGATCCCGCCTCTGATTGGCTGCCAACAAGAGCTTACGCGATATTGCTTAACGCTCATTGGTCGGTTGTATGAAAGGGTGGGGCTTCGTGTTGCTACGTTGCCACCTTTAGTTGTTCTTCGGCAGCTGCAAAGCTGGAAAGTCCGACAACCGAAAACATTTCCGACTGGAATACTGCCTGTTGCCTTTTTAAATGAAGGACATTCACATCTTCTTCGTCGTGCTGCCGCCGCGGATACACCAATCTGTGACAATGTTCATGTCGAAAAACAAATGAACGAACCGAGTCGATGCTCTCGAGAGCTAGCTTTCTTTCTACGAGCTAACGTTAGCTGACGCTAGTTCTGTCTGTGGCTAACGGCTATTAGCTCGAGTTGACGTTTGTGTCGCGGGTGATGGAGTGAGCAGCCCTTCCCGCCGTCTGGGAGAGGACATCCACCCGTTGTGGTTGGAGAAACGCCTTCTCTCACACTGCTGACATCATCCGTGGAAGTGGCCCGCGGTGTCCCGCCGTGTAGCGCCAGTAGAGCGACTGCCGTGGAGAGGGAGAGAGAGAGTTAGAAGGGGGGAGAGTTCGATACCCAAGAGGGAAGAGATGGGAAACTGTCTGAAATCTCCGACCTCGGATGATATTTCCCTGCTACACGAATCCCACTCGGACCGGGCCAGCTACGGAGACGGCGCTGACCCCGACCAGGAGCCCCCGCCCCCGTATCAGGTAACTTTTGTAAGCCAGCTGTTTGGACCACAACACAAGATATGGGGAGGGGGGGCACGGAGGTGTTTGACAGGCGTCCCCCCCCCCCCTCCCAGCCCCACTGACCCCTCCGTGGCTTTCACACTAATCCGCTTTGTTCTATCCGGAGGTCTTTGTCTGCCGGGTCCCGTGAGGTCATATTTATGATGCATCATTCCACACACTGATCCGCGTAGTTCATACTAAAGATGAACAGAGACATCCTGTCTACTTAATCCGCATTAACTCATCATTTTATTTTGAATCGACCGGAAACTTTTTTTTGTTTGTTTGTAAAATAGTGTCTCTCTCACTCTGCTTGATTCACCCTGATCCTCCTGCGCGAAGCAAATTGGTTTTGCGTCCTTATTTCCTGAACTAAATCCTGTCAAAACAGACGTGGCCATTTGTAGCCATGAATATGATTGTTATTGCCCCTCTCTGTGTTGGCACAGAGGATCCTGTTACTAAGTTCAACCTTATCTGTAGATCTAAGACAAGTGTGAGAAGCACCACTGCCTCGGTTTATCATTTCAAAAATATTAAGTGTGAAATTATTGTTTGAACTGGGTTTTAAAATGATCGACTTACGGTTATTGAATATGTCAAATAGAATTTTCTTTTCTTCCTTAAATGTCATAAACGCATGATTTTATTTTCATTATGGACACATTTCTTTAAAAGACGAAACCAATCATGTTTACATTTTTGTTTAAATATTTAAGTCACATCGACGGGACGGGGGAAATCAATTCTGTTTATTCATCATAACTCCAAAAACTGTTTCCAATAACTTGTCTTGCATGTTCTTTTCTTCTTTTTATTTAGCATGCTGGATCGTAATGTCCTACATACTAAATCAACCGTTATTCCGTCATTCAGGTCACACGCTTAAACATTGGTTTCTCAAAACAGAAGGTTGATTTAAAAACCCATTTTTACTGTATTTTCAGAACCTTTCTGTCCACATCGATTCAAACCTATTTTTCCTTCTGCTTGAGTCAAACATCTTTGCTCATTTGTTATCAGCAGGACGTCCCTCGACAAAGCCCCTGCGTCCGCGTCGGTCAAAGATAACATCTGAACGGGGCCCTGGGCCCTTGGTATGTATATATCTCCAGGTTGCTGGGAGTACGTCATGTCTACCATGCAACCGGCTGTAATTAGGCCAAAGCAGCCAGATCTGTCATAATAAGCGGCAGAAACGTTCCTCGGGTTCTTCGGGAGCAGCTCTTACTAAGCTTCTAGTTGGTGTGGGAAAATCCGTAAGTAGTTTGTTTGTGTTGACGGTTTCCCAAGAGTGTTAACTAACTCGTTAGAAAAAAAAACCCTACTTATAAAGGGCTCTTTCAGACCCGCCAGCTCTTTTCTCCCTGGTGACCAAAGTAATCACCATCTGAACCCGGCCTGACAGCACAGCACACATTTTGTGTGTGCTCGCACGTCAGATCAACACACTTTAGTAGTGCTGCTTCTGTCAGAAAGGGGGCCAAAGGCTCCACCAGACTCCACTTCAAATTGAATTTGGCGTTTTGTTAAAAGATGTTTCGGGTATGCGGCAGCGTTCTCCCTGTGCTGGTGAGCACCAGGCGAGGTGGCCGACCCCGTTGGTGAAAAACATCCAAAACAAACATGGGCTCTGAGTGGCCTCACACTACAGGAAATGAGAGCAGAAGACGGAAAATGATTTAAATCGAAGCTTGTTACCGTTTACCGCAAGTCGTCTTAACAACTTACTGGCAGGGTTACGGCGTGCAGAGAACGGCTGCACGTAGAAAGCTGAGACTTCAAGTGATGACATCAGCGCCGAGCCACTTAGGCTGGTGTGCCATTTTAATGTCTTGTCAAAAATCATCTATATGTGTTTTGTTTTGTATTGACTGTGGCGACCACAAAAGAGAGGGAGGTGCCGCTCTGTTTGCGGTCCTGAATACTGTGATGCTTGTGAAGTGCAATGTGCATGTGTGTGTGTGTGTCTGTTGCTTTGTGCGTCGAGTTTGGTAATTTGGAAAGCAGCTGTTGAGCCGCTGACTCATCGCTGTGGGATGGGTCTTTTTGGAGATAAGGTGCATGGTGTGTGTGTGTGTGTGTGTGTGTGTGTGTGTGTGTGTGTGTGTGTGTGTGTGTCTGTAAGATGGCAACACTGACAGGAGTTTTTATTGATCACATTGAGTGTGGCACAAAGGCCTTTGTGCTGCTGTGACATGTAGCTTCACGGCCAAACCTCGTTGGCTGGAACCCCTCGCAGACTTTATACGATTAATTTGTGTGTGTGTGTGTGCGTGTAGATGGACTTGAAGCCTTTTCCAACTGTTTCGCTCACTGTGGTGCAAACATGAGGCCCAGAAGGTACAAGATGATTTAAAACCTGTTAAATAAGAGCCTGCTGCTCTGCACAAGAAACCGGGCCAAATGTACTTTCTGATGGTGCTGCAGACCAGTAGTGGACACACACACACACACACACACACACACTCAAAACTGAAAAGCACAGATTCTGTCAACCACCTGCCTCGACATCAAGACAAAAGAGCTCGCAGTCAGCAGTTTGGTTTGAGCTCCGCCAGCTTGGTCAAACGAAATGGGAGGGGGGGGTTTGCTTCAGAGGTTGTTTATAATTAGCTGTCAGAGCTGGAGTGTTGACGTGGGAGAGCGCAGCAGATGGGACGGAGCCGACAGAGGCGATCTGAAGAGGAGGCTCTTCAGCTTTCAAGCAGACTTTTGGCACGAATGCAAAAGTTTAACCACGTAAAAAATAAAAAAAATGGTGAACGGTGGAGGAGCTGATGAGCCATTTGTGTGATCGACGTATTTATTAATAATTTAACGCGGTGTGCCAACCACATATAACAGGAACCACACAGTAACACGGCTACGACTACTTTGTATTGCCCTTGTGTTACTTCCTCCCTGTCTTCGGTCACAGGGATAGCCTTATGCTACTAACACAGCATTATATTTCATTTTATTCCTCGTCCATTGTCGTATACTGTCTGCTGTGATGCACCAACCGCCAAGTCAAATTCCTTGTATGTCTGACATATTATGGCAATAAATGATCCCTGATTCCTGAGCATCAGGCAGAAGAGCTAAATTTGGTGTCCCTGAATCCACAGGCATGATTAGGTCGACTAAATAATCATGAATAGTGGGGTTTTTTTTAAGAGAGTGATCCCATTAGAGAGCCCCTTGTGACGGATGACTAGTTTTTTTTTTGTAACAGTCCGTTACATGGCTGGCATCAAACACACAGGCAGATCATTTACACACAATGACATTCACGTTTTCAGCGCCATACTAAACACCCTGAAAACGATTTTTATTGAAATTTTCCTAGTTAAACAGATTTTATCCAAAGTGGATTTAACAACCCTGCAAAGTAGCAGATTTATTCTCTTTGGACACATTTTTCTGTTTTAATATACCCTTTATAATCTTTCCTTAATGAATATTTCCTGCTAGATCAGACTGATTAATGTTGAGCAGACTTAACCGTACACAGTTAATGATTCCCACCATTAAGTCCACTTTAGCGGTCAGTCTTCTCTGTCATCGTACAAAGTGACACCAGCAGCAGAACCTGACCAAACAGCGGCCTGGGGCGTTTCTCCAGCGCCACAGGAAGACGGCGCCCACGTGGCTCCGCGGGCGCGTTTTCCCCTCTGAGGGAAACGGAGGCTCCTAACTGAGCAGATTACCTTCAGTCTGACCTAATAGAGAAACTGGAGGAGGAGGCCGTGCTGACAAACAAGCCATTGTTCAGACTCCTGGTGTGTGGGCTTTGACTCACACATGCCCAACTTGGGCTTTGACTCACACATGCCCAACTTCATCCACCAAGTCGTCTGACTAATGTTTAGTTTAATGTGTAGTTTTTGAGTGGCTGCAGAAAAGCGACTCACAAGTTATGAGTATATACCAGGGTTAATACTCGTACTGCTGCTGTCGTCGTTAGGGTCACCCGCTGTGTGTGCTCGCCCTGCATTGTGGGCGCGCGCCTGGACGTCCCGTTCAAAGATTGTGTTTCTCTGCAGTCACCAGATCAACAGGTTTCGATAACGCCTCGTGTATCTGGTGGCGGTGCGTGTGGACACTGCTGGGAACGGGGCAAGTAGGTGGGGCCCGAGGTTTGGAATACTTTCAGACCGAATTTAAGGAAATGCTGTTCTTCTACTTCTAACGTCATTTGATTTAGCTTCTTCCAACGCCGTGTGTTATAAACGGAAGTCACCGCCACGCCGGATGTTTGCAACCCTTTCCCACATCCACTAAACCTGTGGCTTGTCTAGTCAGAGCTGCTCCGTGGCTTGAGCTGAAATAAAGCGCTGCTATTCGGCTTGTTCCACATTACATTTGAACGTAGCCACCAAAGTGACCCCCTTTGACCTTGTGTGTCCCCCCGCTTCGTAAAATTAAACTTAAAAAGGAATCTTTTATGCAGTAAAAACGTTTGCTACTGAGAGGACTACTTGATATGTTTAAATGGCCTCCTGCGCTGTTCGGTTGTGGAAAGCCCTCTTGACCAATAGATCACAAACACACTCGTATGTGTTCATCAAAGGGGGCAGATGGGTTTCTCTCCCGCTAAGACCCCTCTCACCTCCAGCGCCCTTCGTTCCACCACACAGCGCTTCCCTGCAGTGTGGATGTGCAGGTATAGAGCTCACATAATGGCATTACAGGGGACTTTGATTAATCCACACACGGGCTGATGGATCATTTCAGGTGCCTGACGCTGGAAGAGGAGGAGTGAGCGAGTGGGCTGACGCAGTGGGGTCAAACCGGGACATGAGGAACTAGTACTCGCGCTACAGACTTGCGAGCGCATGAGAAGGAAGGAAGGAAGTGTAGACCGCAAAGTGAGAGAGTGGAGTGAGTAGAAGGGTTGTTCAGAGAGGAGCACGATGGGAGGGCACCCGGCAGAAAAATAAAATGTATGTTAACATTTTCTCCCCTGACTTCATGTAAACTGTTCTCTAAAATACAAATATTTCACAGATTTCGTATGGCAAAATCTGTGAAATATGTTAGCTCAGCTTTGATGGTCCTATTATTTACTATATACAACTGCTTGTAGAGACAACTCTTTATTTAGCTTATCAACTCTTTATTTAGGGCTGCACCTATTAATTATTTTCACTATTTATTGGTGTACAGGGCAGATCATTTTCTGTATTAAATGCACATCAAAATATCAGATGACATTCATATCACAGCATTATGCCTGGTCTGATACTGAAAGTTTGTTCTGATGTCATTTTGATTTGATGTTACTTTCATTGGCTTTAAACTCCTACCTGCGTGGTTTGGAGCAGACAGACGGGATAAAAGAATATACTCTTCACTCTTCATGTTCATGATTATGTTTCAGATTGAAAATATTTCTTGTCACCTGCGGCTGTTTGGAAACACTACCATCTAGTGCGCGGGATTGTAATCCCCCATCATGACCATAATGAATTCATGCTTGTAGTGAATCGTTAACTGTCAGTTATTGACAATAGTTATTGGTTTCAGCTCTGCTCGGCTAGTTTTTCACAGGAATAATTGTATATAAAAAAAACAAAGCATGTTTGTTGGATAGGAAAAGTGTGTCTCACCTTCCCACCACAAACCCGACCTCCAGCTATTGTGACCCCGGTCTGACCTTTTCTTTCCATGTGCTCACCTCTCCCGTCTGTTCCCCAGGAGCAAATCCACGTGCCTGTCTACCACCCGACGCCCAGCCAGGCCCGACTGGCCACCCAGCTGACCGAGGAGGAGCAGGTCCGCATCGCACAGCGGATCGGCCTCATCCAGCACCTCCCGAAGGGCGTGTACGACCCGGGGCGGGACGGCTCTGAGAAGAAGATCAGAGAGTGAGTGATGCCGGCTGGGCTGTGATATGTTTTTTTGTTTTTTTTTTGTTTTATGCAAATAAATGCAATGCAAATATGTTTTCAAATTGTAATTCTAGGTGTGCATGCAGTGCTGTGATACTGTGATGTGTGAGGCTTATGCACACTCAATATTTTATAATATTGTGGCTATTAGGGTAAATGCACATTGCTGTTAAGCTGCGTGTGTATTTAAAAAAATCCATATGCATTACAATTTGGGGAAATAAAAAAACTTTTGAATGGTAACGTTCAAAGCAGCTATTTTTTCCTATCTGATTCATTTGTATTTGGTATAAACTTTCACTGCTCTCCATGTTTAAAATATGGAGAATGTCTGTGCGATCCCTAACAAGATGCACCTGTGTTCCCCTGCCCAGGTGCGTCATCTGCATGATGGACTTTGTGTACAGAGACCCCATCCGCTTCCTGCCCTGCATGCACATCTACCACATGGACTGTATCGACGACTGGCTGATGAGATCCTTCACCTGCCCCTCCTGCATGGAGCCTGTGGACGCCGCGCTGCTCTCCTCCTACGAGACCAACTGACACACACACACAGAAATTATATAATATATATATATATATATACACACACACATGCCCATAGGCACCTGGAAACCGGAATGGACTCTCAGACATATAATATGCACACACACAGACACACTTTCATCTTGCTCACCTGTGTCCTGTATTAGAAAAGCGTTGATGTATATAGTGAACAGCGGATGAATTTAGGATGAACCTGTGTGTGTTTGTGTGAGCAGGAATGCCTTTTGTGTACGTGTGTACTGCACAAAAGTCCTCCGTTGGCCTGCTGGACAGGTTTGATTTAACGTGGACTGAATAAACGGAGCAGACCGAGCAGCATGTCGGAATGGGACCGGTGGGTGTAATGAGAAGTCAAAGGGGAAAGCATGACGGTCAGCTGACATGATTAAAATATCCAAGAGCTTTCATATGCGTTCCAGTAGAAAGGCTTCCTTTTAATCATTAATCCGTCATTGCTACAAACAATGGACTGCCCCGCAACCTTCTGGAAATAAAACATACGATTATGCCGCCTCCTTCTTGCAGACTCATCCCGGCTGCAGAAACTGCTACAGGTGTGCGATTCAAAGGAGGTCCGGGATGGACAACAGCCTCGATACTGCAAGTGTCACACATGTACACGTGGAACAAAACTCTTCCACAGGCCTGTACTGGTCCACGGCGCCCGGGCCTGGATCAGCCGCCGTGGGTTTGTGAAATCTGTTGCGGCGTAAGGGCTTCGTCAAACCCGCGTCGACCGACCGACCGACCGGATAATGCAAAAGGAAGGAAAATCGGTGGACGGCTGGTGGGACGCCTGCTGGACCAGAAGGCAAACTGGTGATGCGAATCAAAGACATTTTCTCTTCATCAGTAACTTGTGACAAGAGTTGACCATATTCATTCAGTCAAGATGAGAAAATGAGTCAGGCGATTTTCATCACCACTTCAAAGATGCAAACACAATTTATTACTAGTGACATTAACTAAACTACTGAATGAATTCCAGTTTTGGCTCCCCTGTTGTCGACAGAATCACGTATTTCGGGCCACTTTGTGCGGACCACGCCGATGACCGCTCGGGTCCCGGTGAACGTGGCCTATGAAGGCAAATCAATGTCAAAATCCCGAGAGCGCAAATCCGGTCCACGCGCGCGCGAAAATCAAACATCCGCGAGCAAAAAGTAGGTCTCGCGCGAGATATTTGCTCGGTCGCGAAACTTGAACCTCCCTGCTCGCGAGCCTGCTCCCTGCTCGCTCGCTGTTTGCGGCAGTAAGGGGGAGGAGCCAGTCACCATGGTTTCTCTGCATCTAATTGGTTACAAAGCCCGCGCATTCACACGCCCATTTCCGCACATCGGCACGTTCATCATGAACTCAGCACAGTCGAGGCCTTTGTCTTAATGGTGGACCTCACTCCAAATTGTCTGTCGCCCAAGTAACCCAGTTTACTGTAAAAGCACACTTTCATTCTCCCTGTTGACATTGGTGAGTGGGCGAGACTCAACTATGCAGGAATTATAACCCTCCTCCCCCACAGGGCATGTGATAGAGATCCAATAGACTTTGTAAACATTCCTACCGTGATTTGTGTTTGTGGATTACGCACCTTAGTCTTTGCACAGTACTTTAACCTGCCTGCGTCTTTACGATGTCCCCCATCAAACGCGAGTACGCAATGGCATCTGCTGCTAACAGAAAGCCGCCTTCATTATCCATCGTCTGCAAAAAAAAAGATGCAGTTCTCCAAAAATGATTCTTAATCGCGAGGAATTAGTGCTTTGGTTCTGACGCATTAAAAATGTCCACACCAGGAGTGAAAAGTGAGTGCTGTTTTTTGGTGTTTTCTGCTTGAACATGGAGGTTTCCTCCGACGTGTTGTGTGTTTGCATATGGATGCTTGTTAGACATTTCCTTGTTTGTGCATATGCTGTACTTTGGCAAACAATAAATAGAGTTGCAGAACTGCCACGGGGTGTGGTTTTATTTCCTCTGTGCGCAGAAAAAAGGGAAGCGAGTGGTTTCCTTTTTGTATCACATACTAGTCACATACTACCAAGGCTTCATTGATAAATATGTAATTTATCTCTCTAAATAATTATCAGTTTAATTATGTTGTAATTGTAATAAAAGCATTCATGTCACTATAACAATGTCCACTTCAGGCCTCTTAAAAAACACACACACACACACAAAAAAAAACAAGAACAAACAGGGATTCATGACTTTTATTGTCTCATATGCCCTAGGCAAGGGAATAATGGGTTTTATCTTCATCCTCCCCGTCCTCCCGTCCTTTAGTCTGTGGGAGAGAAAAAAATAGATTTTATACTACAAATTCATCCTTGTGAAAACATCAACACCAATCGTAAATAATGGAACAATACACCAGCGTCTGCCATAGCACACAGATAAATAAATCAATTAAACTGGTATGATTCGGCATTTTAAAGACAATTCCAAACTTGTGGTTGACGACTAAATTGGTGACTCGCAGCTTCAGCTCCTGGGAACAAATCGTCTCACCGCATGGGCGACGCTGAATGAAAAGTTCATGAGGTGGAGGCCTTTTACAGTTTTTTTTCGATTGCTAAACAACAGTGGGCACATCTGGAGTCACATGTGCAAAACTCTTAACTACAGTCTGCACTACCAACAGCAACCTGAGCTAAACAGTTCACATCACCTGCAAAACTCACTCCGAGCAACACAACTCTTAACACGTGGCTCAAAACAGGCTCAGTGCAGCCAACACTGTGCACAACCCTCACAGAGAACACACACAGTCACTCAGAACACACCAGCACCAAACACCAATACAGAGAATACTAACTTTTCATCTTTACAGTTTGAACAGTTTCAGTGACTTCATACAAAGATTTTCTTCAAAGAAAAGAGTGACATTCTTTCACATGATTTATTAAATTTTTTAGAACATAACAATTCTTTAAGGTAAATGAAAATTAGCAGTTTGCTTCAATAGTCTGTAGTAATTTACAGAATTACAGTAATGAGAAAAAAAAGGTAGAAACTAAAAGTACATACTGTAAATTCGAACAAATAATTGAAGGGCTGATCCCGCCTCTCTCTAGCATCAGGCCACAGGTTTTCATTCATCAACATCACATCTAATGTTCTCTCTTGCCATGAACCTGGTGAAAAACCTTCTGGAGTGCCTCATCCATCCCTGGCAGTCCTCTGGACTCGTGTGTTCACATCCGGCATGCATCGCTTCCAAGAGAGACATTTGGTCACTTTCCACCTCCAGGCAGAGAAAGACTCCTCTATACTGTTTGTATGACGGAAAATTGGCATTACAGATGCCACTGTGGATCTTTGCAGATTGGGTTGCACCCTCAACCCTGCCTCTCTCCGTGAGTCATTGTCTATAAGTGCAGCCCTTTCATCTGAAATAACAGCTCTTTGTCTTCTTTGTCTCTCTCCACCAACCCGTCTTCCTTGTTCCATTTCCAAAATTAGTCTTTCTGAGCTCTACCTATATATACTGTAATATACATCAGGCTTGAAAACGGGTCAAGGGTGAAAAGGGTGAGAAGGATATTACCCCTCTAGGGGTTTTCAACTGGTTTTGTCCCAGGGATCATTTTTTGCGTACTGACGAGGGGGGGATGGGAATTGACAACTAATAGGGGACAAGTCATTTAATACTCGTCATGCATTATATTGCATTGCATATAATGTGTGCTGGTCAAATAGTCTAAAATTAATTTTAGACCATTTTTTTGCGTAGTTTAGAGTGACAAATCGTACCAGCGTACTTTGAAGTCAGAATGCGTATCAGTTGGGCAGGTCTGCTTATTGATAGAACGGTGGAGCACTTTACCTTCTGCCTCGTCGGTCCCCTCTACTCAAAACGGTCGCGTTAGCTAATCATTTCCCACCGGAGCTTTAGCTAGCTGGCCAACGTCGCTGTGTTAAATGACTCAATTCATCAAGCTGTAGCTAACGTTAGCTAAGTCCATGTCAACAAAGCTCCTGGGTAACTTAACTTATACCAGAAAATATTAACATGTGTAAATGACCACCAGCAGTGTCCTTTTATTTTGATGATCCTGTTTCCTACTTTGATTTTATGTGACTTTTATTTTGACATACTATCTGCTCACGTGGATTAATCGCTCGCGCTCATGCTCACATTTGTTCAATAGAAGACACGAGAAGCCACGTTACGACCACGTTGCTACCGGAAGCCTGTTGAAGGGCTGCTACAACATGATTGAAACCGTCACTCACCCTGCTCGCAATTTCACTGAATCTCGCGCTCCCTCCGGACACTCGCACCTGGGCGCAGTTCACTGAATATGAATACCCCCCCCCCCCCCAAAAAAAAGACTCATCGCATCTTCACGATTCACGTAGGTCACCTATTTTGGTTTCAAAACGGCGAATTTCGCTGAAAGGTGAGGGATTTTTATGCATTTATATATATATATATATATATATATATATGTGTGTGTGTGTGGTTCGCCGTTTTGACAGCAGTGTGTTTGCGTTTGAACAAAGTGCTGTAAATCCACAGTGTTGTGCAGGTTGTGGTTAAAGTCACGGGATAAGTGTGTAGAGTTTTGAAAACTGTGTTTAAGCAATGAAAAACGAACTAGAGTTTGGTCCACATTAACTGCTGCTGTGCGGACTGTAGAGTTTTGCACATGTGACTCCAGTTGTGCCCGCTGTCGTTTAGCAATCGAAAAAAAACTGTAGTGCGAAGCTGGCGGCCTTTGCGCGGTGACGCTGCACCCAAAAGGCACCGCTCGCTTAATTCATGTGCGCCAAATGTTAACAATGTGCATTCATATTATGCTGCATTGCATTAACATGGTGCCGATAGGTGTTTTTATTTTGTGGACACCAAAAGAAAACTATGATCTGCATATTTTTCAGTCAATTTTAATTCAGATGGAAAATATTTAGGCAAGTGCTTGTATGAACTGGAATATAATTTCGTCTTTCTTTCATATTCAAGTTGTGAATAATCCTGGACCACACTAATTGATGTGTGTACATGTTTTATATGTGTGTAAACGTTTAACAAAATTGTATTTGTGTTTATATATAATTATACTGAATTGTCTGTGAGGGTGACACAAATACGATTGTTAAACGTTTATTTACTATTTTTGGTGTAGCAATAAATGTTGAATATTGAACTATTGCGTTTTTGATACCTTTACAGTTTTGCATCAAATCATTCGGGGATGTTCGCTGGAATTGATTGTATAGATCCAGAGCATGTCTCACTGCGAAAAGAGGCTCTAAATATAAAGGTCAAAAGCAGTTGTGAGATTGGGCCTCCGTGACTTGTTCCAGGCTCTATTGCAAGCGTAGTCTGAGAGATACATTCATTTTCATTATTTTCATTTATTTTATTTTATTTGCCAAAGCTTTAGCAAACAGTGTACATTGTACTGTGCTGTTTTAGAGCCGGGTCATAATTTAAAGGCCTTAAACGTGAAGTTCGTTCGTTCTTTAAAACGATGACTTAGATCTGTGCACACGACGCTATTTTTGAAATAACCTACAGACCACTCACCTGTACCCAGGTAATCCTCGATGTATTGGGCAGTTTCCACCCTTTTGTGGATGCGCGCCTCCTGCCCGGCGCTGTGTCCCAGGCCGTTTGGCGCGCGCGGGTCCGCGGTGGCTGCGATCAGCTGCCGGGTGGCCTCCAGGTGGCCCTCCGTGGCTGCAAGGTGAAGCGGCAGGTTACCGGTGTCATCCACGAGGTTTGGGTCTGCCCCGTAGGCCAACAACACGCGCACGGAATCTGCAAATCCCTCGCGGGCGGCGTCGTGCATCACGGTGAGACCCAAGACCGGGTCGCGGAGGTTCGGGTCTGCACCTGCCCGGAGAAGAGCCTCGATCACTGCGGTGCTGCCCAATTGAACCACCTGCGCAGAGACAGAATGAGGGAGAGATGATCTTTTGAGTGTAACAACTGTTCTAAACCAGTTCAAATATAAAGCAATAACGGCTAATGAATTAAAAAAAAGATCTGCAAGGCAAATTTATTTGTAGCACATTTCAACAACAGGGCAATCCAACATGAAATCATTAAAACATCCTTCAAAAGAAAGGGAATTTAAAAAAAAACAATAAGGCAAAAACAGACATTACAAAATAAACAATACACCTTTTTTCAGCATGAGCTCCATATAAGAAGTGCTTTTAAATCAAATGTGTCATTAAGAGGAGAGTGAATTACTTTATTTTTACTGCTGCAATAATATTGGAAACAAAATTATTATTGAAATGATCAGTGCAAGTTAAGATCAGTGGCCTTAAAGTCCCTACTGACAAAAGGCCTGATTCAAGCAGGACGAGACAAACTGTGAAACTACACCACCCCCGCACTCTGCTCCACCGTGTCCTTTTTTCTTCTTCCAACAACCATTTTGTCTCTTCTTTGTTCTGCCTCTTCAGTTCGGCCTGCGCTGCCTTTATTACCATGTTGCTGAAACGGACTTACTCTTTATTATGTCGGAATCTCCTTCATGCCAAGATCAAGTACAAAATCGTTTTTTGATGACTTTTTGATGACTAAAGCACCTACTCTTCCATAAAAAGAAAAAACAGCGGTTTAATCCCACTAATCTACACATTTACGATTATTTGACATGAACTAATTAATTATGTTAAACTATAAAAACGATTCAAAACGAATTTGATACTGAACTATACTTTCCTATTCACACGTCTATTCAGATGACACATGGCTAAAAAACGTCCAGACTCCTGTGTGCCATCTGACTATACATTTGTAATTTTGAAAACTAAATTTCTCTTCACACTATCTGGTGGTATATATTTGATTACGGTCTACTGGACATTTGAGGATCAGATTACTCAAATTAAATCGTATATCCTGTACAACGGCGCGAGAAGTTAAAGACAAGCTGCCTGTAACAGCGCACTTTACAAAAATCCCCTAAATCATTTTTCCAGGTTTTAAAACGACAGAAAAACAACTGAAAGCGTTTCATACCAACCTGCAGAGCAGTCCTGTTGTATTTATTAAAGCCATTGACAGATGCTCCATTTTGCAGCAAAAACAACACACTGTGTAAATTTCCTTTGGCAGAGGCCTTGCAGAGTAGATCAGACATTCTTGTAAAAAAGATGGAGCAAATCTTTTTTGTTGTTCTTATTGAACGTGGTCTGTGGATGTGCTGTGCCAGACAGAACGGATGCATGCTGAATCATAACTGGGAGGTGGTCTAGGATGGACAAACGTTAACCCTTAAAGGACCAGCGGGCCTATTTGATCCAGGAGACTTTCAGAAATGTGTTTCATTGCGCCTATTTAGTCTTATTTTATACCCCACATCATTTTCTTTTAAGGAAAAAATAGGATTAAAGTAACTTCTATTGGAATCATTAAGTCAAGGTCAAATAGCTTAAAATGTTCCTTTCTCTGTATTAAAAATATATGTTGCCGTGTTTTAACAGCAGCTCCCTCCAAGAGTTTTCTTTTTAAGAAAGGAAACTGGCGATGCATTTCCTCCCATTTTATATTTGTTTTTTAAATTAGATATTTAACAACGGTGTAGTACTCAGTACTCATCTGAATCTAGATCCGATTCAAACCACACTGCTGTGAATGCGACAAAAAAACAACAACAACCCGTCTTTGTATGTTATCACAACGGTCACTTCCTGACTTTTTGCCCACATATTAAATGTACTTCTCTGTATTCGTCTGCTAGCATGGGATGAATCCAGCACGCGAGGCCCCGTCTGGAATAGAGAGAAGAGCCCACGGCCCGCCGCGGGAGGTCGATCCCTTTCATTTTCCACACGAAACCCACCTCATGCCACGCGCCTCCGTGGACCGTCACAACGATGCCCGCTTGAAGTGCGCATCCAGCGGCGGGAGGAACGACGTCACTTATCGCAACCAAAGCTACATTTTGAATTACCCACCGGTTTAAAAAAAAAGAAAGAAGGATGGCGATTGGATTAGAGGTGGAGGAAATCGGCACGATGCGAACGCGCAATGGGGAGGAGGGCGAGATGTCCGCAATATACTGCGGCGACGCGCAGCGATTATTCCACGGATCCCAGCGGCGTTCCAGAATACATCGATAGAATGCGCGTCCAACCTCGCGTCCAACCTCGCCGGTACCTAAAATACACTCCAGTGAGTGAGTGAGGTTTTGTTTTACTGCGTCATTGTCTTCCGTGGCAACTCATTGCCGCCCTCTGGTGGTGAGATTTGCCTACTGACTGACGACAGATCTGAGGTCAGCTGTGTGCGCCCAGAAACAAAATGCCGGTATTTCTTTATGCTGTAAGGCAGTTTGCCGCTGGTGCAGTTTTCTTGGTAGGGTTATCCAATTCATTTCATCATGCAGCCCAGAATGATTTGATGCAAGACCGTAAAAGTATCAAAAAAGCAATATTATTTTAAGGTTCAATATCCAAAATGTATTTGTAGCGACACGAGGCGTGATATGGGTGAGGACAGTTTGAATATTATAATGTTGCCAGACAACGCCACCCTGGGAATTTCACCCAGGGAATTGTTTTAAAATCTTCTCAACCAACACAAATAAGAAAAAGGGGGACGCCACTCAGGTTCGTCGCAAATGAGGCAGAGACATCATTTAAGACACAATGTAATCTAACCAAAGCAAAGCAGCAGTGGTCTCTGGCAGGTTAGCGGGCGTGGTGCTGCTGCTCAATGGTCATTTGCCCTGCAGAGGAAAACAGACCTGAAAGCCTCACTGTGGCTGGAGGAGGGAGCTAAAGCCACTGACAAGTCACTGCCAATGACTTGTAATCTACCATTTGTCACCACTTATTCCCCAACAGCTCAATCTTTATTAGTAGTATCGTAATTTGAAATCATTATTGGCTTATCATATCATTAGCTATCGCGATATATATATTCTAGCGATATTTGAATGATATCTGTCAAATGTATGCCCTCCCTTGCTTATACTGCGGGATCCAACAAGATCAGTATCTCGAGGCTCAATACTCACGCGCACTCCAGGATGTAAGTCAGAGGTTGTAGGTTCGGTTCCCGCCGGAGGCAAACCCGTTAACGCGTAGGAGTATCAGGAGACTGTCCTAGAGGCAAGGATTCTCGTTTTTGACTCCTTTTGTACAGAGTAAACACAACAGTAGAGTACAGAGAGTACAAAAGTACAGTTTGTGGAGAGTCAACCGTTGCTAGGTTCCTTCTCAGTCCACTGAGCCCATCTAGCTATAGTTTCAGTCTTCTTTTAGAGAAGACTGAGACAGTTGGGGGGATCAATTTGGGTTTTAATGGCAAACCCGCAGCCGAGCTGCCATACGCATTCATCTGTGGTAAGGGTTACTGTACTATGCCTGTTGCAGAGCTGCCACCTCTCACGGTTTCGCCATGTGACACACGTTTTTGCATGTTTTCACATGCACTCAGGCCACACATCCAATTATAATTATTACAATGATAACTCAATGGATCAGATCAGAGTTGATGTACAGTCAAACATTGTTCTAAAGAAAATGAAGAGGAGCTGTAGTTTGTGTTGCTGCTGAACTTTACTGGATCACACTGACAGGTGTATATCTAATATTCTAGTATTCATATTGGATGGAAGAAACACATAAAACGTTACTGAGGACAACATTTAACTCAGGGCTCTTGTATTATATCACACTGCAATAGCTTTATAGTGGTTTCCCAAAGTAAGAGGAGGTTGGATGTAGTAAAAACAATGAAAGAGTTAATATTTTACTGGATAGTAACACATACACATACACCTACTGTTTGTCTTGTTGTTACTTAAACATTAAGAGGCGGATAATCAGTGTGGTGGTCCTCGTACAGTTAAATGCACACACATCATAAATTGACCTGAACCTCATCTGTGTATCTACAATAATAGTGATTAACCTCAGAGTATTTTATGTATATAATATAGTGATCAATGAGGCTATATACCGTAAGATAGGTAACATTATTAGTGATTAACGTCATATTTAATATCTGTGATACATTGATTAATCAACCTTGCCCACAGAGCTTAGAAAATGACTAACCAGCTTCTGATCTGCATCTGATATCTCATTCTTAGTTATTTTTGTCACGTGTCGATTCATTGTACTGCTTAAAAAGGCTGCTGTGTAAGCACTTTTTTGTGCTTACACAACAATTACTAACAATATACTGTACATCTACATCTCTGCAGGCCTTTAGTATTGAGAATTCTGTCTTTAATATTCAAATTTTACACCATCCAGGAAATGAGTGTGAATGACCTTCAAGCTTTTCCCAGCCTTTATGTCCCGTGAGTGAGACTGAAAACCTATTTATTTCACTGCCACACAGAGTATTCCCACCGCAAGTATTGTTTTAAAAGAAGTGGACTTTTATCTCCGCTGATTGGTTGCAAAGATTCAAAGTGAAATCAACAAGGGGGATCAGAAGAAGGCCATTGGCGATGTGTAAGAACTACTTTTTCATATTACGGCTTGTGTCAAAACTGAAACTGAACTGAACTGAAACTGTAAAAAAACAACACAATTTATAACGTTATCATTTTATTGTGCAGATCAGAGGCATCAAAGAACCCGGAAAACGGTAAAAGATGCTTGGGTTACGACATGCTGCCGATATCGCCATCTTTCCTTAGGTCTGATGACACCCTTCTTTGACGCTTTTGTTTTACAAGAGCTGATGAGTTTGTGAGTACAACACAAGTTTATTAACAAAGAAAATACAGCATGAAACCAAATTAAACAAATGAAGTGACACATAACGCAAGGAATAGATCACCTTTGGGCTCTGTGTGTGGCAGGACGATGGAGGTGATAACGGCTATGAAGATGGAGGGGAAGGCGGCTACATCTGTGCTGTGACCGAGCCACAAGACAACGAAGATACCTACTAAATGGCCATCAAGACCTTCCCCTCTGCAGACACGAGGAAGGCGCCCCAACGTCCCAGAGAGGTTACGCTTCAGGACGGCCTCTGCAGAGGTGACACTAAGCAACCCAAATATATTCGCTTCTCTTCGCTTCGCTTCTCGGCATTTTCCGAACATACATAAAACTATTAAAACTCTCGTGTCCGTGTGTGCGAGCAGATTCTGTTCACGGGGTGGTCCCTGCTGGGAAGACCAAGAAACCAGCCGGGCCCACCCACTCTGCCCAACGAAAGGAGCGGGAAGGGCAAACCATCTGTGCTGCTTAACACGAACTGTTTAGGGGCTAATATTTAACCGGTACACGAACTGTACCGGTTAAATATTGCTGATCACGTGTGATGTTTTGCACTATCTGTCATGTCCACCAGAGAGCAGCGCTGTCAAGGCTAATGTCTCATCACATCCCCAAACCCACAGATGTGCCCAACAGGTAGGCAAAGCTAAACAATTCAAGGAGGAGGTAATGAGGTCCCTACGGCTAATCCGATGATGCTCCATTTCATCTGTCCACTCCCAGAGAAGGCAAAGTCCCCCGGGTTCCTGCTGAGGTGAACAACTCGATACCAAGACACGGTATGGTGAGAAGCAAACGAGGAGTCACAATCCAGCCGTGACTTCCATTTACATTGTTTTGGATAGTGAGCAGGAATGATACCACGGTCACAGTCGTTTAACATCAGATGGCGTTGTTGTAAAAAGAAAAGCAGGCTGGTGGAACCCTTATGTCTGCTCTGAAGGGATTCACATTTTATTAGTCAGACTTGGGTTACATTTCGTTCCCAACAACAATAATGTAAAACGCATTTTGTGTCACAAAGAGATAAATGAGGATGGGCGAACCGCTTTGTGTCGTCCTTACTGCGCCTGTCTTGTTGTGTTGCGTCCAGGCTTTGGATCCCAGCTGGTACCACGGGAAGGTGACCAGACATCAGGCGGAAGTCTCCCTCAGAGAGGTGAACAAGGTCAGGTGCTCACCCAGCTTCTCTCTGGAGGACACACACGCAAAACATGCAGCAGAAATTTACCGGGGATTTATTCGCAATATCGTGTTAAACTGAATATGTGGACTTTTTGTTTTTAGGACGGGGCGTTTGGGGTCAGAGACCGCTCGCGTGGCATGAATGAGCACCCCTACACCCTGATGCTGCTCAAGGGAGGCAAGGTTTACAACATTATGATCCGTCGCCAGGGCAACTCCTACACCCTCGGCAGTGGCTTGAAACAGACCCGGGTGAGCTGGAAATGCTGATGCCGTCAAAAAGTGGTTTTAAAAATGTTTTCACTTCAAATAAACGGAAAAGTTCACATCTTGTGGCACTCCTCGGGGCGCATTAGATGCTGACTTGTGCCTCATCATTGGATTCCTGACATGTGTTTGTATGTCTGTGTGTCGCCGTGCTGCAGAGTTTCCCCGGGGTGAAGCAGATGATTGACCATCACACCAACACCCCACTGCTGCTCCTCGAATACACAAACCGGAGCGCTGATTCGCAGAGCTGGTGCTGCCTGCTGCACCCTCCGAGACTTTGACCGTCAGCATGCGAAATGTGGGGGTGGGGTTGTAATGTTTGTATGTTTTTAGTGAGATTTTTTGAGTTTTTAGACAGAATGAGAGACGATGAAATATTTTGGACCACGGCCGATGGTTTTGCGACGAGATGCGTTCGCTCAGCATTTACCTCTGTTCTCCACATGCATCCACGGTTTCAGGTCCGGCTGGGGGCTGCTGCTTCAGCGCCTGTTGGCTTTTCAGAAAACGCCGGCTGGTCGGGGGGCCCAACGCAAACGATCAGGTCGCATTGCCTCAGCTGGGTTCGCACTGCGGGCAGAAAACCTGTTTTCACTGGTGCCTCGGGCCAACTCGCTTCTAAGGTGTCCCCAAGTCACGTGTCAAAAGATATATACGGTTCCACACCAAGTGGGGAAGTGCTCAACAGAAACTGGTCAGCTCAACATTACCTGGATGTTAAACTTGGATAGAAACCTCTTTATTTTTTATTCATTGTATAAATCTGACCCCAAAACATAAGAAGAAAAATGTGAATTGTTATGTTCAGTATGTTGTGCGTTTATGTTAAGAAACACAGAATTAATAAAATGTAATAAAAGCAGCGTGCATGCTAAATACGTTTGATCACTGAGTGAACTGTTGGTGAACTAAATGGTTCCACAATGAAAAAAGAGAAGCTCCTAACAGATGAAACTATCAAAACAATTTGGGGAACAGACAAAATTAAATGCCATGGGCATTCAACCTTTTGAGAAAATGTTATATTTTAGTTTTTAGTAGTAGTGACCGACTCTTTTCCATCTCCCGGGGTGAAAAAAAAGGACAAGCTGCAACATCATGCCTCGCATAAAAGCGACGAGCTTGTGTGTAGAGGCAGAGGCAGAGTACCCTCTGACAGACCTCATCATGTAGCATGGTGCAACTTCGAACCACTGACATCTACAAGCAAAGGTTAAGTTGAGCAGCAGTTGGTGTGCAGGAATCCGATTTGGTTATCACATTTCAGATCTAGGATAACAGTTGCATCACACACTTTGCATATTTGCAAATCGATCATCAAGCTCGTCTTGCGTTGGGTTCTCACTGACGTTTTGGAGATGTAAAGGCAGCGGATTGGGGAAGAACAAATAAACATACATGCCATTTGATCCATGCTGTTGGATAGGGACTCCAGGCCTCTCAGTATGTTTTGCAGATCAATGCAGGGCTTTGCGATGCCTCGTCCTGTGTTCCCCTCTGTGTTTTCCATCTAGAAAATAATCACATAAGAACAAAGCGGACTATTTTAACTTTGATTATACTACGGAGTCTCACAAACTTGTAATGCTATACTAATCTGCAAGTAAAACATTAACATCAAAGGACATTAAATAGGTCCTGCACATTAAAATGGGTGACAGCAGTGTGATGAAACACATTAACGCTGGCGTTAATATTTCCATCGTTTGTAAATATCTGCGTTTTGAAGGTTGAAAATGGCCCGACGGGTCCTCCGCCTCCAGCCCTGGAGGTTCAAGGAGCACGCTGACAGATTTCACCATTTGGTGCTTATCTATATGTCCTGGGATCATTGGTAAATATTGGTACCATAAATTAGTCCTGGAGGAAGTTGTACCTTATTACATCTCCAAAATGAGTAACTAAATGAGTAAATGAGTGTGTCTAAATATGCATATATATACACATATATACACACATATACACATATATATACACACATATACACACATATACACATATACATATATATACACATATACATATATATATACACATATATACACATATACATATATATACACATATACATATATATATATACACATATATATACACATATATATATATATATACACATATATATATATACACATATATATATATATACACATATATATATATATATATATATATATATATATAAATAAAAGGAAACACCACAGAAGACATTCTCACTTTATATTTCTTTTATTATTCAATCAAACAGGCATAGCCATCGGAGTACTTTATAACGCAAAACATCAAAGACAAACTGAAGACCTGGCTTCCATGAACTGCCAAACATTTTAACATGAATAGGTTTAACACCCCTTTTCAACACCAATTGAAATCCGGTAGTTCGGGTTATGAGCCCGTCTCCGGCTCCGGCCTGGGATCTCCCCGCACGACAGCGCGGCACCTGTGGAAGGCTTCCTTCAGCTCCTCCATGGAGGCCAACGGCTCGGGACTGGTCCGCAGTGCCACCATGTCGTAGCTCATCAACGCGAGCTCCACTGCGGGCGGACGGCCGCAAAGATGAAAATGAGTTGCCGCGCACATTTTCACATTACAGCCATTTTTTTTTGGAGAGGAAGCTCGTTCAACACGAGACAAAAGTTAACGTTACACACCTGATAATTTTTCAACAGCGTCTATAATATTCTCCAATTGGATGTTCAGCTCTAACATGTGGTCGAAGGCGGGCGTATCGGCCATCTGAAGTACAAACCATTGTGTTTTTATGAGCCGTTAGCTCGTCAAATTAGCTGCTAGCTAGCTTAACCGGAGTAACGGTTGAGTTAGCATAAAGACGCGATAAGACGATTCTGCCAAGAAGAAACGCACCATCGAGAAGCAATAGCTGACATTTAACTCATTAGTTCATGGGGTTAAATAGATATTATCTCTGTGGTGGAAATGCGCAAAACTTACGATAGAGCGTCTGTCTTCGGTTAGTTAACGTTACTTAGGGTGACCAGATTTGAGTTTGTGAAAAAGAGGACACTTCGTCGCGGGGGGGGGGGCGTGACAGGGGGTGGGGGGGGGGGGGGGGGGCCGGGTTTAACAAGCCCCCCCCTGGCCCTTGGAATGCCTACAAATGTCCCAAATTAAAAGACAAAAATGACTGTATAAAACTCTTTTTTTTGGACGTTAACAAAACTGAAACGTGCAAATGTAAATTCTAAATAAGAAATACTTTATATGGACACATATTAAAATAAGAAAATTAAGACACTTTTCAGTCCTCCTCATGTGGTTGGGCATATTTCTTATTTTAAGAGTCGGCGATTACCTATCGCAGGTCATGTGTTTGAAATTGTACTGGGTGGAACAATGCAACTAGTGGAGGCGGCAAGGTGCTCAGTGTTGCCAGAGAGGAAATGGTGAAGTATCTTACCAAAGGCTCAAAATGGTCGTATTTAGAGGATAATTAGCGTGTATCTGGCAACATTGAGATCGGTCGACCAATGACTGTTCTACAATCTCTCTGCAGAGCTCGCGCAAGAAGGTGGAACGTAAGGGAGATACCATTTCCAAAACTTGCAAGGGCGTAATAACTAGTTTGTTAAAGACCCAGAGAAACACAAATATCCGACGAAGCAAAACCCCGGAAAAAGAGAACATGTCCGGGCAAAAGGGGACGTCTGGTCACGTTGGCCGCACAATGAAAGTCAGACAGTCGGCGTTTAAAACTTCACCGTCTGTCGCCACCTAGCGCCGAGGGATTTTTTTGGTGCTTTTTTTTGTTTGTGTTGTTTTGCAGCAGCTGCAGCCACTTTACGGCAGCCGTAAAGCAATGGAGCAGATGACAATAATGATAGGAGATAACTGAGCACTGTAACGCTACTCCACAAGAATCTGCTCCCCCGCTGCCTCCCCGACGCGGTTGAATCCCGATCGAGTCGTAACGTTTCCAAACACGCCGAACTCTCCGTCGCCGTCACGTCCCGGTAAAGCGCCCCCCCCGTCCCCCACTCTGCGTCCCCGCGGCGAGGCGAGCGAAGCGACGGGAGAGCCAGTGGAAGAGGAATCGCTTTTAGCCAGTCATTGCCATGGCCTCCGAAGGCGGCGAGAGCAACATGGACCGAGAAATGATTCTGGCCGACTTTCAGGTGCGTGTCAATTCCGTCGTCCGCGCACACCGCACCGAGCAGGTATAACTGGCGTTCTGTTTTTTACCGTTGTTGAATGGCCTGGCGCGCCCCCCCCCCCCAAAAGCCCCCCACCCACTACCACCATCACCCGACTGGCGTCGTAAACAGCAGACCCGGAGCTTCGCTTTCTGCGGCTAGCACGGCGAGCTAACGAACTGACAGCTTTGCTAACGGGGTTTTATGAAGCGCTGCTCGTGTCCGTTGGCTCACTAGCCGGTGTGACCGCAGGCGAACGGCGGATATTTTACCTTTTTACCTATTTTTATTTTTTATTTTTTTTAATCGCACCTCTTAAAATGTACCGGCTGGACGGATGACGACCGTCCCGGTTAGCTGTAATGATGGCCGTGCTCACGTAGAGGTGCCAACTTGTTTACACGCTGCTATGGTCCTCCTGTCAATCCTCGTAGGAGACAGGTTGACCCCCTCGTGTTGGTTCCTGTCCACAGGCCTTGTCCTTTTGGTGGTGTGTCCCCCTCATGGCTTTGTTGTTGTAGCAGCCTTGTGGTTTTTTGTTGTTTTTATTAATCAACAACATTGACCGGGGTATTATTATTTGACAATAAACCAATGCAGGTGTACAAGTTTTCCGTGATTTATTCAGGCCACGGAAGGTATGTTGTGTAACTCTGTTGTTGACACACACAGTCCACCACGTCACATTATTGCAAAGCCAATTCATTTGTGACCCACCGTACACCGCTGCACGTTCAACTTTTAAGTTATTAGTATAAAAAAAAAAAGAGCAACGTGCCTCACAAAACATACAACAAAAGCACCAAAACGTACACGCCATCTGACACCAAACAATAGCCAGCCGAAGACATCAAGTCTGAACAGTTCAGACCGACCATAATGAATACAATACATGTATTTGTTTTTGTGGTGTGCATAAGCTTCCATCATGTTGAAGTTAAAAAGCGATTTTGCTTTTCTTGAGTCAATAGTTTTCACTGGGCATAATTCATTTGTTGCTCAAAGATGACATGAATTCAACATATTTCTAAGCTCAGTTTTACAAGAACCAGGTTCTAAACTTCTAATCTACACCCCCCCCCCCCCTTCCCCTGGGGTGAGTTAGACTAACACAAGTCTGTCAGAAAGAGATAATGATGTGTGTGTTACACTCTTTGAAGAATACAAATAGATAAATCCCATATCACTAAAGCTATAATTAAAATGAGTGGCTCATGACCCATTTTGCAGTGTTTTAATGATTTTACCCTGAATTAAAAAAAATGCTTTTCTAGCTTTATTTGCACGGGTTCCAAGTCCAAGCTATCAGGCAGAAGTCACAGCTTTGTGTAGTTCTCTGTAAGACTGACACCACTAATGTTCCTGTTGTGGGTTGGTACCATAGTAGATCAAATTAATTATTCCTCCTCTTTTTTTTATCAGGGATATGTATTTTTAAATGTACAGCCATCAGCATGTTTCATGAGACAAACTGCTGCAGAATCCTGTTCAATGCCTTTCTCTCTTGTAATGACTCTTTTTCTTTTCTTCTCACAGGCTTGCACTGGGAATTGACAACATTGCAGAGGCAATCACCCTGTTAGAGCTTAATAACTGGGATTTAGTGGTAAGTTCTTTATCTGTAGGCTTTGCCGGACTTCATCTAGAGTTCAAGTTCAGGAGGGCGGTCTACATTCAATATTACGCACTCTGCGCAACTCTGACGTGGCCAAATTATTTCTACATTTCTAGCGAGCATGTTAGAAAAAACACACAGACACCGTGTGTCCGCCAAGTTCCTATTAAGTCGCGATGAGTCTGAGTAAAGGAGCACTTCACCGCTCTGTGCATATTGAAGGGGTCAGTCTATATTTAGACCGAGGCTGGCAGCAGCTCGCAGCAGTCCGAGCGGTGGTAGGACCGAGGACTCGCTGCCCCTGTAAATCTGATGACTTGCATTTTCACTGCGGTAGCTGGTAGTTTTTGTAAACATTGTCAAAGCTGATTTGCCTCCACACGTGGGGCAGGTGGGAGGTACGCTAGCGGGGATTTGTTGGACTCAGGGCGATGCACGTCTGAATTGTATGGGCATGCGTTAAGTAAGGAATTTCCTTTGAGGTATACCGCCGTTGCTCTTTCACCCTGAATGTTTGATCACTTCTAACTGGAGGAGTTTTTGATTTCAGGGGAACCTAAACCACTAAATGGCTTAATACGTGCTTTGCTTCTTGATCCATTTACAACGTGCACATTAAACTGCTTCCGTCATGCTTTTAATCAAAATAACTTTATCCTAGCGCTGGCTTAGCTATGTCAACCAACCCACCAGTATTCCTTCTTTGGTTTGAATTCTCATTGAAGTTCACTGATGGACTCCAGGCACGCCATTCAACCCCAAACGTCTCTTGCCGGTAGCATTGCCAGAACGTAACAACTTTTTGAGCTTGTTTTTGATGTGAAGAATAGTGAGCGTTCAAGAGGGATCCAATCAATTGTCCATCCAGACAAAGGCTCGGGGGCAAAGGGCTTATTTGTCATGCTTGTACGTTCAGCTCTTTGTTCTGACCCTATTTGAATATTCCATCGTTCTGTCACATTTAGTGAAGTTTAGTCTGAAAGCTGTGCAGACAGCAGACATCACACACCCGTTGATAAAGGCAGTGTTAACATCTGGGCTAGCTAGCCTACATGTGGACCGTCTCAGTGTTCAGATCTCCTTTGCAGATCATCTGACATCACTGACCAACACAAATATATTTTAGTTGCAGCTTAATTCAAAATGAGTTTTTTTTTCTGTGATGATTGTGGTGGGTTAGGGTTACGTAGGAAGTATTACTGCTAATAATATGGTGTGTATTACATATTTAGAACATGTAGTACTCCTTGTCCTGTTCCTATGGTGTTCTGACTGACTGGAATCATGCACACCCTTTGAAGACACACATACATAATGTTACAATTACGTGCTTGGCTTTCAGCATTTGTTATTTCTTTTTGTTAAGTCCAATGATGGAGTTGAGTTTTCTTAGCTACAGTCAAGTTACCTGTATAGAAATAAAACATGGGTTGAACTTGTATCGCAGGAACCAGTTGACTGTTTTCCTTCGAAAATAATTATAAATTGACTGCATACAGAAACTAAAACGGTAAAATGGATTTATATTGTGCTGTATAATGTATCTCCACTTTCATTACAGGCAGCCATCAATGGAGTGATACCACAGGAGAATGGGATTTTACAAAGGTAATATGCACCTTAACTCTGCTGGATATTTGAAACCAAAGCCTAAAAGCATCAGAAGGAAACGGAATGCCTTGTTTCCACGAGCGACATGATTACAGTGGTTGTAGTTTGTACACCGCCTCTAAAGTGCAGAACTGATGAGAATATATTGACTGTATCCCCACTTCCATGATTGGAACCAACATCAGTCATATCCAGCAAATAACACTCAGCTTGGGGGTTATTTGCTCCCGCCATGCTTTCTATTCTGCACTTTAATATTACATTACGTAACATGTCATTTAGCTGACGCTCTCATCCAAAACGACCTAGAATAAGTGCATTTCAACCGTAACAGAAGAATGATATAAAAGGCTGCAACTGAAGAGAGTGTAACCGTCGTCCCGCTGTTACAAATGTAAAAAAAAAAAGGTTTTCTTTAAGAGGCTTTGAGCCCCTTCATTTCACCACAACGGTCAGTTCGCACTCCTGAACGCACCGGGCTGATCTGAACCCACTCGAACCGGAGACGTTCAGTTAAACTGCTTCCTTTCGTACGCGCGTGCGTGTGCTCCGGTTGGGGTTCAGCACCCCGGAGCCATGAGAATATTGCCGGCCTTTTTGGAGGGCACGCGCGCGCTGCTGTGAATGGAGGCCGGCTGGCAGCGGGACCAGCAGCCAACACATTCGCTAAGTGGCTGGCAGCGGCGCGACGAGGCCCCCGTCGCCCAGTAAACAGACTGCGATGACGGGGCCTGAGCCGGAGCCAGTTGGAAGCTACGCCAGACGCTCCCATCCCGAATGCATTTCCTGTTTCCTTCCTCCCTTGTGTCCTCTTTCGTGAGCAGGCGGGGAATTACGAGAAGCTGGCGTTGTTGATCAGCAACCGATATTCTTCGGGGCACCAAAAGCTGATTTCCAGATAATAATAAAAAACGATTCAACGGATTCCTCCGTTGAATTGCTTCACTGGCTCAAAGTTTGTCTTTGGGTGAAGGGCTCAACAGTTTAGTCTGCTCTGGGACTCCTCCCGGACTCCATAGGAGAAGAGTGCCATCTAGATTTAGGGCAGCATGGAAGGAGCAGCAGACAGTTTAACGGCCTTCAGTGTCACTGTGCCAAGTTTAGGGTTTACTTTGTGTCTTTTTACTCCCTCAGATGCTTTGTGAAGTGTAAAAATCCTCTCGGCAAGATCTCTCTTGTTTTTCTTTTGCTTCGGTCTCACTTGTGTATCCTCTGATATTCTAGATGTTGGGTAGTGTTTGCCTCTGTTTTACGTATTTACTCATGGTATGACTTCACTTGTGTATTTGTACAGCCAGTTCACACCATGTCGATGGTTTAAGAAGCCCGCATGTCACAAAATGGGATTAACTTTGTCTTTTCACATCCATTTACTAGTACACAAGGTTTTTATCATATAAATCCATTAAATAGCTGTTCTACTCGTCTAATTCATAGTCTAGGAACTATTTAAGAGCTTTGTTTCTTACTGAGGTGTCTGGTGGGGGAGCTACTCGTAATGTGCTCCTGTTGTCCCATTTAGGTTAATTTCCCTTCTTCTGTACTTCTGCACAGTGTCCCCACGGTTCAGGACGGCGACCCAATGCTGCCTTTGTTAGAAAGCCGGAGTCGGGCACTCTCTTCTTTCTTGGGAGACAGTTGCTGTTTACACTTGAGAAACAAAGGGCACACTTTGTTCATCATTTGCTGCGGTGTGTGAGACACGGGCCGTACACGGAGCAAACGGCAAAGACAAAAGCAGATATTTTAAGGGAGGACGGCTGGGAAAGCCGTGATTGTATAAGTCTAAGAAAGGATCTTTCTCATTATAATTACCTCGGTAAACATTGTAAACAAGAGTGCGTGGACTGAAGTCGTCTTCGATGCAGCATAAAGTTCCACTACTAAATGCTGGTCTCTCTTAAAGTGAACCAGATGATAATGCAGGGTATGCTGCTTTATGATTGACAGGTGGAGGCCGTGGCGTTACCCGGGCCTTTTGTTTTTGTCTCCGGTTGCCTAAAAAATGTCTCCTTCAGTGTTCGGTTGTACAGGGGAGAGATATTTATTGGAATATGAAGCTAGCGGCCGCCGTTAACCCTGTGACCTCTGTGCAGCAACTTCCCCAGTGAGGCGAGCCAGGCCAGCGCGTTCGGCCCTCCCAGCCAATCGGAAGCAGCCGATGCGGCGGTGGCGGCGGGCGGCGCAGCTCCTCCCCCCGCCTCCTCCTCATCCTCGTCCTCCTCTCCGGCATCGTCCTCAGCGTCAGCGTTTTGCCCCGTCAACCCCTCCTCCCGACACATTGTAGAGCGCCAGCCCCGGATGCTCAACTTCCGGGTGGAGTACCGGCAGCGCACCATCGAGCTGGTGCTGGAGGAAGGCAGCACAGTCGGTGAGCACCGCACGCACGCACACACACACACACACACGCAACACACTCTGATATGAATGTTATGTACAATGCTCTCCATGTATCAAACTGCCTCTTTGTGCACAATTTGCATCCCCTGCGGTGTAAATCTAATTTACAGGAGAAATCAAAACAATCCTGGAGGCAGATCTTGGGATTCCAGTTTCCAAAATGCAGCTGAAGGGATGGAAGAGCGGAGATGTGTCCGATAGTGTGAGTTGACTGGTGTATAAAACACAATGTGGCACTGAGAAAAGGTTGGAAAAATAACTTTTTGTTTTTATAATTAGGATTAGAACATAGCGTACATGACATAGTTTTAATGTTGCCCAAAACGGGTTTGTTTTATATGAAGCCTCCGTGGCCGAGTGGAAATCAGATGGATGATGTATATATTCTGAGAAAGTGAGCATATGTTGAAGTCATATGTCTGTGTGTGTAATCAGACGGTGATGAGAAGTTTACACTTGCCCAAGAACAACAGCCTGTACGTCCTGACTCCAGAAATCGCCCCCACTGCCAGCACCAGCAAAAACAGGTATTAAGCTTATTTGGCTTCTTATTATCTATCTATCTCAATTCCCCAAGAATGTCCTCCTCCTCTTCCCGTCCTGGTGCACTTACACGAGCACCTGAAATGCTCCTTGTGGGGGTAGAGGTGTAATACCTACTAGTGAACACCAGGTGGGGATCTATTTCCACTTATGAGGAAGACGAGTCCGGAATCCAGCAAGCCAACGCCGTTTTCACCGGTATATTAAGAAACAGTTGACCTTCTGGTGCACACTCATTTTCTCACGCAAGCGGTGACATTTGGAGAGCGACGGCCGCCGCCGCAATCTCTGCCATGTAAACAATAATTTCCCTCCCAGCTTGGTTTATTTCTGCCTGAAATTGTTGCTCCGTTAAGGTTGTTTCCCATCGTGCTGTTCATGGAATGTGTATACTATTCCCTCTTCATGTCTATGAATTACTACCTTTTCATTCTTTAAAAAAAAAAAAGTGTTAAGCACGCAAGTGTTACTTTGGGGATCGTACCCAGCGACGACAGAGATGTGTTTGTAAAGCTTCATTAAGCCGGTGTTCTCCATGTTCATTTCGTGGAATCCGCGGCAGTATTAGCAACCTTTTACTTCTGAAATGTCAGGCCGCTCAGTGTAAAGCCAAAGCAATAATACAATCAAAGCTGGCAGGTAAACAGGTGATTGTCCTTTCATCAGCGTCAGGTTACGATAGCCAAAGTAGTCCGCATTATAGCCCGGGACGATTTCATTTCTGATTTGAGGATGGATTGGTGAAGTGTGTGTGTGTGCGCGTGCGCGTGCTGGTTTGATTACAAAGCAACTCAAACCTCTCCCAACAATTCTGAACATAAATACCAGTAAAAACAAAGACAGGTAGCACTTAAAAAATTGACTTTAAGTGAAACATACACTAACCTGACGTTGATAATGATTTACTGTCTGACACAATTTGAGTCGGAGGTGGTCCTCAATCTACTGAATTCGTCAAATACATTTCTCAGTAAAATAGAATGTATGAGATATGAAGCTATATTAGCGATATGAGCCATGCAGGCTGCTCATACCCACGTTCAATACAATAATAAAAAATGCAATTTGCTTATTTGGTCTATATGACATCATATCATCAAATTATATTGTTTTGACAGTGGTCCGTTTAAATGCTTTTAAGCACCACTTTTGATACACCTTTCCTCTATTGCCGGTTCTACGGTGTCTCTTATAATTAAGGAAACGGCACGTTGTAAACATTCTAGAATAAGATACTCTCACAAAGATCGTTCTGACCATTTTCCACGGTCCTTATTTGCTTAAGGCTGTGCATCGTCCCCCCCTCGTGACGGCCCTCGCCTGTTTGTTGACGTCAGATTCTAAGTGGAAATTGTGCTGTGACACTCGTCGTGTTAGCGGCCCAGCTAGCATGCGCCCGTCGCCGGAGCGCTTGTAAAAGAAGTCGTTTGGCAGCACTGCCGCTCTGCCTGCTAGTTAGGCTAAGTGGTAGTTATATTGTGTTGGCAGCTAATGGCCCTCATCTCCCCAGTCTTCCCTCCCTCTCCCCGTCTCCTCACTCCCCCACTTACCGCTGTGTCTTTTTAGCAGCGCCGTTGCCATTTCTCCAAGTGTTATCGATATCATTTTGGGTGTCGGGAGCTCATTATTCTGTGTCAGCTATTTTGGTGGAGGACAGTTGGGGCTGAATGGGGTGGGTGGGCCCCCGTGTGTATGCACATGTGTGTGTGTGTGTGTGGTGATCATGCTGTCATACTGGGAGAGGATAGGTGACAGATCACAGTTTAGGAGGGGGTGCAGTCCCCCGTAGCGGGACCAGACAAGCTGTTAGCCTGCAGTAAAAATAAACTGTGATCACACCGTGAATCCACAGTAAGTGCAATTTGTGTGCAGTGTGTGCCGATTTGTTGCCGTAGACTGAGCCCGGTGCCAGTAAAGGCTTCAGCCTAAAGTTTGCCAGGAAAGACGCACACATTAGCGCCACCATACCAACTCGTGGTACTAATGTGTCACTATCTGCTTCTGCACTTTTACTGAAAGCAAAATTATTAAGGAACCAAATTGTTGTGCTTTACATTTGTATAGCCCAGTTGTTTCATTGTGTATTTGAGCTTTCCCATCAATAATGCTCAGAAGTCTTTTTTTTCATGGCTATTTGAACTCAAATGCCAAATGTAGTTGCAAGTTGTTTCAGCCAACATGGTGGCAGCACAGCTGTTTTCCTCAAAACCGTTACACCAAAGCAATAGAAGAACATCGGTTATCATACAGGTTTGATTTTTAAGGAGTTGGCACATTGAACACTGAAACACAGCCGACCTGCATAACAAACATAATAATCAAAACAGGTGGCATTATTACGATGTAAGGTTGCTCTCTAGCAAATGCTTATTATAAACCACATTAGTGCTATCGTGGTTTATAATAATTAAAAGCGTAAGAAAATATATATTTATTTTTATTATTACTCCTAGTAAAAGCATTGTTGTGGCAGCTAATGCTCTTTTTCCAAGAACTTAATTCAATTCTGCAAATTGTTGTCTTCAATTTTATGTTTCGTAGTCGGGTTTTTAAAACTACTCCTGTCTCCTATCTGCCTTTTTTTCTATTTGCTCGTCTGTAGTTGCGGTTATCCGCCCAAATTTAATCTCACAATGTTTGTTTGCTTCAAATTGTTGCTGAGTAGCAATGCAAACGTCCCATAAATGGTAATATCTCTAGCAATTACTTTGTAGAAGTTGGCTCATGCAGCACACACACCTAAACCAAACGGACTGATTAAATAGTGCTCCACTGTCATTATGGTCCCGCTGAGTAAACTCCTCTTAGTCGTCTTGTTTGATTAGAAATAAATCTGGAGGCTTTGGGAGATTTTCCCTTCGAGCACCAATCTATCTCAGGTAGTTATTTAGTTTAGTCAGCGGCGCGGCGTGCCGTTCGCTCTGCAGTGTCCAAGGAAGCCTTTTCTCTGTGGCCGTGTTGATGAGTGCCTGTGAATACAGGAGGGTGCTGAGGAAGACCTAATCTCTTGCATAAATGATGAAGGCCTAATGAATATTTCAACGGAGCCCGTTTCCTTCCTCGTTTATCCTCCGCTCTGCTCTCGGGGAAGCGCGTTTGCCAAGGAAAGGTTATTTTAATTTGAACTCTTTTAAAAGAATTTTTGAAATCGCAAAAATGATTCATTAGGTTTTGTGTGTTTTATGGAGCCCCCCCCCCGCCGCTACAGACCCCCCATCTTTATCTGTGCGTGTCAGATTCACAGATGCTTTCGGTAAGACGGCTAGCTAGTTAGCTAGGCCGGCCCAGTGGGAAGTATCTTCTCAGTTAGCATGCTGGTTAACGTTGCGACAAGATGGCAGACCGAAGCCGAGCGGAACGCATTCTCCTGCTTTGTTGTGGATGCAAAATATGGCGGAGGTAAGGCGACCGTGTGTGTGCTTCATGACAACCTCTGCGCGGTTAGATGAAACCACTCACCTGGTCAGTGTATTTTTACGTCTTGGTGTGTCTCCAATCAGATGAAACACATGCAAGGTGTGTGTGTGTGTGTGTGTGTGTGTGTGTGTGTGTGTGTGTGTGTGTGTGTGTGTGTGTGTGTGTGTGTGTGTGTGTGTGTGTGTGTGTGTGTGTGTGTGTGTGTGTGTGTGTGTGTGTAGGGGTATTTGTGTTTTGCAAGCACATGAGACAATTTGTGTGTGTTCCTGTGTGTCTGGCAGTGCTCGTTTAATAAGGTCTAGAGTCTGCTCTGTGCCGTGGGGACTCGCAGCTTAGGCGATGGGCTTACCTCAGAATGAAACCAATCTGTTTAGCCCGTTCCTCTCCCCCTGCAAAACGCTCCATTTTCTCTGTCCATAAAGTTAAATGACATTTTCCTCCAGGCGCCCTTCTGCCATGTCAAGTACCTCCAGAGATGTTGCAGGCCGACCTGGACGTCACAAGTGTGTGTGTGTGTGTGTGTGTGTGTGTGTGTGTGTGTGTGTGTGTGTGTGTGTGTGTGTGTGCCCGCTGAGTGAGGGAGAGACCTCTGAAGGCAGAAGCAAACACAGAGACATCCACATCTCAACCCCGTGCTGCTGGGAAGGCCGAAAACATCTGTGGTGAAGGCAGGGGAGACCAAACGCATATTGGACTTGAAACAGGGCATTTTTATTTATATTGACCTGCGAGCCTCTTCGGACAGATGGCACACACACCCCCCCTCCCCTCCACGCATTTGGTATTTTGAGTAATTATATTTGTACTATTTTCAAAGTAAATCTCGAACAGAACTCCAGCCACACACACTCGCCAAATGGCCCCATCGGTGCGCCACGACTGCGAAGATGCTCCTTCTTTGCTTGGAAGGACAGAGTAACACTTCCGCTCAGTTTACCCTCCATCTCTGTCTACTTAGGAGTCTCGCTGCCTGCCAGCAGCAGCTCGGGACTGTGTCCAAACATAATCGTGATATTAGCTAGATCCTTATTTATGTGTCCCTACCCCTTCCATTTCCCTCTCTCTGACACACGCATGCACACACATGTCCCTCGCCCTTCTGCTCAGCCCCATTACATATGCATCCATCTTTCCCGCTCCACACATTTCCAATCTTCCCCAGTTAGCTACAACAAACATTACATTTACATATTGATTTCGTAGTTTTAGTCAATGTAAATATGCTGTCATTACAGTAAATTTGAGCTTCTGTTAACATAAGCTCGTCCAGATCTGTGAAGATTAAGGGTGTGATTGCATAATTAATGTGTGCGCTACATATTAATTCCCCCCCCCCCCCTCCCTCTCTTCCCTCAACTCTTCCTCCTCTCCTTGGGTTCTGAGCCCTGATTAAGTGCCTGCTTCGGCCCTTAAGCCTCCCATTGATATTCAGCCGCACAGACCCAGCGTTTGCTCAAAACGCTACTTAACCTCGCAGCTTATTGTAAATGAAGCTTCCAAAAGTTGATTCCCCCCCCCACCCTTCCCCTCTCCTCCCCATCTCTACGTGAAGCACACAAAGTGTCTGCATTAGGATCCTTCGCGGCGTCTCTGTCCCAGCTGTGAGCTGCTGAGGGAGGGGTGGGGCCAGTCCAGAAAGTGTGACCCCCGGGGGCCTCTTGAACAGATCGCGTCTTCACTGCCAGGCCTCTGCTCACAATTGAATCAGCACACGATGTCGGGTGAACGCCTCAGATCAGCGGTTACCTGTCAACAGCTTTCATCTGCTTTTGTTTTCTTTTGCCGACCGCTGAATGTCGTCTGTCAAGGACAGATGAGATTTTTTTTCAAATGATTTATATTTTTTAGCACATGGTTACAATTGGATCCAATATTTGTGGATCACTCTTTAAGGTGTCAGATTATTCATTTAGCCCTTGTGAGATACAACTTACTGTATTTTTGTTAATACTCCGTCAATTATTATTTTACCTCCCTATCGTAATACTATGCTCTAGAATAAAAGTGATGCATTCATAGTAGCTTGGATTATACACATTGGTGAATAGGTAACCATAGAAACATCTTGAGGTAGTAGCCGGTAATTGAAAGGAACTGACATGACTTTTAATTGATGTAACAATAATAAATGCAGTACAGCAGTACATCCGACGGCGGCTGCTAAAGAGGTTTGTCTTAATGCACAATGACGCCTCTTCGCGTCATCATTTTCCCCTCTGGCCTGAGAATGAAAGTAGTTGATTGTCCCTTACGTTCCTAATTGTCTCCACTCTGTGACAAAAGGTGGAAGCCAGAAAACTGGCGCAGCGAGGCGGGCTGAGCTGTCGGGAGTTGGTCAACGAGTGTCTGGGCCGCTGTTGGTTGCAGTCAAATCTTGCCTGGAGGGCATCTTTTGGTCTGTAGTGAGGAAGGTGCTGAAGGGCCTCCTGGGCTTCTCTCATAATGGCCTCCAGGTTGAATGGCAATAAGGCAGATTGATGGACTCCATGCTGTTACAGTGCAGGTGGTCGTGGCTGTTGCTGCCTGCTGTGCTGAGCGAAGCACCGGCCAGGCTTGTTAAGACACAACCAGTGAAGTGGGCGACTCTTCCCCCCAGAGGAGACACCACCTCCCTGTGGGCCAGCCGCTTACCACTAGTTGACAAGTTTCAGCTCGCCCCATACTTGACTGAGTGGCTCTTAGTGATGATGTTTTTCCATAACTTCTCCCGTAGTCCATATTCCTCTTCTGCATAATTTCTTTTCCTTTTTTTGATGTCATACTGTACAATCCTATTTCTTACCATTTTAATTTTGTTCCTCTCCTCGTTTAGTGATCTCCAAGATTCGTTAAATCAGAACTTCCTGTTGGTCATCAGCCACCGCGAGGCCCAGAGGGACTACAGTCTCAACTTCCCCGGCTCCAGAACCATACAGGAGGTATGACACTCTATGCATGCTAGTATCCACGGAGACACAGAGGCACGGAAACGCTCTCAGGAACTCACCCACAGACTCTCACGCATAAATACTATTATCGTACCTGAGTCTAGTTTCCCTTAACACTGCTTTCATTCCATTTGCCAAACATTGCTAGTCTATCTCAGCCATCGATTCATTATTCATCACAAATGATCACATTTCAGAGCGCATAATTACTCTCACAGCTGCAGTCTGGTACAACCTCCCCTCCCACCCCCCCAGCATCGGTCTCTCTGTCCCTCAGCAGTCTAGGAAGAGGTTTAAATAGCGAAGATTGTTTGATCTAGACATGCAGGAGCAACAGAGAGAGACAGAGTACCGTCCGTTTTCCTCTCCTGAAACTAAACAGTAGATCCGGCAGGCGATGAAATATTTATAGTAACTCATACTGGACCCAGAATGAGGGCAGTGCGTCCCAGTATCCATCGGTTATTACTATTACAGCTGCAAGTGGGTTTGAACTGCATGAAAATATATATATGTGTGTGTGCATGCACGCTTTCCTATATAGGCGTGTGTGTGTGTGTGTGTGTGTGTGTGTGTCAGTGTCAATCTTTGGCCCCTTGTGAGTTCAGATCAGCACTCCCCTGCAGATACACACACACACACCGTATATTACTGCCCTGTACTTGCCCTCTGAGGAAGACCTGAGCAGGCATTTGTTATTCACAGTGGGTAGCTCGTTGCCACAGGTGAGTGAAAATAAGCTCCCCAAAGACTGATCAAGTAAAATAGAGAAATCCTTCTATTGATTTAATGTTAAGCAATCATTATTTGCAGGATCGGGGTCGGCAATGTCGGCCGAGAGCTGCTCGCATTCACATCTTTTTTTTTTAAATTTAGTTTTTTCCTCTTAATGCTTTCCGCATTTTAAATCCAGCTAAGTGTTTACTTTCAAGCTGCAATGAAAGGCGTCTCTCCCAAGTTTATATTCTTTTCCCGCTCACCGCAACCAATGAACCTCGGACCCGGCTCCTCGGCGCGGGTGAAGATTACACTAATAACAATCCGAGCTACTTGCCGGCCTTGTAATGGTGCTAATTGAACAGATTAGTACGACCAACATATGAACTGGATGAGGCCGCTCGCCTCCCTGCTTTCCTCCCTCTCCTCCGTCGCTCTCTCCCCTTTCTCCTCCCTCCCTCATCTCTCCCCCACCCTCTTCTCAAGGCAGATGGTTTTGATGAGCACCCACTGTGAAACTTAAGTGTTTCTGCTGGGATTACAAACACTGGGGAGGGGTCCCCGCCGTGTGGGAGGGGGGGGGGGGGGAGCCACGGACACAGAAAGGAGGCAAAGGACTGTTGGCTCGGTGGGGGTGCTGTAAGAGGCCGTAGGGGATGGAGAGGGGACAATGTGGGCTTAAACAGGCCTCCATGTCGTGGTCTTTTCCTTACGCATGCTTGTCTTTAGGCATCTCAAGGCCCCCCTGCAGTGAAAATGAGGCCCACAACTTTAACCTGCATGGATCTGGACTCTGTTTGCCCCACGTTCACCGCGCTCTTTATGTGTTTACTTTAGAGCGCGGGCGTCTGTCCTTGTCGTAGGATTGTAATGCCAATGTGCTGAGAAGTAATATGTCATTAAACCATGTATGCACACTATGCAGGGGCCCATTTAAAGGGGTTCAGTAGCCAGCGTGGAGAGCTGCAGGTACACAGTAGTTGTGGATGACCTCAGAAAAGATGTTATAGAGAAACTTGTGACGCTCGTCATAAAAAAAACAAGCAGTTAGTTTGCGATTCTTTCATTTTTTTTTTGTGTGACACAAACTAGAGGGGGTGAGTGTATTTCTGTCATCGTAAGAGTAATGCAACAAAGATGTAACACCATTTTCAGTCCGCCTGACTCCCCTTTCCACTCATACTGTGTCCACTCACAGACACATATGGACTCCACCACAGAGCACCTTCTTCTCCCCATTCTTCCCTTTGTCTTAGCTGAAGACTAGCCGATGGTCCCTGCTTGTGCATATCAATAGGGATAGACTCCTATCTTCTTGTTTGTCTTTGCCAAAGGTTGCTGCTTTGCCTTGTGGCTCTCAGGGAACTGCCCTTGCCCCTCCTTTTCTCTGCCTTCTTTCTCCCCCATCTCTCCCTCCCCCCCCCCCCCCCCCCGCAGCGCTTAGTTATGAGTTTATTTTTGTTCCCATCTCTAGTGCGCAGGGCTGATTGGCATTACCACACAAGAGTGTGGGGGTAAGTTGCTGGCTAGCTTCTGAGCTAAGCTGGAGAGCAAATGTTTGCCAGGGAAGTAGAGGGTAGAATAGGGATGGCTGCCGGTTTCGGGGCGTCCGTGACCAGACCAGTTGTCCTGGGGATTTCCCCTCCAATGCTGCCCCACGGGGCCGGGCCTGGGCCCCATCTTTGCTCTGCAGCTGGGAGATATATAGGCACCGAAATGCAGACAGGGCTACAGAGCTAAGAAAGGGAAGGTTGCATCAAAAAAAGGGGATAAAAGAAAGGCATCTGGTGCCTAAGGGAGACGGAAGAAAGGGAGCGAGAGAGAGAGCTTGTGACTGTTTAACGGAAACCTTTGCTTCTCTTTGATTCGCTTCCAGCCGGGGATTACAAGCAATTGGCATTTACAATGATTGGATCATTAATTTTGCCTTGAGGCATATTGCCCGGCAGCTTGGCGTTGCAGACAGTCCTAATGTCGTGTAGAACTCGCTCATGCTCTCCTGCCTCATCTTAACACGAGCAGCATCACGCGAACCAGCAGCCCCGTATTCGTCAGTGACACTTTGTATTTACATCCTGCTCCGCTCCGTTACTGACAGTTCCTTTTCCAATTTTAGCTACTGTATGTCCAAGGTTCTGTAGGTTGATGGAGCCCGATTGTCGTTGGTGCCGCGTTCTGCTCAACACAGACAGCCCAGGGTGTCAAATGGAGGCATTCCAACGTCTTTTGTTTCCGGTCAAACACGTGGGAATCGACAGTCAAATTTTGCTGTGTAGAATGAGTTTCTCGAAGGCGGATGAAATGTAGTTGTTTTGATTTGTTGCATTCTTAACTTGTCAGTGAGATGTCCGGTTGTGGCAGACAGGGGGCAGCATCAGACAGTATTGCTCCTCGTGTCCCCGGCTGCTGCCGCCCGGGCAAGGCTTTGCAACTGAGGGCCGCTCTAAAAACTTTGGCTACCTGGAGAAGCCAGAGCAATGCATCGAGTTCCACCCCCCCCCCGCCTTTTAAATATGGTTGCATCAGATTCTCACAACAGCATCATACTTTTCAAAGCTGCACCGCGAGCGTAGCTGTGCTGTCTGCCTGTGATCAAGTTGTCCTCAGCCAGGTGCTCTTCACTGTCTGCCCCCCCCACACACACACACCCCTTCCTCCTCCTCCACCTCTCACCTTCATTCCCTCTGTGGTGGGTGTTAGTTTGTTGTTTCTCTGATGCTGCTTTAACCTCTGACAGCAGCCTCTTCATTACTAGTGTTTATGCCTCTCCTTTCCTCCCTTTTCCCCTCTATTCATCGCCCGGCCAGCCGGTCAGTCAAATCCCTGTAGTCCGGCTGGTCAAACATAGATATTACACTCTGTAATAACACTGGCCACCCGCTCTGACCCCGGTCTGCTATCCCGGCCATGGCTTCTCTTCATAAGGATCGGCCCCGAGCAGTGTGGTCTGGGATTTACGCTAGAAAGACAAAGGATGGACTGTGCCACTCAATTATTATTGTTCTTTTATTTGTTTCTCAGCTTGTTTGTACTCCAAATTGCTTTGCCGCGTCCAGGTCCAGCACACGAAAATCTCATTTCTTCAGGATATTGATACCTTCAATAGAACATTTACTGTTGCGTCCATAAGGGGATGAAATCAGATCTAAATATAGTCCTTTCTGCAAGCAGCTGGTAGTGAGTTAGTGCTTTTAGACCCATACACAGATACAGTAGGACTATTGGAGTGCTAAGGTGAAAGTAAGCCCCTGCTGTCTTCTTTGCTCTGTTTTTTGCAGCCATTGACTTTGTGTTTGTAGCGTATTTAAGTTTCCACTCCTGTGACCAGCAGCCTTGCATATGGCCAAGGATCCGTCTCTTGTCAGTGCTTTGTACAAAGACAGGATTGGACCGGTGGGGTGAGGGTGGGGGGGTGGGGGGGATCTTTGCTCCACAATTGGCAGTTTTCTCAGCATCAATGTCCAGCCTGAAGGGCAGAATTCTGCAGAACAAATGCACTAGAATCCCCGGCCGCCAGCGCTCAGACGCCGACGGGGCTTTGATCACCTACGGCTGGCGCACATCAGGCTGGCGTTGGGGCTTTAAACCAACAACCCAGTGGACGGTGTAACGCGGCGCTAGGCGGGGCAGGCGCGGCTGGCCGCTAACTGTTTAAAAGCACGGAATGTCATTAAGTGATGCAGATACAGCGTCTGCGCATGAATGGGAAAAGAGAAATACTGTTCATTTCAGAGCGTGGGGCTGTTGTTGCTGGGCATTAGCTGTGGCATCTGAGGAATGTTGATAACACTGGCTGTTTTTTTTGTATTTCTTTCTCCTTCCCTCTCTTTTTGACTCATCTCTTTCTTCATTCTCTACCTCCATTCTTCTTTTTGCTCTTGCTGCTGAACGGAGGATACTTTAATGTCTATCATATATATTTACTGTTTAATCAGAGTGGAAAAGGTTTCCACCTTCACTTGTGATATTACTTAACAATGAGAAGTCATGGTGTCTTTGATGTTTTATTATTTGACCTTTTCCGTTTTTTAAAATCATATGTACCCTTTTGTCTGCAGGTGAAGAGGAACATTTCTGACCTCACCAACATCCCGGTCCGACATCAGCAGTGGGATGGGTGGCCCGCGTCAGCGTCTGATGACTCTGTAAGAACCGTTGGCACACAAAAAAAAACACTCAGAATGTAACAATTTTACTTTAACAGTTCGTTCACGTCAACCTTTATGTTGCCTTCGCCGATCCTTCGATCCGAGGAGTCTTTCTTAAAGACGTTAAAGCCCATGGTTCACCGATGATTTACATTATTTTGATGGCAAGAGTGGAAACTGTTCCACACTCCCAAAACCATCTGTCAGAAGCATGAGAGTGAGATGTTGAAGCTAATTAAGATGTCAAAGACAGGTTCCCGTCCTGTGTCCTCTATATGTGGACATTAAAGCTCACATCATTGAGTCCCGCTGACCTCTCCTGTCCCAGGGTCGCTCTTCCCAGCCATTCACCCTGCACACAGTCAAGCTGATCAGAAGCAACCCTCATACAGAACCTTGAAGAACCTCTGACCCCTTTTGTCTCACCCCTTCTTTGACCGCCTATGTGTTCCCATGCTAATTGTATGGGATGGTTTATCATGCTACTTTGAGGAGCTGTTGTGCACACATTCTTGTGTTAGCCCCTAGCTAACGTTTTCCCTTTAGATCTATACTATTATCGGCGGGATTTTTTTTATCATATGCGTATGCCAGCGCTGGCTTCACTGTAGCAACGTGACTACAGATGATGTTTTTTATTTTATTTTATTTCTGGTAGTGCACTTTTGTGGATATCGGTTTTGGTGGATACAGTCTATTGTGTATGTTACCCATTATCTATGTTTCATTTCCTCGAACTGAATGAACAATAACTGCACCTGTTAGTTACGAAAGCATTAAAGATTTGAGAAGAGTGAAAGCGAATACTGTACACGGTGAGTGCGCCTAAAAGGGGCAAAGCACAAAAGGTTTTGCGTCCTTTCACTACAGTAAAAGCTTTATTTCAGAGCAGACAATTTAAAGGCCGGTAACAATAAAAAGGAACCTACCACACTGCTGTGATGCAGATCTCTTCTGGTGGGCAGAAAAGAAACGTTGCACTAATTTACCTTTTTTTCCTTTTTGTACCGTAACATTGGCTTTAGCTTCATTAGTTTCTTATGAAGCTAAAGAGCTCACTTATTTAAGTAGGAATTTGTGAAAAAAGTGAGGAAACAATTGATGGTCTTCATGTTTTTTAGGATGGAGATTAATGGAGATTATTACACCACTAAAATAATTTGCCACTGTAAGGAATTGGTTTTAGTTTGATTTATCAATTGAATAATAAAAATTAATTACTGAATTCCCTTACGTTAAATGTCAGGGATCCCTTGAATTTATTAATGATATCTCTTTCCAATGTTTTAATTTTTAATTCATCAGCTTAATTTAGTTTCCAAAAATATCTGACCTAATCATTACACGATTGAGTAAACCCTACCAATCGCAATATATTAAAAAGTAAGGATGAAGTAAAATCAGTATTTATTACCTTTTGGTATTTTTGAGATCTGTGATCTTGTTATCAGTGAACCTCCGCTCAACCTCCCCGGTAGTGTGGATATGATTGCCAGGGACCATGAATAGATTGCGGCTCATTGTGGCCTCACAGGCCCAGTTGGCAGCGTCTGTTTCTCGGACGAGGAGATATTAAAAAGCACAGAGACAGAAGTGTAATAATGGCCTCTGCTCGAGCCACAGCCTTCTTATTGAAACCTCGGAAGGTATTAACGGAGAAAGCCCAGGGCTCGGCTGGGCGGGTGGGAAGCCAGTGTTAGTGTCTAGCTCATTAGCCCAGCCTCCTCTCCCGGGGTTCAGGCCAATAAATACGGCAGCCAGAGGCCCCCGCTTACGTTTAGCACTTTCAGCAGGATGGATTAGTGCTCAACTCGTCTGTGATACAACTGTGTTCCTGCTTGCATTTACCTTTTTTAATGTGTGTGCATATTTGCATTTATGTGTTTGCAAATATGCCTGTTTTAGGATACACTTTGCGGCCTTGGCTGAGTGTCAAACCTCAATAACTAATACTCAAAACCGAACTGCGTCCGTAGCATCACAATTTGGAAAAGGTCACACAAAAAAGCAATCTTTTGTTAAAAAGTTAGTTAAATACTGCATCAATGCTTAATACCATTTACCTAGTAAAATACTATTTGCTGATGTTAGGTTTCAATATTTTTTGCTAAAATCTTGAAATACCTTTTAGATTCAAAGTGACGTTTTGTTACAGAACTACAATTACAATTAAGTAAATGTGACGTTGCCCTGTCCCTTGTCCCTGTTCTGTTGAACAGTCAGAAGTGAAGATGTAAGTTAAAGTTTTGTTTTTTTAGCATTCCCAGGAAGCATAAACGTTCCCTTTATTATGGTTGATCTGAATCGTCAACTTATCTCGAGTATCTCCTTGTTAGTTCTTGTGTTCTGTGAAATCTATATCTGAGAGCTGTCATTGTTTGTCAGGGCTTTGTTGTAGCGTAAGAAATTCCCACCTCTCAGGGAAACCGGCCGTTTGTCACGTCGCCCTCCCTGATACTGTCCACTCAATGTGTTTCCTTGTTTATTGTGCTCCCAATCTCTATGCAGGGATGGAATTGGATCTGGATGGATAATGCTCGAGTAGCACAGGACAACAGATCAACTCATTCATTCATGTTATTGTGTGTCCCGTTGGACCAGGCCAGTTGAATGTTAAAGGAAGTGGCTCAAAGTGTAGCTGAAGCGGTACCAATGTGAGCGACACCCAATCCCAGCACGCACATTGTGTCGACCTAAGTCTCGTACCGGTTTGATATTTCTGTTTAATGAGTATATAAACCACAGCTCCTTTTGCGAACCTTTGCAATGCAGCGCTGAAAAAGGCTCCTGACGTGAACACCGTTCTCACACATTGTTCCAATCCAACAAAAAGAATGTAATTATTCCAAAACCTAGTGTGACACCCGACGCACACCTGACAACAGGACATGTGATGACGGCCACCGTCAGCAAGTTACATTCTTTTTTTTTTAACAGTTTATTTAAGAGGCCCACGGGACGTTGATTTCCTGTGCCGCTTGAAATGCGTTGATCGAGCCCCTTCCCCTGCTTCCTCCGTCGTCTTCTCTTCTCCTGCTACTTCGCCAAAACAATACAGCGCCGAGAGTTCCCAGACAGGCCTCCTCTCATTGGACCTGCTTTGATTGGCACTCTTTCCCTCCACACCTGTTGGAGTGATTGACAGCCAGTGGGACATCCTTATTACATCCCCTCGTCTCTTCCACCACCAACACCACCCACCCTCCCTTCCAGCCAGTAATTGCTGACATTTATGCAGTGTTTCATGGTGTTTGCTAATGTATTAATGCTCGGAGGTGCCGGGCCGTGTAGGCCAGCCCCTCCCTCCCAGTTGGCATTAATGGAATCTTCCTCTACCTGATAGGGGCCTATTAAACTGGGGATTTATTGAGGGGGGGGCTGGTGGTTTCCGTAGCAACTAGGTTCAGCAGTAATCTCAGACAGAGCCCCCCTTGCAATCTGCTGCCTTCAGGTGACATTCAGCACCAAGTTAGTCTGTCAGTCTCATTTTCTATCTCTTCTGGTTGTTGCTCTGCGCTCACGTTTCACAGAACGGGTTTGTTCAGCGATGGTCTGTTAAGCGTCCCATTGATCCAGCAGTCATTTCTTTGTGCCTACCTCAGCCTCTGGCTCTGTGTTTGCATTTGTTTACGCGTGGACATGCACTACACGCACTGTGCGCCGCAGCCCAGATGCTAACCAGGAGAGGCCAGCCAGCTCGATGGAGCCTGACCGAAGGACACCAATTGGTCCTTTTTTGAATTTCTTCACTGTGGTATTCATTTTTTTCTTTTCTCATGTTGTCAGTACTCCCTCCTCTGTCCCATGTCCTTTGGTCCATCAAAGGGAAAGTCGGGTAAGGTGGTACTGTGGTTGTGGTCGCCGTCGGTGCAGCTGTCAGTAGTAATTATCTCACACTCACAGCCAGACACCCAATCCAAACACTGCCTACTTTAGAAAAGAAAAAAAAAATGAAACACAGAAAGAATGAGGGGAGAGAAAGAGGAGAAGAAAGGGTTGAAGGGAAAGGGAGGGGGGGGTAAGGGAGAGAAATTTCTTTCCCTGTATCGGCCCCTGAATGCTTAGAGCCTCAGTGCAAGTGTTAATTAAAAGAATCCAAAAAAGAGGAGCCGGTCCCTTTTGTGTGGAGATGTGGGAGAGGGTCATTTGGGGAGGGTGGGGGGGGTTAACCTCACCCTCCCCAACCCTCGTGCCCTGCGGCGCTTCAGCCTTGTTTCCGCGTTTTACCACTGAGCCGCCAAGCTGCACTTGTGTACCTCAACATCAGGAGAAGCCACGGGGTCAAAGCGAGGAAGAGGCTTGAGAGGCACTCAACTCATTTTTTTCTTTTTTTTTTCCTTCCCCTTTTCACCTCCCCTCCTTGCATCCATGTCAGCCCAAAAACCCCTCCCGGCTGCCTTTGACGGGGGAAGTGATCAACTTTTATTTATACACTTATTAGGCCCTCAGACGAAAGCCTCTCTTTGTGAGTAGTGGCGGTAAAGGGTTTATGGGGATCGTCCCGGCAGCCGCTGTTCTCACGTTTGATTGCCACTCGATTTGGGGAGCGGGCAGAATGCACTTGGGGCCATTGCTTCACATCCTTAAGGCCTGTACATCTTTGTCCGGCTTAATACCTCCAGCTCTCTCAGTGCTAATTCACCCCTCAGGCCTGAGTCCCATCATGTCTCAAATGGCCAAAGCTTCTCTTTAAATCGTTGTTGTCCTCTTTCTTTTGTTCAACTATAAAAGTATTGATAACTTACTTTTACTTTAATGGCGTTTTTGTTCCCTTTGTGAACTTCTCCTGCAAAATATGAATAAGACAGTGATCTAATAAACGAGACCGGACTACTGATTTAGTTAAGAGTTAAGTTACAAGAGCAATTCAGTTAAGTGTTCTTCGTTGGTGTTCCGGGGACACTCAGCGGCCCTCGCTGTCACATTTACACTCTCGCAATTGTCAAGAGTACACTCGTTAGTAATTGTTAATACACAAGAAATACAATCTTCTTCTCCGTGTGTGTGTGTTCGTGTGTACACCTTTATGACTCTTTCTGGGCTAAGAAAGGTTTTTAATTGGCTGAGAAACAACGGACATATTTCTCATGTTTGTTGTGTGTTTCGCCGCTGGCTCTCCACCTTTTAGCTGTGATGTCATTCCCTGTTTGCGCAGTTTTATCATGTACGGCGGTCCGGCCACTGCTTTTTTTGAGCCCCTCTCTTTGCTTAAGACAACACGGAGGAGGAAATCTCATCAGGATATTATTCATTCTCCAATTGCCTGGGGAGATGCTGTGTTTTTCATTTCTTCTCCTTGGTTACTGAGCTGGTGGGAATTAACGACGCAGTGCACAGATAGTGTAATCAGTGTATCCCTCGTCAACTTTTATTTCCTTTAAGGCTGCGATACATTGGAAAATGGTTTCTCTTTTCTATTTAATGAGAAATTGAACCAAACACATTTATGGCACAAAGAAGATGGCCGTAACCCAGGGGAGGCGTTATTCATAAAACCCTCCGTGACGTTTAATGTCATTTAATATCACAGAAAAACAGAAGATTGGGGAAATACGCACCTGACAGATCAAGGGGCTTCATCAGTGTTACTGTAAAGTCCTCATGGGCCCCTCACGGTGGCAATAGACACGGTGATAGAAGTGTTGCCTCCATATTGCACAACACCAGTTGCACCTAGTCGTGCGTGTAACTCTGCCACAACTGTCCAAATGTTTTTGTCTTCTTTTTTTTTTTGTGCAAATATTATGGGCTCTTGGCTGCGGCCAGCTTACTTTCTAAAATTGTGTGCAAAGATGGAAAAATAACAGACCGTGCAGCACTTTGTCTGATGTGTTGGTTCTTGTCGGTGCCAGGTACACGGCAGTACTCGCTGGTGAGTCCATGTTGCCGACAAGGTCTGTTGGTTACACTGTTCTCTCCTGCTATAGAAGTTGAGGCCAGCACGAGGAACCGCTCTGAGAGGCAGAGAGAGAAACTCCCCGCGGTCTTGTGTAGCCCCTTTCAGACTCAATTGGCGTTGCATGTAATCGTCTCCCGATTCAACCGTGTCCAGCTGCTCTTTGTGTGTCCCAGCGGCCGACAATGGAGCAGATCACAGGCCCTCTGCAGGGGCTGAGCAGCTTCCCTGCCTCTTATCACACCAGGGCCTGCCCTGCCCCGCCGCTGCCCTGTTGTGTTGAAGATCACTCTCCCAGAAAAGTGCTTTGCATCTGGGCTTTCTGCTCCGCGCGAAACAATTAGTACGAAGGCGAATATATTGTTGCGTTATTGTGACATGTTTCACTGCAGCCATTCTATTAGTAGTGGTGTGACTGTTACCAGTCCTGCTCTCAGTGGTCCCTTGTTTTGATGTTGTGTTTTTGGTTGCATGATGGGAATTGCTTGTGAATCTGGCCTGGCACCTTTTTTAAAAATTTATTTATCTATTTTTTTTAGAAGAGAGAATGTTGGGTTTTGCGTCGCCTGTGTGGTTGATGTCCCCTGGGATCTTATCCAGGAGACAGCAGCTGTAATGAGTCCCTGCTGAACGCTGACATTTACAGTCCCTGCTTTTGGATTCGGGAGCTCATTAGTTGGGTGTTCGCTTACTGAAAACCACCATCACGCTACTGCAGGTGTGCAGAAACCTCATCCATCCATCTCCCCTCATTACAAAGATGATTAAGCCGGTGTTTTGAAAATCACAAAGTGTCTCACGATATTTTCAATGATCGTACTGTGAGGCACAACTTTGAAGTTTTTTTTTTTCATACAAGTGGTCGGCCTTGCGAAGTTAATCACTCTTTCATTGTCATCCCTGTCGTCAGATGACGCTAGCTGTGTCTGGGATCAGCTACCCTTGCCATCACCTCAGTGTTTGCCGAAGGTCCTCACCAGCCAATTCCCAGGAACCCACAGAAGAGGTAAAAAAAAAAAAAGACAAAAATAGACTGTGCCGTGTGTGATTATTATTATTATTTTTTTTAAATGAGTCTGTAAATAAACGTATTGTTGAACTTTTCCAGTGCGCAGATGTCCATATGGTCAGCGACAGTGAGGGGGATGATTTTGAGGATGCGTCAGAGTTTGGCGTGGACGACTCTGAGATGTTTGGAATGGGTTCTTCTACCTGTCGGAAATCACCGATGAGTAAGTAGAGCGCGGGAAACCGATTTCAGCTCCACGTGTGGTGTTAAATGCCGGGGACAAACATCTCAAAGCCGGGCCATCACATGTTTTCTTTCCCCTCACAGTGCCAGAGAATAGTGAGAACGAAGCTGATGCCTTACTGCACTTTACTGCCGAATTTTCCTCAAGGTGAGCTAAGCGCCCGGTGCGTCTCCTTTTTGACTTGGAGAAATCTGAAATCAAAGAAGAATGGCATGAAACAACTTGTTTGTGTACCCCGTGTCTTTTAGATATGGAGAAACCCACCCGATGTTCTTCATCGGGTCCTTGGAGGCGGCATCTCAAGAGGCCTTCTATGGCAAAGCCAGAGATGTGAGTAAGCTGATTGACAGTCTGGTCCCTCGTGGGGAGTTTTTTTTTTTTTACTCATTACGAAACTATAATAAGTTACAAAATCCTATTGTTTCTTCTCTTGTTATATATTTTTTTCTTATTTTGGCTTTGTGAGATACGAAGCACTGATGTTACCAATGTTGACTCGTCCTTTAGCGCTGATGTCATCCCTGCCGGCTGTAGACCAGCCCTGCTTTTTTAGCAGTTTTCTTTCCTTAAGACAACACAGAGACGGAGGGTTCAGGGTATTATTCATTTGGGGAGTCGTTCAGTCATCTGTCAAGGGAGATGCTGCGTTTCTAATGTCTCTTCCTACATTACCGAGCGGCTGGGAATTCAAGAAACAGTGTCCAGTGGTATGACCAGTTTCTGCAGAGGCCTCATCTGCGGTCCAGGCTTCAATAAAGTCTAGATCTTTCTTTCTTAGTGTGTCGAGTTGTGTATATTACTTTACTGTTAGTTGTGTCGCCCCTGTGTCAGGAAGTCTTTAAAGCCCGGTGATATAATTCGGTCAAAACCCTTCATCAAATTTTCACCCTCACAGTTGAGGCTTTATTTTTAGCTGTCCACTTTCCCTGCTTGATTTTTTTTGGGGGGAGGGGGGTGCTTTTGTCCCTTTAAGGATGCTTGTATCAACTGACAGATTGTGTGGATTACGGCCTTATTAGACTGTGAGGACACAGCAAGATGTTTGGGGGGTTCAGACCACCAGGCTCACTGGGAGGGAGGAAGGGAGGGTGGAATAGTTGATAGCCGGGGCACCAAACGGAGACGATGGTGCGAAAAAGCCAAAGTCCGAGGTGGTAAAGTGATGGTAACGTGACGGCTCGAGACTTGGCAGGAAAGCGGTAGGTGATGGAGGGTGTGGGAGAGGAGAAGCTTGGAGAGGAGCTTGGCTCCTTGCCTGCTTCCCAGCTGATCTCCTCTCCTAAGCCAGCACAATATGGCCAATGTCTTCCTGGTGCTCACACACACACACACACACTCTGCGATGTACCACCGTGCTCTACACAGCGCAGGGGCGAAATAGTGTTCATTTTTTTTCCCTGTATTTAGTTTTATTCTGGGCGAGCTCGACTTAGTCTGCCAACTGTGCTGTGGTTAGAATGGCTTTAGGGAAGCTGGATATGTGCAAAGAATTTAGCATGAAAACAGAAGCTATTTGATCTGTTCTGTGTTTGTCCTGTTTTGTCACCAGCGTCCTAGACGACAGGCCAAAACATGCTGCTCGTGACGGTTTCATTACACAGTAGCATATGTGCGCGACTGAGCCGCCCCGGCTTCCATCCACCCGGCCATCCCATCTTCTGCTCTTTTGAATTTAAAAAGGAATCTAGTTGTTGTGTCCTGCGTCGTGGAAAAAGCCTTCTTCATTAAGGGGATATTGGAAAAAGGGGCAGGTTTGACGGGAGTGGGTGGAGAGTGGGGGAGAGGTAGGGTGGAGACTACTCGGTGGGTTTATAAACAGACGAATCAGTCTCACTCTCTCAAAGCCTGGGAGCGGCTAATCACTAAGCAAAACACTACATTTGATGAAGTGTTTCTGAAGGTGTGTGTTGGGGGACTGTTGAGATGGACTCAATCCGTCCTTAATGAAAATGCTTTGGGCTGCAGAGCTGAGCTGAGCTGAACCCTCTCGGGGATCAGCGGTTAGTCGGAGCGCACAGAGAGACGGGCCACCCATCACCAACCGCGATCCGCACTAAATCCCCATCAACGCAGTGGTTAATCACTCTAACCCCTCTCTCCGCTGCGCTCTCCCCTCCGCCGCACACAAAGACACATCAAAATTCATGGCCTCGCTGGAGAGGGGACTTCGTGGACTTATCAACACCCAACATCCGCTTAATCAAACCCGGCAACGAGCCCTTGTAAATCATAAGGCCGCATAAACAAACGGTTATCCGTCGGATGTAGGACTGTTGAATCCCAAGCGTGCGGTTCATTGTTTGCACCTGAAGCGATTACCGCCGCGCACCGATCGATGGAATCGAAGCGTGAGTGTTTGTGGAAAGTATGAATGGTGGCCGTTCTGGTCGCGCTCCGGTTGAGGATCCGGTGGCGTTTCTGTCCTAAGGACGCGCTGTGCGGAGCCTCCTGTGTGGTTGGTCATTGATCCGAATGTGTTTTTCCCACTGTGTGTTTGGGGTCATTAGATCAGTCATTTGAGCTATTCATTTTGAAGTGTTTGCTTTTCCAGCGCGCCATCTGTAGAACAATCCCTATCTGGACCTCCGTCCCTCTGTACCTTTCTGTCTACGCCTGCATCTCACCCGCTGGTCTCCTACGTATTGTCCCTGTGATTGAAGGCGTCTTTTCGGTGTGACGCAAACGCCGTCCGCAGAAGACGGGCCTTCCGCTGAACCGTGTGAGCGTCTAGAAGGGGAAACTGGAGCTTTACAGTTCCCAGGAAGAAAACTATTGGAATCTGTATGACATGTACATTATTGTATGTGGGGCGATATGAGACGGGACATTATCAGGGGTTTTACTTGTGTTAATATTTGCTTTACCGTAAACTCGTGCTCTCCACAGCCTGCACACAGCTACAATGACACATGATAGTGAGGAGGGGGATTTGTCGGGTTGCATTGTGTTGTTTTGGCAATAAGTGCTGTTGAGCGGTTTGATTAGCATGAGAAAACCTGTTGATTGCGATGTACAACATTTTTTGGGGAGAGTTGGAAAGATGAATGTACTGTTCCTCTGTGGCTGTGGAGAATATCTCATTAGGATTCTTTGGAGGTAGTCGTCACAGTTAATAATGAAAGGGTGACTTCCCATGAATAAAAAAACATTTATAATGCAACATTAACTATAATTACTTTTATTTTATTGTTGGTCATTTTAGAAAAAGCATTTTATTACTAATTATATAAACGTCCGGCAGTCTAAACGGTACAGTTAAAAGTCATCAATGTCCTGCTGTTTTGGGGTAAGTAATGTGGGACACACACACACACACACACGTTAGAACATTCTAAAAGTTGCAATGGTATGCACACTTAAAAAGGTTTTGAAAAGTAATTTGCAAAAATTGCATGTTTCTTCTGGATATTATGAATGATTTGAGCTTTTTAGTTAAAATAAATATAACTATTACATTTATACATGTCTTTAAGTAAGCTGCATCCCGTTTATTATTAATCTCAATTAATTGTTAAATCAAAGAAAAGGGATGATTAAACGAAAAATGTAAAAATTCAAGCATCACTGTTTCAGACTAAATTCTAAATTCAGACTAATCGCTACTATTTGAACTGTCAAAGAAGAGTCGGCTCTGTACGGTTCCAATTGCCTTTTCCTGTGGCGTTAAATTAACAGATACACAACGGTGCAGTCAATAGTAATTCAGTTTTATTGACCACAGATATTCCTCAAGAGGCCTCATTTAGAGGGACACCAGGAAACTAACAAAATGGATCAATTGAAGTTTTGTTTCGCTAAATAAAAAATACTGGCGTTGTACATCTGGACGAAGAATTATACATTCCCTATTAAATGTGGCGGAGATATCGACAGTCAATCTGCCTTCATAGTCGTTGGAACATTCGTAATTTAGTCAGAAGCTCGATTTCCTCAATACCAACATTGTTTATTGTGTGACTTCTTCCGTCTCCTTTTCACACACAAACACGCACACAAAGCGGGCGGCTTAGATTCAGGTGAACAGGTGTGAGGAAGGGCTATGGGGTCACTATCTCGCTCAGGTTGGACCCAGTAATTTAGCCCAACGGAGGGCTTTGCTCCTCCCTGCTCAGACAGGCAACACAAAGGATCTGACTTGAAAGCGGAGAGCGAACAGAGGGGCACGGACAGTTTAACTGAGATGAAGGAGTTCAGTTGGCGAAAATGCCCACTTTGATTAGTCTTTACACTTGCTCTAATTGAGCATGCATGTGTGCGGGTGTGGGCCCTTTCGCTTTGTGGGGGCCACGCCGTAAAGTTTGTGCGTCTGCGCACGTGTGTCGGGACGTCTGCGTTTTTCCAGCGTTTATCAGGTTTTTATTTTTATATATACATTTTTTTTTTTTTAAGACTCTCCCTTCCCCTCCCACTCATTCCACTCTCAAGACTGAATTTGCTTGTCTTCTCAGCGTGAGTGTTTAATCTTTTCAGGCCGTTGAATCGGCCCGATGAATGAGTCCCCGGCTCCTTCTCTCCAGGAGCCCCGGAGATTATTCTAAAGCACTAATCGTTGAGCAAACACAGCAGTGCTCTCCCATTCCTATTCTACACAGGCCACAGTATAGCACAACTTCTCCTTTCACTTCCCTTCACGTTTTACGCCCTGTGTGGATTTTTTTTTTTTGCTTTTTTGGCGTACGTAGCCTAGATTGCTGCTCCTGAGAAACAGACCTTTTGACTCCCCCCTCGGCGGCCGTGGTTAAAAATGAACCGGGCGCAGAGTTATTTCTTATTTGTCGGTACATAGCAAGAGAAGTGACATGTAATTTAGAGAGCATTATTTCCAACATTGTCCCCTGGAACCTTTCATGTTTGTGGGTGTGTTTGTTTTTTAATTAGATTGTCAGTAGGGAAAATCTGCCAGGCTTATATGATGGTGTCAATATCCTTGGATTTGGAGCTTCGTCAATATTGTCTGGCCCTCAACGCTACTAACCTGAACAGGCTGCTGGCATTTGCTGTAAAATAAATAGAGTGATTTGTCTGTTGGTGTTTTTTTTTTTTCCAAATCTTGGTGGAGAGTTTTATTTACACCGCGCTCCATCTTGTTTCTGCGTGTTATCTGCTGTTTTGCCAGTCGAGGCCTTGCTGTTGGTGTGTAGAAGTCATGCTGGCTCTGCTCCCTCTGGCCCCCTCGTGTCATTTCGTGGTGATCTGAAGTGGAAATGTCCCCGCCGTGATGAGACACCCACTTGTGGCAGACGGATCTGTCGCTACACCGCAGATCCGCGAGACTTTCAAAGTTTCATTTTTTATTCCTCCAACTTAACAAAAAAATGTGAACCCGTCTACAAACATCTGGCTGTATTATTTATCGAAAAATACGTTTTAGCTATGTTTTACATTTTGCTCCTCGACGTTTTCTCTCACTACCACAAACTCAATTTTCCTCTTTCGTGTTCACAGAGGAAGCTGCTGGCCATCTACCTCCACAATGATGACAGCGTCCTCAGCAACGTCTTCTGCTCCCAGATGATGTGCGCGGACTCCATTGTCGCCTACCTGAGCCAGAACTTCATCACGTGGGCCTGGGATGTCACTAAAGAAGCTAACAAAGCCAGGTATCCCACTGCAGGATTTTTTTCAGTTGTGAAATGGATAAAGACACTAGTTCAATGCTTTATTATTTATTTTAATAAACACCTGTTATGAAGTGATTCTTTAAAAAAAACTATTTCCTAAAGAAGTTGGACTCCCACAAGAAAACCCTATTTTAACAGTTTTAACAGACTTAATGGACCTGGGATGTTCCTTGTAGTGGCATGTATTTGCACATTACTATCTATTTTTTTTTTTTTGTTATGAGTACTTTCCAACAAAGCGCCGTGATTTACTTCGGAACCAAGTCAATTTTTTTGCAAATTGCAATATCACATGGATTCTGTTTTAAAGCCATTGGTATGTATTCTTCTCCGCTCCCTGGTGTCCGAGTCTCATAATGATTCTAGTAAGAAAAAGAGGTTTAGATCAATCAAAACTATGACCAAAACTGTTACACGCAAGTTGTTCAAAGAATTGAATTGCCCTTCAACGATTTAATGCTCTGGACGGGTCAGATACTGGCACCGAGTTTGGAATCGCAATCTCCAACCTTATAGTTAAAGAAGAAGCAGTGGCTGAACCTCTAAGCCTGGCCTGCATGTTTTAATCCTTATGTTTTATTTATGTGTGACTTACTGTCTGGGGGACGGGACTGTTTGCATAATGAGTTGTATCTAATAAAGAGGCATATTGAATGCATTTCAGTGGCAGAGGAGCTTGGTTGCATGGCGAGGGCTCTGCAAACTGCCAGAATACCGTGTGAAGGAAGCTGTTACTATACTGCTCTGGTGTACTTGTTTCTGTTACTCCTATCTGATGGGGTTAATGTAGTTTTAATTGGAGCTCAGCCCGAGTCCCTCACTTACAGTTATACACTTATTACCATTCTAAGCCTGCTAAAGAACCGAACATTAGATCTGTGTTTTGTCATTTCAGGGAGAACAGCCAGCTTTTAGAAAACGATCTAAAACGGCAGCGTGGACGGAACCTCATTTGACACACAAACAGCGTTTTCAAATCGATTCGCGCTTGTGTGGACCTCCGCTTAATTGCCGGCATTCAACTCTCCCTCCATTGCTCACACGTTGCATCGGCGTCCTCTCATTCTCCCCTCGACTTCATTCGGTTTTTTGAAGCTGGGAGATTGCGTGCTAACAAAAGGCGTTGTGTTTGCATGGTGAGACCCCTGATTGGGCAGTCTTTGCTAAGCTGTCTGAATAGAGGGTCAGTGGGAGACGAAGGACTCAAAGGGAGTCCAAACATCTCTATCTCTCCATTTTAGTCCAAATCTCGGTGCAGTGGTGTGTGTGTGTGTGTGTGTGTGTCGGTAACCAGCAATTTTGTGCCACACTTGTTTACCAAACGGCTACTAATTTTATCTGGATTGACAATTTTGTCGACAAAACCCCCCCCATAATTTGCTAATGAAGGTGATCTGCAACGTGTGATAGACAATCAGATCCCTGCGTTGGTTGAAGTGTTGATCTCTGGCGACCTGCAGGTAAAGGTGAACCTGCTATATCTTTTCCTTGCATCTCTCTTTATTCCCCTCCTCTTTATCCCACCGCCTCACCCCTCTCCCGCTCCCCACAACCTCCAGAATTAAGCCTGCCCTCTGGTAGCAGCCATTTAAGAAAGACTCGCCCTGACCTCACCCCTCCATTATTTCTTTTAAGGAAATTCCCTCCTTCCTCCATTCCGCTCTCCATTCTCTCCCATTGGCCGCCTTTAATTTTTGCCCCAGCTGAGCCTTTTTATTGCACTTTTAAAAGGTAGGCAACATCTGGAGCTTTTCATCGCACACAGCTAGTCACAGCTTTGCTGCTAACGCATGCGTGCACACGCACACACACACACACACACACACACACACACACACACAAACACACTTCTCTGTATTCTCACGCTCTGGTTGATCCAAAGTGACTGGTGATTGGCGTCAATCACACAGGCTGTTAGAAGAAGGTAGCCTGATTGTGCGCGAGTGCGAGTTGAACCTGCTGATATCGGAATGTGCCCGTTGCTTCGCTCGCTCTGTTCTCCCGGGCTTCCCAGTTTGGCAATTAATTATGCATACATGCGGTTCTGCTGATTGGGTAGCAGCGCAATGGTCACCTATGGGAGAAGAATCTGATATTGCACGTGGCTAATATTGAAACTATAAGTAAACAGACGTTAAACAGATCTTTTTATCAGTGTGGATTATGGATCCTCTAATCTATCACACATTTTATTCCATGCTAAATAAATAATACATGTATCTTCATAAGGCGCACCTCAAACCAACCAACCAAAGTATCATCTTAGACTTGCTTTGTCTTTTGTACATATTTCAACCTTCAACCACATACAAAGGGCGTGCCACAATATTATGACAGTGTACAATGACTCAAAAACCCGGGTGTTCATGTGGTTGTTAATGTGTCTCAACCGCCGAGAGCACAAACCATCAAGCGGACTTTTCCTCTTGACAGCCTCCTTCCTGGCAAAAAAACGGGTTTGAGCGGCAGAACAAAATGTCATTTTCAAATCAAAACACGTCCAACGTTTTGCTCTGAAACAAAGTCGGTACGACACACTGAGCAATCGGAGCATCCGGTTCCCAGACATTCCCCCGCGCAGGTGGCTGGCAAAACCCTTCCCTGCAGTGCTACTGTGCTGGCCTGACTCATCAGCTGCTCAAACCTGTCCTCTCGCATCCTCGCGCACCACCGGGACGAGAACCGACGTGACAGTCCAGGGAAACATTAACTGTTTTAGCTGCCTGTGCGCACGTTGAGAGCTTAGAAGCCGTCAATCACATTAATCCATTGGAGCGGTCCTGTTGAATGCTCCGTGCAGGTGTTTCCTCTACGTTTGGGTTGGCCCCCCGAAGGATCTTTTTAAAGGCTGCATTCTTTACCACGTTATGTTATGGCTGGATGAGGCCGCGCTGAACCGCTCACCTCGGGTTTCTGCAGTAGCTTGACTCCTTTCTGCCCTTTTCTGGCGTCATGTCCTGGTTATAGCATATTCCTGTGGATACGTGTGTAGGTTTCTTTTTTTTCTTTTTTTTTATTGTGGTGGACTGACATCCTTAGTTTTGAGATAGAAACCAAAGCAGGTTGGTTTGTGTTTGATGGGAGATTTAAGATTGGGTTACCCTTCAAGTTAGTCTCCATTGTTCCCTGTCCTTTCATTACAGGTTAGAGTTTCTCTCCAGGCTATTGTCATGGTCCTCCCCGGGTCGAGGTCTGAACGCGGACGAATGTCGGGACAAAATGATCAGTAGGATTTAGGGTGCCCAACTTGACGTGGGTCACTCAGAGTTCAACATTTGAAGGGTCATATCTCTAAAAAAAAAAAAAAACACATTATCTCTTCGCGGATCTTCCGGTCTATCGTCCTTATTTTCAGCAGGTATTGGTGTGATTATTGCTTTCATAAGCTCCACAATCGCAGGTACTATATTTCCAAGTTTAAGATGTCTTCAAGTATACCTCCCTGCGCCTTGGCTTCCTATTCTAATGAGTTACCCCCCCTCCCTCCTCAGACAGCACACCTCCCATCTATCCTCCTCTTCTGACCCGCTGTCCCTCCATCCATTCCATTACATCTCCATTTTACCAACCAGTTATTAAAGTAGATCTTATTAAAAGGCGGGAGAAAAAGCTAATCTATATTTGCATTCAGTCTATAGCCATTCATTAATATTATGACATTTACTGGGAGCTCGGCGGCGCCCCGGCTGCCTGCTACCCTTTTCCCTCTGTGAAATGTTAATTTAAAAAGTTCTGTCTTTGTAATGGAATAAGAAATCCTCTCTGGCCCTATCAATTCCAGGTGTCTGGCGAGGAATACTAATTCATCTACGGTTCCAATTGAGATGCCACGTTAGTCTGATGGAATAAGAAAATGCAGAATTGGTTTTAAAGTCTTTCATTGCCCGAGTTGTGTGTATTTCTCTTTATGGTTGTGTATTTTTCTATAAATCGCAGGTTGTGAGTAAAATGTAATGAATAAAGGCATTAATTAGAAGTCGATTATTGTTGTCTTTCAGACTACTCACCATGTGCACGAGGCACTTTGGCAGTGTGGTGACACAGACCATACGGACATACAAGACAGACCAGTTCCCCCTGCTGCTGATCGTCATGGGCAAACGCACATCCAACGAAGTTCTAAATGTTATTCAAGGTAATTACAACTTTATTACTATTGGACTATCACCTGCTTCTATTTGTCTGAAATCTATTTAAAAATACACAGATGAAATGACCCATTGTTTATCTTCAGGTAATTCGACAGTGGACGAGCTGATGATGAGGTTAATGGGAGCAATGGAAATCTTCACAGCACAACAACAAGAGGACATCAAAGATGAGGTACGGTTCTCGGGGCAATCCGGGGGCCTCGGACCGAGAAACATAAATGTCAGCCTCTGGTTCTCAAACAAGAGCAAACGCTTGTGGATTTTTTTGAAAAGTAACTCCGTAATCTATCAAACAAGGACACTTGACTTCATTCACTCCGGATCCTAAAACAAAACTCATCTCTTTTTTTTGTAATCATGATTAAATTTCATCTTCTCGAAAACTCGTTATCTGAGAAAAAACAAACCTGATAATTATTTTAGGAAAGTTTCAGTTAATTCACAAATTTTATGAAAACAAAAACGAGATAAAATCGAATGTTGTCTTTCGCATCGGTGCCTTCAAAATGATTATCAGAGTCATCTGTAAGATGTGACAAAAAGATAAAGCACAAAAACATGCTGAAACGGTTCAGACGGTTTAACTGTGTGATTCTTGTTATGCAAAGCGGAGAATACATACTTAACCTCCTCACCTCACAGCCCGTTGGGTCTGTTTTAAAGTACCAGCTACAGTCTTTGAATTGGTTCAGGACTCGCTGTGTCTGTCTACCTCTTTTAGTCCAATGGAACGCGGACAAACCCCACTGAGGGACCCGCTCCATACAACAAAGCGAGGGAACAGCAGTGGGAGTCTTTTCACGTCAAAGATGGGAATCTGGGACAGTATGACAATGAGGTCCCCTCGCAGGCAAAGACTTTCACCTGACCCTCTTAACCGTTTACTGATGTGTTTACTCAGAGACATGGAACCGGGGAGTGAATGACACTGTGTGTTTGTCCAGACAGGTTCTCAGCCGGCCGTCCTCCAGAGTAATCCTCTCAAGCTCCATTTTGCTCTTTTATCTATTGATAATTTCCGATCTGAGCTTTAGAAATGAGCAACTATGGAGAATACAATAGTATCATTTTAGACTAGACACTAGACGTGTTTTTTCTCTCTTCTTCCCACACTCCTTCGACGCTGTAGTGCCTCTTTATTTAACTACAATATCCGTGTGACAGATGTCACACCGTGTTAACAGTCGATCAACTAAGAAGCCGCTGCAACAATGCTAATGTAATAGTCATCGCCTTTCAGTTATGGGAACTGTTGTTGTAAGACGCACGCACACACCAACACCCTCGTCATCCTATTGCCACAATGTTCTGGTTTCATTTTTTGATTGTCACACATCAAAAAGTCATCGGGGTAAAGAAGAGACAGGAGGTATTCAGAGTATGTTCATGTGTCAGATCAGACTGACTCATGAGGGACTGTTGCTTCACGCTCACTCACGTTTTCAGTGTTAATTACACGGATACCAGAAAATGCTTTTGGTTGACTACCTTTCGTTCTATGTTGACCTCATTCAGTAATATTTTCAAGTATTAAAACTTTTTAGTTTTGATATAATGGCACATATGCTCGTTATGTCATCTTAAAAACCATGCATAAAACGAATTGCGCTTGTTTCTACTTTTTGCATGGTGATTTTTTTCTCTTTATGGTACCTACGCAATGAGGTTGTGTTTTATCAGTGTGCTGTCAGCGCGTCTTTTCTAATCGTTGCAACAACTGGCTGTGTTACGCTACAAGACTTCAGTAAAGCGGTTCTCAAGGCTGTAATAGTGTGTTAATTACCCAGGTGTGGCCTGTCAGAAGGAAACCGCTCGTAAAAATGTCAAAAAGACAACGTGAAGCGTATAATTCAGGGTGAGAGCGTAATGTTCCAGTGTGATTATTCCCGATTAGTACCAATAACCGCAGGATTTAAGTATATCCTGTATCTGACAGGCCCGGTCCCATCTCTGAGGGGAAGTCAGCCGTCACCTCTGAGGCATCGGCAAAAACATCTTTCACTTTTCCTGCCCCCCCCCCCACCCCCCACCTCACCTTTCCAAAGACAAACTCCGACACGAACGCAGACGTCCACTCAACCCAGACATTCCACTCAGGCAGTGACTTTTGTGTCCGTCTGAAAGCGGAGCAGCTGGACCGCCGCATTGTACTCGCCAGTCACCCCCCCAGAAACCCCCCCACCGGTTGTCTGTGTTTTAGCTCAGTAATTAGTAAGAGACGACTCACCGCGTTGTGGTCCGCGTGTGTCGGGTCTGTTTGCGCAGTGGTCAAGAGCACCAATGATGTAATTCTTCTGATATTAGAGGAAATCGAAATAGAACACAACGTCAGAGGAGCGCAGAAAGGACCTGAGATGAGGTTTGTTGTGGACTGTCCCGCTGTGAATTGAGAGTGAGCCACAATTGGCCCGGTGCCGTCCAAAATTAAACAAAAAAATCACATCAACAATTTGTCCCAATGAAATTGCTTTAAGCAACACAGACAACGACAGATCTGCCGTTCGGACTTGTGACCACTGTAACAGGAGTTTATTAGAACCGCAGAGACACGCAAATATGTGTAGGTGATGTATATGTTACATGTCATTTTTTTAAATATAGATGCACAAAAGTTGTCCCCTTTTTTTTTTTTTTTTAAGACCAGATCTTTACATTGCGTTGTTTTTGAGGCTAATGTTTTCATGTCGTGCTTCTCATGCGCATTATTTCATTGAAGGCAGATGGTGCATCTGAAAACACATTACAACAGTGCAAAGTGGGTATCAAACGTGATCTTTTGTGGCCCTTGTTTGCGTGACTCGGGGCCGGTCTATTGAAGGTGGCCACTTTTGATGCTTTTGTGCCTCTCTGCCATTCTTTTACAGTTTCCTTTCAATGTCCATCTATTATGCGGGCCAAAAGCACAAATGTATCCTTTGCATTTTCTGTTTGAATGCAACAATGCACACTGTCCGTTTTGCTTCGCTGCACAGTAGCCCTCCGACCGTCACAATGAAGCTTCCTTTGCCGCATCCGGGCCGGCACACAGCATGGGCCTTCAGAAAATGAAAAAAAAAAAAGGAATGGCCGCGCACCATTAACACAATGGCCACTCGTATTTAGTCCCCGGCTTTATGAAACACTTTGTAGCCACAGCAGGTAGGAAGAGAAGGGCCGCCTGTCCCCTCTCCCTCTGTACAAACACGGAGAGCGGCGAAGAGAATGAAAGAGAAAAGGGTACGGTGAAACTGAGAGGAGGAAACATAAAGGAGGCTCGGGGTCTGGTAAATGACAGCACGGTCACAATGAATCCCCTCTGGTGCTCCGCTTTCATACCTGGTGTTTGTACGCTACCGCATTTGACATCCTGCATTTTCCCGTCGCCCGGCTCTCTCTCTCTCTCTCTCCCCCCACCTCCCACACTCGCCCCCGGATGTTTTGTCCCCGTGTGTCTCCCTGTTGTCCCTCATGTTGTCGGTTAATGAAAAGAGCACTTTCTTTTTCCTCCCCTCCACCCAGGACGAGCGCGAGGCCAGAGAAACGGTGAAGAGGGAACAGGACGAGGCCTACCGCGTGTCTCTAGAGGCCGACCGTAAAAAGGTACAACGCTCTTGGGTTTGTCGTGGTGCACAAGCCGGCGTGGCGGTTTGTGAGTACGAGCTGGCGTGTGGAGAATGTGCCGTCGTAGTGGGACCCGGGAACAATACCTGCTGCTTCAATTCCAGCCAACGGGGAAATAACAATGAATAAAAAGCACCACTGTGCCTTTTTTTATTTTTTTAAACCGGCATTATATTTTCTCATTTTAACTAATTTGTGTTGCCACTCAAATTTTAATACTGTGGAGTAACTGTGGTAATTTGTAGTTTGCTGCTATTTGGCACAAAAGGTATATTAATGAAATGGATGAAACTACACGTTTCATAGATTAATCACATGGTAGAAAATGATAAGGCACATTTCAGGATCATTGAGTCGTCTTTCCAACAGTCATTCTGGATTTCCTATTGTTTTTTCCCATCTTTTATTCGTTTTAGTTAATGAAATGTCTAAAAAAAAGTTACTTTGATGTCTAATTCTAAGTACAACTATTAAAAGATTCCAAGTCTCATTTCGAGGCCATTTAATCCGCTGATTACTTTTCCTTGTTCAGAGAGAAGCACAAGAGAAAGAGGAGGCCGAGCAGGTCCGCCTGGAACGGATGAGAAAGGAGCAGGAGGACGAGAAGGAGGTGAGAAGAACCGCCGTGCGCACATCATGCTCTCAGGCAATTCACCTGAACGAATAAACCGACTCGATCAGCACAAGGCGGAAGAGGAATATGTTTGCGCTGTGGGCCTTTTTTTTTTTCCATTTCACAATAAGTCAATTAGACTGCGGTTGTGGGCGAAGGCGTGCGTCGTGTGGGCCATCAGGCACACAGCAGCTTCAGAAGAATCGAATATTCTAATTACAGCGAGGCGCGTCCCCGCTGATGTCACCTCGCATGCACACAGTTATTGTTCTGTTTGACTGCTTTACATTGGGGCGGCACACACAGAGACATATTGAAACCCGAGTGAACAAAAGACTGAGGCAATTCACGTACACAGGCTTGTGCACAAACACAACCTAAGCAAACACGCATATTCACCCCAAAACAATTATTGTATGCGAGGAGGGGGCAAACACACACACACACAGTGTCACACCAAGGCAGACACGCACACTGTCACGCAAGCAGGAATAAAAACGATAATTTGTCTGTGAAGATGGCACCAATGTTGTAATACAGTCTATATTCATACAGTGTAGTCCGGCTTAATGTTGTTTACCCAACGGCGGGGCCCCGGGAGGTATTGGGTGACCCAGCGCGCTCGGGTTATTCGTCACTTAAGGTAAACAGACGACAACAAAGGAGCCCCGTGTCGGGCCTTCTTAATTATATCACTGTAGTCCACCGACCACACCGTGTGTGTGTGTGTGTGTGTGTGTGTGTGTGTGTGCACGGTTGTGTGTTTTAAACGGCCGTATTGGCGTTGTGTTGCCTACTCGTATCCAATGGTTTCCAGGGTGTCTCACATGCACACAGTGGCACCTACTTCTTTGGCTCCAGGCTTATTATGTTGTCACCTATCGTCAACGACTTCTAATATCCTTAAATCGAGATCAATATCTCCGAATACTGTGCCGGGGTTCGTTGTTTTACCCTGATACATATTTTCACTAAAAATGCAATGTTGTTGCACTTTACACGTCCTACGAGTACTCCGAGGAAACTGTTTTTACCTCTGTGCTCAACAAATCTCCTTCCTGTTCTTGAAGTCTACCGATGAGGTAGTTATCTAGTCGTGTTCATTTCAGACACAACAAAAACATTGGTTGCCCCCAGAGAGCGGCACAACGTTAGCGGGAAACGCTTTCTCTGAGATTCTGTGCCTTTTGTGAGATGAAAGCAGGAGCTGGTGAATGGAGGCCTGGGGGTGTGGGGTGTATGTGCATGTGCATGCACCTGTGTTGGTTGACTTTACTATTTACCTCCTTCAGGGATCTTAGCATACAGTTGTGTGGCTGTCAGGTGCACCCCCCCCCCCCCAACCACCACCACCCGTCATCTGTTTGCTTTCTGCGGTTAGCCCGAGCCGAGCTGGGGAGGCAGATAAATGGAGCGATAGATGCTCCTGATTATTTGCGCGGCCCCGAGCTCGACCAGACGCGTGTCCTGTGGCTTCTTGAGGGACGCTACCTCTTACCCGTCTGCATGTGTACACCCCCCCCCTGTCCCCGCGCACGCACGCACACACATACGCTTGTCTATTGTGTGTGTGTTTATATGTGTGTCCGTCCCCGGGGAGCCCTTTAACTCAGTCAGCATCAGCTCTTGTACCTGGGGGAGCTGATGGTGGAGCGGCACGCGTGCTACCCGGCCCACCCAACACCAGAAGCTGCTAATGAGCTACTGTTGTACACTCTTATGAAATATAATTGCATTATGGTTTGTAAATAAAGCCGTGGCGTGTTGTCACAGCATATGCTCCCCGGCTGGCCAAACAGGAACAACAAGTCGGGGGGGAGGAGAGGGGGTTGAGGAGGGAGGCGCCTGGGAGCAGCTGATGTTTGGAGCACGGGAGAACTGATTGCCTCTGGCGTGGAGGAGCACAGTTGGTTGTGGTCTTTGAGCTGTGACCGTACGTTGTGTCTTTTAATATCAGGTCTGATGAAACAAAGACTTTTAAGGTTTCCGCCGTCGACGGCCGAGACATTCAACATGTGCAATCTCCGATTTCCCTAAAAGGCCGAGCGGCGGCAAGGAGGCGTGAAGCACTTGGCTTGTCTTTAGAATGCCGAAGTGCTACTTGGCAACCTTCAGAGGCGCACTAGGCTGTAGGGAACAGGGTGATACGCAGGGCCACTAATTCAATAACATTCTGAGGACAAGGAGAGCCTTTAATTAACGTGAGGCAACAGTTCTGCAATCAGACTCTGGGAGCAACTCCTTGGCTCGCCTCTCACACTTGTTTGGGTAGTGTGTCGTCATCATCGCCAGCGTTGCTGTTTCATTTCTGCCTTGTATTGACTAAAAAAACAGAGGGCCAGGTGGTCCGGTTTTATTCAGTTTCAGAGGACTTTGAATAGGCTTCCTGCGGCAACTATAAAATTATTTTTTTTATCAATATGTGTCTTTTACCTTTTGGTGGTTTACATTTTTTGCAGCACTTGTATGTAAACAAATGGGGGATCTGTTAGTCTATCTATTAGTATCCACAGAATGGGGGATGCATCATCTTGTGAGGGGAGGAAAAACGTCTTCTGGAGGAGGCTCGTGTTTTTGCTTTGTTCTCTTCAAACAAGGAAATCCGCGTTTCAACAATAAGGCTAATTTGACCCTTTTCTCTCGTTATGACCGTTGTCCATCCGCCGTACTGACCAAAGTCCAACAATTCTTGCAGGCCATCCGCCTGTCGTTGGAGCAGACCCTACCAGCGGAGCCGGACGAGGACTCAGCGGAGCAAATCAGCAAACTGCGAGTCCGCACGCCAAGCGGCCAGTTCCTGGAAAGGCGCTTCCTCGGCAGCTGCAAGCTGCAGGTCCTCTTCGACTTTGTGGCCTCCAAGGGATTCCCCTTCGAAGAGTTCAAGCTCCTCACCACCTTCCCTCGTAGAAATGTGAGTGTTCCTCTCTTCCTCTAGGGAGCCACAATACTTCTGTACGTGCCGGTGAAACGCCGGCGCGTCCCGACGCGTCCTCGCCGCAGTGGAGTAGCTGCGGGTCACTAAGTGTCCTTCGCGGCCACAGCTACCGTCTCTGCCGCAGGGATCCACGGCTGTAATTGGCTTCTCCCCTGCAGCCCCCCTTTGCTGCACCTCAGGCGGGAGCAGCACGATAGTTGAGACAATCTGTTGCGGCTGTTTTAATTATCATTTTTCTCGCTTTGTGTCGCTGCCTTTTTGTTTTTCACAGTGCTTTCGTGCCTGGCTGCTTTTTGTTTACCCGTACCTGCGACGGAGCGAGCCGAGGCCGCCGCCCATCCCGTCCACCTGCGCACCCCGTGTTGGTCCGTGAAAATGAATTGCTATCGGCCCACTGTGGGTACGGCCCACTGTGACTGTGGTAGGATACAGTTGTCAGCAGTATTCTCTGTGGCTCTTCCGCTGACGCCCAGCAGCACTCAGCCGTCGACAGGCCGTCATTAGAGGGGCCGAGCCGCCGCGCGGCGTGGCGGAGCGCTAATCAGCTCTGTTTTAACCACCAGTTTAATTAGCCATGCTGCTGGAAACAAAAATGGGATTTCCATTAATCAAGAGAGGAGTGTATGTGGAGGGGTGTGTGTGGTGTTGGTTGTATAGAGGTGTGTGTGTGTGTGCGTAGGCTTGCCCAGGCAGTGTGCCACAGTAGTCTGCAGAGACCGCCAGGGCACAAACACCTCAAACTAGCGCACACATTAACACGTAGCTCACACTCTCCGTTTTCGTCACAATCACACACTTCAACACATGCACAAATATTTTCAAGCAAACACATGCCCCGCTCACAACTTTGTCACTTAAAGGATTCACAGTTGTCTCTTTATAATCAAGAGTAAACATGTGTTTGAGACAGAGATAAAGATGTGTCTGCATCGCAGATGAAATTTCGGCAAAAACAGGATGGGCGGATTAGAGGGGCGGAGGAGCGACGAGGGGGAACGGCGACTGCAGAAGTAGTCGAAAAGGAAAACAGAGAAGACAAAAGCTTAAACAAAGAAAAGATTTAATCGGAGAAACAGTCTGAAAGAGGGAAGGATGGAGAAGACAAGTGGGGACGTTATTAAAAAGAAGACGATGGGAGATGATTCCAGTAGAGGGAAAGGCGAGAGAGATTTTGGGGAGGGGGGGGGAGAGAGAGGCGCGAAGCAGCTCGGCGGCGGTGCCAGTGCGAGGCTGTGAACACAGGCCCCCCGTCTAATCCCGCAGCTCTGCGTTGTAATTAAATGAGAGGGAGCACAGAAAGCCTCCATCCCGTCCAGACGCTCTCACTGTTGCTCTGCCAGGATCAGAAGACCGAGGATAGACCACTATTGCATTTGTAATGCTGCACAACTGTTGAAACCTTCTTTCCCTTTGCGAGTTTTCGCCGGCTTTGTGCGGCGTCACTCTTTCTTTTGTCGCTTCGCTGCTCGCGAGCTGCCTTTTTTATTTCCTCTGCGTACAACCGGCCCATTGGCCCGGGTTGTGTTTGATGCTTTTGGGTAAAACTACACCATTATCGACCTGGGGAAAGGGCTGTATTGTATCATCCAGTGTGTGCAGACTTTGTAAATCATCATCAATTCCAACCGCGTTTTCTTTTTTCTTCTTTTAAATCTGCCGATAACTGTATTAGTCTTGAATTTTTGGACTCTTGTCTGTTCCCCAACATTTGGTATCTGTGGCTTATCTCTTCAGCACTACAGCAGGCCTTACACTGGCATCATTTGTTCTAGGCTTAGCCGTGCTCAGGGAGCTAACCCTTCGTTCCGATGGCTGTCAGCGAGTTTGAGGAAGGAGGGGGAGACTTTTAGTGTTTCAGTTTTCGCCTCTCCATTCAAGAATTTCCTCTTTTTTTTTCTTTTCTTGATACTTTGAGTTGAGCACAAACCGCTGTCGAAAGGCCCGAGGTCTTCTTTCCGCGGCTCGCGGTGAGCGTGTTTAGACTGCCGGTATAATAATTGGACGTCGGCTCTTCCTGCCTGGCTGCTCATTGGCACCAAAACACTGTCAGACCGCCGTACTCCTTTTTTTCTCACTGTGACACTGTGTGTGCTTTATTTCGCCCTCACTTAATCCGTCTTCCAGCTCCGCCGGTGAGTTCGGCCCGATCTGCTTCTTAGACAAAAACCCGAGACGCAGGACAAATAAACAGCGGCTGGGACGAGGCCGAGCGCTGGACCGAAATAGCTTTTACATCTGTCATGCGGGTGTGTTTTATGTTTCGGGTGTTTTGAGAATCCAGTTCGCAGGAAGAACGCCGGCGATTATTTAATAAGCAGTTTCACTCCCTGAAGTGTCTTCTGCAGAACTGTTCTTATAATAATCTCTCCACGTAAGCAGTTTCAGTGTGAAACATGGCTCCGTGGACAACATGGAGGCCGGTTTCTAGGGGACCTCGGCTCATAAACGGCCCTCGCCGGTCGTCTCTTCACTTGGATCTTTAGGACGCGTTCAAACAAAATGAATGATTTGACAACACAACGAGTTTGAAGGCCAACTGGGATCCCGTATGAAACAAAAGCGACACGCGTTGACACATTTTTCTTTTGAATATTCCTTGGTTCTTGAAATCTCCAGGACGGCAAAAGAGTCCATTTTTGGGAAAAAAAATAATTTGGGAAGAACAAAAGTCATTTTTGATTTCAGTCATTTGTTGGATTAACGTTCGTAACGTTGAAGTCTTGAGTTGTGCCGTCAGGGTCTCAAAGCCTCCCAGCTTTCCCTCCCTCCGTCTCCCTTTTCCCTCCTCTTTCCTTCTCCCCCTGCTTCTCTACCTCCCTGCTCAATTAGACTTTTGTTTTGCTCCCCAGCCTTTGTATCCTCCATATGCCTTCTCACCCCCCCCCCCCCCCGCCCCCTCCCACCATACCAATTTTTTTTTTGTCTTTAACAAAATTCTGCATTAAATACATTTTTAAAGCATTCACTCTTTAATCGTGTTTCTGTATTTTCCCTCCTTTTGGCCCGCTCTCTCCTTTTCTCTTCTTACCCATTCACAGTTTCCCCCCCCCCCTCCCTGTCCGGTCTTCGCGGCGCATTTGTACCTTTTGAAGTGCCGCATTCTGGTCGGCTCCTTTCTGTTCACGCCCCGGCGCTACGTGCTGTCAACGCTCCTGGCAGCAGATAATGATCCCCCACTGCTTTTGTAATTGGCCAAATAAACACTTGACAACACAAGTTTAAAACAGACAAGTTATTTGGTTTTAATTAACATAGTTGGGCCTGTAATGGCTTCATTAAAAATGCGTTATTTCAGCTGCACGTTTGATTATGTTGGAAGCGGACATCTTGAGGGCCTGTGTTTATTTTCCCTTTCTTTTCTTTCACGGCTCAGCATCGCTCAGCGCCGCCTCCTTTTTTTATCAGGGTATTTTATTCATTTTAATCAAGTGTCCCACAGTTATGGTTATTATGTTAAACTGCACGTTAAGTGCTAATTATGTGGTTTTGACCGTTGAAGTGTGCTATTTGATAATGCCAAATACACGGGGTTGATATTAGCTGGTTATTTAATGTCATTCAGTTTTTCACAGGAAAGTGAAGACAAAATATCAAAGATTGCCGAGAAGCACCATCTGTGTTTTGACTGGTTCCAGTTTTTAAATTAGGCTTTTTAATGCCGAGCCTCTAGATATTGTATAACCTCTTTTGGATTTTGCTTTTGTTCTATTGAGTGTTTATTCTCTTTGTGTATTTTTAATTAATTTCTGGAAAAGCTTTTTTTTTTTCCTCCCAAATGCTATTTTGATGGATGGAAAATCTTTGCCAATTGATATCATTTTTCAAAATAGTCTGTCCCTAATATGCTGAGGGATTTGATCTAAATTGCCCGGTTGAAAATAATATTGACTCAAGTTTCAAAACAAACTGCAAAGCTAGATTGTGTCTGTCCTGTGTATGTATGTATGGATGTATGCATGCATGCATGGCTGTGCAGGCACAGGAGGAGGGAAATGGCTTAGCCAAAGCAGAGGAAAAACAACAGCTTTGTTTGTTGACAGATGCCTCCATGCTTATGGTCTGTTAATTGGATAACAATGTAAACAATCACCGATGGCACCCGTCTCCTGTGTCAGTGTGGCATCTTGTTTCCCTACTTTCTTTTTGAGAGTCAGATGCTGCCCCCCCCCCCCACCCCCCTCTGGTGCACGGACCCAGTGCACAAACTCCCACCCCGAGCTTCACAAGGAGCGCACACACGCAGACCTGTATGTAGACCACAGACACACGTCTGCACACACCTGCTCCACCCCCAAAGCTCCACTTACTCCTACCTGATGCTGCGGCGTCATCGCAGGCCCGCCGGGTTCATTAGCATGGCGGCCGCTTGCCACGCGCTGCTGCAGAGGTGGGAAGACGAGCGCCGCGGCTCTGTTGGTAAAATGCACACACAGAAACACACACAGACATGTGAAGAGACACACACCATTTTACCTCCCTGCACGGCATCTCGCACGGCGCTGTGCCATGAGGCGGCTGACTAGGTGAGGGGCATCGGGTTGACGTGGCAGGCCGCCGCCGCCGCCGGGCTCCCAGGGACCCCGCTGGAAAGTCAAGGGTCTAAGTGACACGTTGAAATGAGGACAAGGAGATGAAAGACGGAGTCAAAGACTGCCGACATTTCCAGGGCACCCAAGGGAGGCGGATATGTCGTCTGATGCTGATACGTCCTCCTCACCTTCCCTATTTCTCTTGCCTCCTTTTTCCTTATTTGTCACTCTTAACCTTTCCTGTTTTAATGGGTGGATTTATTAATTCTGCCTTCCTTAACTAAAAGCTTTTCAGGAGCAAACGTCGACTCAGCGTTTATCACCGCTGAGCAGTTTTAAGATCTCTTAAATTCCTCAGCTCAGAAAATGAAATAACTGTTTAAGTGAAAAACGGGTCTGCAGAAGGTGGTTTTAGGGGAATCAGTTCACGGTCAGAGTTCACATTTCATTCCCTACAATAGTCTGTCTCAGGCCCATCACCCGGCTTGTTGTGAGGTCGACCTTTACCACGCTTTACCCCCCCACTCTCCCCCACCCCCCCGACCTTCTACAGCAGGTACAGGGAGCTGGTTAATTATCCCACTGTGAGGTTAGAATAGGAGCCCTAATCAGAGGGGCTGACGCAGCAGTCATCAGATAAGCCCTGGACACATCTCCGTGTCACACCACCTCGCTCATTCAGCCCAGGTGTTAGATTGGCCCGATGTAACACAACCCCTCCGGTGATTAGCTCACATAAGCTAAGAGAAAAACATAGGTCAGGCCCCCTTCATGTCAGCTAACTGGATCCCCTCCGTTGTGGGTGGTACTGCATTATTCCTCCGCGCTTCGACAATGGCTGTCGTGCAAAGCGCTGAACGCACACAAATGTTTCTCGCCTCTACGTTTCTGTTTGACCTTTTGTCCCGGCTGAAATCGGGCATTATTAGCCATCAAAAAGCACCACAGCAACTCTCTCTGTTCTTTACTTTCTCTCTCACACACCAAACTGATTCCACAACACGCGCATTTGTCTTATCCTGTTCATCAGTGTGTTCTGGGTCGGAGCCTTTTTAAGAAAACAAACCCGATGCCCCTCTAAGGGAATCGAAGCTGTAGCTGCTCAGATTTCTGCCTTGACGTTTTTTAAAAACATGATATTAGAATAATACGCTGTCTCTCTCACACACACACACACACACACACTTAAACTCTGCAGTAAAGCTCCACCTTTCTCCTGTCTGGATCGCATTCATGGTGAGACAATATGGCAAAGGAGCTCTGGTCCACGCTAATATCAGCACATCTGAAGGTGACTGACTAAAGAAGTTAATGTTTTATGGTTAGTGGACATTGTGTGTAACAGGCCTGTAGGTTATAAAGGTTTCTTTCTTGGTGTTGCCGCTATCTACAACGCAGAGCACTTTGGTCAAAATCTCTTCATCAAATGTGGCCGAAACAGAAGAAGAATATCAGGCATTTAGCAGCGAGGAAACAGTCAGTCAGTCGATGGATTAGTTCGTTGGCAGAAACATTTTTGCAATCAAATCTCATTAATTTTATTTTCTTCTTTTTTTTTTACAAAAAAACAAAACATTTGCTTGTTCTGCTTCCTCAAAGGATTTGCTGCTTTTCTGTTTTATACCATTGTAGATTCTATATTCCTGTTTTATGGACTGTCAAACAATCAATTTAAATATAATGTTTTGCCATCTGGGAAAATGTGATTTCACTGTTTTAATTAACTGAAGGATTTTTTGTTGAGAGAAATGAATGTCACATTAATTACAAAACTAATCATTAGCTACGGCCCGCGTTTTGACGCCTTTTGACTGACAACATCTTCTGGTGTCTCCTCAGATCACGCAGTTGGACCCCGGGTCGACTCTGCTGGAGGCCAAGCTGTTCCCGCAGGAGACGCTCTTCCTGGAGGCCAAAGAATAGGAAGCGGCCCTCCGACGGCTGAGAGGACCGACTGACTGATGAACTGGCTGGACACACACTAGTCACCGAGCATGGGCCCCACCAGTCCGGGCCTACACTACACACACACACACACACACACACACACACACACACACACACACACAAAAGCAATCCTCTCAGACGTACATAAACACGCGGGCATGCACGTCCAGTGACACACAGTGCAAGTAAGCTTCTCTGCCCTCGGCCTGGTTGCGGCACATGAAAGCCTGGTGTGCACGTGTCGCACAGAGGAGCAAAGACAGTATCACAAGCACACCGCCAAACATTCACCTCCCCCGAACCTCCTCTCTCTCGTTCTGTCCCCCCTCCCTCTCTCTCTACAACTCCACGTTCCCAACAACACAACACAGTACGAGAAAAACAGAATGGAGAGACTGGGAAGACAAATCTTTTGTCATAGAAAAAAAAATAACAAAAAAAAACTGGACTTGTTCCTTTTGTGTCCACATTCAACACACCGAGGCTGCTTTTTTAGAACATGTTTTTTGTGTTTGAAATGAGAGGGAAAAAAAACAACAAAAAAAATAAAATAATGGAAAATAAAATAAACCGCGAGAAGAGATGTTGCCGTTTTCATCTCCACCTGTATTTCCTCCCTCGACTTCTCCAAACTCGCCTCTCTGCCCCTCCGCCCTCCCCCGCATCCCTCCGCCTGCTGTCAGCTGCTGGGATGAGCCGTGACGGGATGCCTGCAGCATCTGCAGTGCCCGCCCCCCCCCTCACCTGGCTTTAACACCCACTGCTCATCAAGCCAGCGGATTGCTCAGTTTTCAGTTTTTTCTTTTTTTCTCTTGATCCTTTTTAAGTTTGATGCTGTATTAGTTTTAGTTTGATATACATTATATAAAATATATGAATATGAACATCAATTTGTCTCGCCCAGAAATCTGTTGGAACCCGTCCTTACGCACACACGCATTCAAACTCGTCACACTGGGTTTAATTTTCTTGGTTCTCGTGCTATGCAAAGGTTTGTGATGGAGGGCTGATAAATCTTCAAAGTAGTTGTTTTCATACCAAACTTTGCAATCAACATCGATTTCTGCATCATGGGGATAATTTAACATTATTCAGTCACATATTTATGGAGGATTATTGATGGCTTTAGCAAAGCCGTTTCTTTTAAACAAATGAAAGATTTTGGATGTCTTTGGGAGCGTTCGAATCTGTCCCCACAAACTTTCTTGGCTGCTTTAAAAGTGTTGCGAGCCCAAAAACCGAAGCCTCGACTCGAACGAAAGTAAATCGCGGCGGTCGTCGCGTGACCCACGCTTCTAGGTACCTGGACGTCCAATCGGGCTCAACTTCTTAACGTTGGAGCTGATTTATGCAAGTTTGATTATAATCGGGTAACTTGAACACGCCCGCTAATCTTAACCGACAGACCTTTTGCAGTGTTTTTAATATTCTCCCTCACACCCCACCTGGTAATATCAGTCACACTGCAGCTAATTTCCAGCCTTCGGCGAGGAGAGATCACACGGGCTTAGCCTCCATCTGCACGGGGGCCTCCTCCGTCAGCTAAAGGCAAAGTTTGAGAACCCCAGCAGAGAGACGTCACGAGCAAACAGAGAGAAACACGTTCTATGAATATGTAATTCCTACAGCCAAGAGATGATGACTATATATATATATATATATATATTTATATTTATATTTGTAATACCAAAAGTCTTTAACTTGTATGTTAAAATCTTCCATAAATCATTTAAATCAATTAGCCGTTGCTAAATCGTTGCACAACTTGAACCTACATAAGTCAGTCAAACATCAGTGGATGTAAACTGGCTTCTTCAGAACAGACTTCACTGCTGATCTCTGTCTCTGCAGGGAACCATGTGACCCCGCGTGGTCCCAGAGTATCCGACGACGAGGACAAACCAACTCAACTTAGTCTCGAAATGTTTTCAAAAGGTCAACCGTAGCCATGTTGTTGTCTTTGCACAACCGGGGCTGCACTTGCGTAACACCCGCTGTGAGTACAGCACACGAGCATCGCGGGTTCGTCTGGTTTCTCACGCGAGGAATGAGTCGACCTGATGTGCTCAGCCAGCCGAACTCTCCTGGGTCTGACCAGACAAGAGTCGTTGCTTAAGGCACCGACGGGGGGGGGGAGAGGCGGAAACGCCGCAGGACAAATCCTGTCTCTTTCGCTCTCCGTTAATTAAAACACATTTGGCAAGTTACGTTTGACTCCTTGTTCTGAGCCCAGGCGTGACAAAGATTTTCAACTACTGACGCTCAAGGAATTTCAAAGTCTTTATTTTATTCTTCAGACTCAAAGTTTTGAAAATACCAATGTTTAATTTCCTTTACCCCGTTGAAGATCTTTTAGCGTTGAATTTGTCCAGATCGATGTACTGTGGCACATTCTGCGGCGGCCACAGACCTGACCTTGAGTTCGGCTGGCTGGAGGGACGATGGAGGGACGATGGAGGGACGATGGAGGGACGATGGAGGGACGATGGAGGGACCGACAGCGCTCACTTGCAGCACGAACCCTCATCAGGTAACACAAACATGCCCCTGAGTGACCTTTCTGCCACAGTTGGAGAAAGGTCACCCGGTTGAGTCATCCTGACCTTGTGAGGAAGTCACACGAACGGCCCCGCCTGACCTCCTGCCTAAGGCGACCTCTGGTTGGTCCGCAGAGTACCCTTTTTAATACCGTGCGATTTGTTTGCCCATCGCTACTGCGCAACCTTCATCCGGAGCAAAAGCTCAGTACCTGTAATCTCACTGAGGCCCTTAAACTACCTGGATTTACCTCCTGCCCACCCAGCAGGGGTCCTTCAGTCTGGAAAGGGGAGAGTTGGGGCCCGGTTTGATTTGGGGACAATGCTTTGTTGGAGCTCTATACGTGGAATGTCTCTTGTTGCCATTTGCATAGACATACGGTTCGAATAGATCATTGAGAATTTGTGTGTATGTGCGCGAGACACGCGCGCAGCCCGGGGCGAGGGCGAGGTCTCAGCAGGGCGGGGAGCTCGGTGAGCCTGAAGCCCTCATCGGTGCTCCTCGTCTGTCAAGAGTGTGTCTTCCTCGGGGGAGCAGTGTACATAGTGCGGCTCCTCTCGAGTGTGTGATTACAGTTTCTATCACGCACCCTTTTTTCGATGTGCACAGGCTTGCTTCCTCCGTGCCGCTGCAGCCGATGATGGTGATGCGGTCGGAAATGCCGATGAGACATAATGATATTCTACTCTTTTGATTCCTGACCAAACATGTCATCGTGTTGTTTGTGTTTCACCGGGGAAAAGTCATCAGCTTTTTAACTGGAAGAATGACGGTTCTTTGTCAACGGGTCCGATATTGGTCAGACCCGTTGTTTTATTTTGGAATTCAATTGTAAAATAATTTCAGTCAGTTTTGGGGCCTCCTGTAGTGATGAACTATTGCAAGTAAAATAACCATTAACCATTTTCAATTTTTAACACACAAAAAATGATTTTGAATGCCCTGATTCCATCCCTTTAAATCTTCTCACATCTGACACCATTTTCTTGTATTTATTGTTTGACTTCTCCTTTTTATTTTATAAAGCACTGGGCATAAATGAGTCAAACAGGATGTCTTAATCAGCGCCTTCCAAGCGGCGCCCCTTAAATGTGACACAGGGGGATGAGAAAGTGTCTGTGTGGTAATGAGCTTATACTCCGCCGGCTCCCCTGACACAGATTCAGTGGTGGCAACATCAGGTTGCTGTCTTGATTCTCCGGTTGACAAAAGAGGAAAGCGTCCATGATGTTTAACCAGCTCCGCCGGGGTCAAGAATGCAGCCCACTGGCGAGGGAACAAAATTCCTGACACAAGTGATCGGCCCTCCCTTCTTTTTGAAGTGGGTGCGACGGAGACCTCGCGGCACGGCGGCGGCTCCTCGCATCACAGGATCCCCGCCTGTATCCCAGACTGGCCTAACCTGGAGGGTCACCCCGAGTTTACTTTCTCAGAGAAACAGAATCTGTGCAGCTTAAACTGTTGGGTGGCCACAAAAGGAGGGTCATCTCTCCCTCTCCGTCTCTCCCTGTTCACAGTGTTGTTTGTTGATGACACAATAGACACGGAGAGACTTGGGGTGTGGAGGGAGGGGAGGGGGAGAGGTGGGGGGGGGGGGTTATCTTGGAAAAACAAAACACATCTTTCTTGCAGCCATGTAACCAATCTGATTTAAAAAATCTGGCCTTGAAGTGGTTCGGAATTTCTTTTAAAGGCTCAAATGAGCGAGCCTAGATCCCTTTTTTTTGTGGTTAATTAAAATGCACACTCATTGTAAGAGAGACCCCCCCTCCCCCCCCTCCCGTCTCAGCCCACCGGCCCCCAAGGAAGAGAAACCTCCCGTTAAATTTAGAAAATATACAAGTCTCAATCGATCAACAAACAAACTTCGAGTAAATTGCATTAAAAGTCAATGGATTAATTGATTGAATTACGTGTCACCATTGTAGCCATTAAACACGTTTTCTTCTTTTGTGTAATAACTAACCAGGGGAATAAACACAGAGCACTTTGAGCAGCCAACTTTCCCCTCGTGTCACTCTGCTTCCCCACACACATTTATTGGGTTAACAATAAAAAACGTGTCAGGCAGCAGACTAGTGGATTCTGCAACGAGCTCTTCTGTCCGTATCTTTCTCAAATAAATAAATCAAGATTTACTTTGGCGAGGCCTTATTCTCCAGATTTGTATTTACTTTTAACGAAAAAAATATATTCATATTTAAAAATCTAAGAATATGTCCTAATGCATTCGCCTTTTCTTCTTCTTTTTTTTAAACTCAATTCTCCTTTTCACTGTTTGTAAAGAATGTGACATTTTATGTGTAACAATTTCATTCTGCAGTGGAGAATTTAATCGGATAAATATGTGCTGTGTATGACTCATTTCGTTTGAATTTCCAAACCATCTGGCGATCAACCAGCACCGTGATGCGGAAGGAAAACGTAGATGAAACGTGTGGAATTGGTTCAGTGGGAAACAACGGGCACGCGGGTTTAATGAGGCCGCATTGAAGCGGCGCGCTGCGCGCTGCCAGGGGGCGCTGATGGAGAGAAAGCGCATCTCTGCTGGCCTCATT